CAAAGACTATTTTTACCTGTGCTCATCTCCTACACTTGATGCAAGCTTATATTCAAAGGGGATGTTTTTGCCAGCATGCTCTGCCCAACAAAAGCGTGGGACGACACCAAATTTGGCGTGCGAATGCGCGCGAGGAAACTCGAACTATGGCCTAAATATAGGAATGGTTTTGGGCCGAATGCGGATTTCTAGCGGTGCATAATTATACGCACCTCAAACTGAGTCTTTATTCACTCAAAACTGCAACCTTTCAAATCAAAATTTTTTGTAAAGTTACAGTAACAAAGTTTGAGGTCTGCTACACACTGTGAACACCGCAATTTGAAAAGATGAGCGGTACTCTTTTCAAACGACTCAAAATGTTTTTGGAGACATTGAGCTCCAAAAACTGTTGCTTTTACCAAGTCTATGAGAATTAAGCTTTTTCGAAAAATAATTTATGTGACGCCTGGAAAATCCCCGTGTTCTCGTCGCATTATCCAATCAGGTTCCAACCTTAGCAAGGAGTGAGCACCGTTTCGAGCCTCAAAACTCACTTTCTGTAGTCATATGACGACCTAAGCACACAATATGTACAATTTTGCTAATTTTGCATCTGGCCAGAATAGTTCTGCAACTCCGAAGCTTGTTTTAGCCACGCAGACGTCATCTTGCACAAAAGGTGTGTTCACTATTGCAGTCACCCTTCTACTCCCCTTTCAGCTCCAAATCCTCAGGATTAATACTGCAAAAAAAGACAGAAGATGATTTTTGAGGCTCTAAATTGTGACCACCCAGGATAAGGTTGGAATGTGTTTGGAAAACGCGGCGAGAACACAGAGATTTTCCAAGCGTCAAACAAAATATCTGTCGAAAAAGCTCAATATCCCTCACAGTAACAACTTAGTTAATTAAGTGCTTCAACCGCAAAAAACCGACGTTTTTGGAGTGCACTCACTCCAAAAGCATTTTGAGGTGTTTGAGAAAAGTAACCCTTTTCCTTTGAAATTGCATAGTACAGTGAGTAGCGTATATCTCAGACTTTGTTACTGTAACATTACAAAAAGTTTTGATTTGAAAGGTTGCAGTATTGAGTGAAGAAATGAACATTGTTTGATGTTTGTATGATTATGAAGCGCTAGAAATTCGCATTCGGCGCAAAAAATCCATAAGACTAATAACAATTTTCATTCATGTACCGCGTATACCGTTCTCAGTTATGCTCTTTCATTTAGTACCAATGGTTTTTGAGTTTCAAAAAGTCCCGAAACTCCTAAAATATGGGGTGTTCGCTCGATTATGAACCGCACTTTATTACATATATTGTACCACCATCGTGAAAGTTTTCATACGATCAAAACTGAATCATAACTATCCCTCTAGGCTATTTTACAGGTTTCAAACATTTTCATTTGCAGCGCAGTCTGCTCCGACCTAAGCTATTCAAGTTGGCCTTTTGTGCATACTTTTCCATTTTCTTTTTCTTTTCACATTCTCTCTTGGTGTACATATCTGTTATCTCAGGGGTTGGAAAGGGGGAGGAGATGGAGAGAGTATCCAAGTGTTGGAACGGTAGATTCAGGCTCCGACCATGGAGCAAAACGCTTACGGCCATGATGCGAAAAATGTTGAAACTTCTTAGAGTTTTCTGTTCAATAGATAGTAGAAAGAGGGAGCCTTATATCTTATATTCTGGGGTGAGCGACAGCTCAAGCAAAAAAGACAAGTGGGAGCCACTGAGCGGGGGGGGGGGGGATAAATGTCAAAGAGAATTTCATGAGAATTTTTCGAGATCAAATTGGCTTCGCTTCAAAATCTCCCTGGTTCGAGCTGGCGAGCACTGGGTTTTGCTCATCCCTCTATTACTTGAACTTTTTTGGGAGGGGAAGGAGGCGATATAAGAATTTAGAAATTTAGCAAAACTTCACCATGGCGAAAATTATGGATCACAGTTGGCAATTTTTCAGAAACCACTGGAAAACCTACGACGATAGCATAAACTTTAGAAAGAGGATGAGAACTGCATCAAATGCTGTGGACTTCATTCCTTAAACTTTCTACTTTTGAGTCGCTAATACTCGATTATTGTTGAACTCTAAGCATGCGATATTGTCAAGCTTTACTCGTTTCATTTGGTTTTTGAGGTGTCGAATGCTAATATGAGCCCTTGCTAAAAAAACCAAGATCCATCGAGAACATTTTTTAACGAAAATGATTTACAAAAGAGTCTGATAAACACCGCCATAAACTGTTGGTTTCGCTTTACCTTTATTCAATATTTGCTGAGAATGTGAATTCGAATGTGATAGCGGTAATCATCTATAAATTCCCCATTTTGAAGAGCTATAGATTTTAGCTAGGAAGCATACTATAAAAAAGGACCCAAAGCTGCATCGAATACGAGCTAGAAGATCTATGAATCTTTATAAAGTATACTCAGTCAGAAATTGCTTATTAGCTTTCAGACCGACCTGATACTAAGCCTTTGAGCAGTAACTGTGAAACAGTTAATTATGAGCGTGAATGCATAAGTGCAATCTGTTCTGATTGTTATATCCTATTCAAAACATTACGTTATGAATGGAAAGTTACAGAACCACTCCGAGATCCGCATTGGTTCATGGAGATTAGCTTCCATCATCTCCAACCTTTGATACTTATAATAATACTCATACTCACAAGGGAATGGTCAGAAGTCGAAGTGGCCAAACCAAAAAAGCTGTATACCATTCGATGCAGTATAAAACGCTGACTTCGAATCTATCTTTCTTATCTGCTTCCCGCTTCTGTAGACGAAGCTACAAGCGGTTTCATTGTGAAAAAATCCCACATTAAAACAGCGAAATTGAGCACACTTGCATTTTTAGCTCAGCTTCTTTCTTTAAAAAATTGAAGTAGGCTAGCTGCATGTTTTGGCCCAGCATTAAGGCGAACGTGGCTCTGCACGGCTAAATTTTCAATTTCACGCGTAATTTCTTAACAAAATAATGGTCTTCAATGGCTTGTAGCTTCGTCCACAGAAGCGGGAAGCAGATAAGAAAGACAGGTTCGAAGTCAGCGTTTTATACTGCATCGAATGGTATACAACTTGCTTGGTTTGGCCACTTCGACTTCTGACCATTCCCTTGTCAGCCCTAGCATTCTTTTTTCTGCTGTGTTGCATATGCCTATGTACTCTTTATTCACCTATTTGTATTTTTGTTTTAGAAAAACTGTCTGTTATTGCTTTTCGCGAATGTTCTCTGTGTAATTCCTTCACTCAGGCCAGTGGCCTGGATCATTACTTTCGGACGTTGCTATGAGTAATATTCTCAGGTCTGAAGGCTTTTTAAAACTATCATCTAAGCTGCTGCAGATTTTTGATGTTCACGTAGCACTTTTGTGTGAAGCATGTAACCTTCAGGACTACGTTTAGAAGCGTGTGGAACTAGATGTAGAAATCCATATCAAAAATGTTAACGGCTCACTGGTTGAAATCTCATATCCATTTCTTCTGAATAATAACTATTTCTGTTCTTGCTCCTCATGCATTGCTTTTTCCTTTCTTTTGGACGGATTGTTCCTTCCAATTCTTGGCTGCAACCTCTCCAACTTTATTCACTGCAAAGCGAAAATTGGGCGCACCTTCTTGCTTGGCCCTAGTCGTGGGATATGAGCTAAAATTTTATTAGGTTGATGCATAATTCCTGCACCAAAATAGGTACAGACCACAATAACTCGGAATAATCCTATATCCCAAGTGGGATTCGATATATCATTAGATAGCGCAATCTAACTCTACAAGACAGTGCTCAAATATCTACACCAGCTTTGATCCACGCGAAGTTTTAAACCGAAAACTAAAAAGCCATGCGTCCGAAAACCTTAAGACCAATCAAAACAAAATTGTAACTTCGTTCAAAAAGCTCCTACAAAATTCCTTTTTGCTCACGCTAGACATTCTACGTAAGACATCTATCTATGCGGTTGCTGTATTTTTTTTTCTCAGCTAGACAATGAGAAAACGAAGTTTTCATGTTTTTGCCAAATTGGTGCTGTGATGTTCTAGCACTAACAGTTGTAAAGTACATGCCATTAGCAGTGAAACTTTGCATTTTCAGTCTTCTAGAACAGCTAGTTCACGAGAAATGACGAATTTAGCTCTCTTCATCCGAAATTTTTCTTGCCTAGTTGCCAAAAATTTGATATTTCTCGTAAACCAGCTGCTGTAAAAAGCTGAAAATTCACACTCACGCTTCTAAGGCCCTATGATATACAGCTGTCTATGCTAGAACATCTCAGCATTGTTTTGGAGAAAACATGAAAAACTTCGTTTTCTCAGTTTCTAGCTAAGAGAAAAATACAGCAATTGCATAGAAAGATGTCTTATACGAAATGACAATGCATGAGCAAGTTAGAAATTTTGAAGGATTTTTCTGAACGGACTTCCAATTTTTTCTTGATTTTTTGGGGCGTGTGGATAATTTTCGTTTTTGGCTTCAATCTTCGCTTGAGTCAAAGCTGCTGCAAAACTTTAGGCACTATCTTGTAGAGCTAGGCTTGCTCTATCTAATTATATATCGAATCCTACTTGGGACATAGGATTATCCCGAGTTATTGCGGTCTGTACCTATTTTGGTGCAGGAATTATACATCAACCTAATGATTTCTGGTCGATTGTCATACATAAAAGCTGGCGGTTTTGTCGGAGGATTTTGATCATCGTAGCATCTTGAGCAACCGAAACTGATACACTGTTGTTTCGAAGCAAGTTATTGAGCTGTGTGTTATGAATGGAGGCTGCTCTTTTCGTCGGATGGACTTGCATTCATACAGGAAAGATCTCTGAGAATTTTGAGGAAACTGAGTCAGACTGTGTGTAATTTTCTAAGGGAAGTGAATACTTAAATTTTTACTACTGTATCATAGTGGCATTGCCTGTGAAAAGACAGTTATTTTAAAATTTATAATTAGGAAATGGCTGTTTTGCAGATAGAGTTACCTATAAGTCAAAGTCCTTAATGGTTATGATTTTGCAAAAAATGGCGCTATTACGTACTTGCACGGCGCTTGCGGTCGGAACAATTTCGCCTCCCTTTTTGTATTACAGCATTGTGGTAGGAAATTGCTTGTTCAGTCGTTTGAAAAGATTTTCACAGAAGAAAGAATTGTCCTTGTAACCCCAAGCAAATAACGGAAGTAATCATTTCAGTTGCGCGATTGCAAAATGGTTCAAATTTGTCAGTGCGTTTGAACTCTACACTTTCCTATCTGTTGGCAAATCATGTACTCATGTACTCCTCCTTCCTCATTCTCCTGCCTAGCTCTTTTCTTTTCATGATCCAGCTCGATCTTGTTTTGCTATATTGAAAGTAAATGCATATGCGACTTCAGAATGAGCTGATCGGGCTGCCGTTCGTTCGGTGCCCACTGCGTTCCTCTCCAACTGCGCCCACACCTTCCACAGATCACACCACTAGATAAGGTGAGCTGTGGTGACGGCGAGTGGCATGAACTTCGTGCACCCGTCTCTCATACGGATTGGCGGCTTGTCGTGACTTCACTTCCCAAGGGAGCGAAGACAAGCGACATGTCGTCTGTGAATCAAACCAAACTATGAGAGATCCGCCGCGCATTTCTGGCGTTAAAACCGCAAAGGATCTGAATAAGTACAAGCTGTTTCCGGTCGAGCACCAATTTTCTGATACAAATTTACTGTGTACGAAAGAACTGGAAACTGTTGAAATGCATGCCTTACAGGTCAATGGGTGAATTTGGGAAGCGGACCATACCATATTACAGACCGATATCCATGGGACAGAGAGCCGCCAAGCACAACATGCAGGTAACTAACTAAGTTGAGCATCATGATTAAGTGAGGGTGCTTGGTCATGTTTGCTGTTTTTTTGGACCTCCTGCTCTCTTATGCTGTTAACATTGCAATCACCTGCCTTGTTGTGATTGCAAGGTTCGTAGTTAATATCTAGGTTCCAGTAATTGTTGGTTTCATTCATTTTCTCATAGATGAGAAGTAAAGGGAATCCCCGGGAGTAATCAGAACGAGAAAAGTCATTAAGTTTGTAATGCCCACAATCACCCGTAAATGTACTTTTGAGTAGTACTTGCCGATTTCCAGTTCAAGTGATCATTCCTAGAAGATGGAAAGTGAGCTAAAAAAATTTTTTTTTGGGAATTTTGGAAAGCAGTCGTTCTCAGTCGCAGTATCACGTTCATTCCGCGCATCCGCTTTGCAAGTGCCTCGTGCAGCGTTCGCAGGTGTTTGACTTGGGCGAATGGTCCTATTGACCGGAATTCAGTATGCGAGTCTCTCGCATTGCGGGTGCGTCTCCTCAGCGCAACACTGCACTCCAGAGCTCAAGACAGGCAGACAGACTGCATGTGTTAATTATATATTAAGTTGTTCCGAAAGTTTTGTCGGTTTTTTTCGTCCATCACTGAAACTCACAGAACACCAATCCATGGACAACCTAGGTACCATTTGATTCAGATTTTTATCCTCCTTCTTACAGCTATATTTGATCTCTGTTCTACCTTGTCTTTGCAATGTTATCGCCATGGCTTTTTGAGCAGCTCGGCAGTAACGGCAATTTTTTCCTGAATTTTAAAAATTTTTATTTTGATGTTTTTAAAGAGCGCTGATAACTGCCATGTAGAGCTAACCTTTGGCTATATTGCGCCCATTTTAGATTACATAGGCAACGTTTACCAAGTCCGTTATGATTATTTATTTTACAAAAACCGTGGCTTTTCAATTACGTTTACGACGTAAAAGTACCGAAAATTCTAAAAAGCTGCTTTTTCAAAGCAAATCAAACTTGGTCATGTTGCATAAATAATGTTTGAATAGAATCATTTTTTAAAATGCAGAAACTTTGAAAGCTTTCGTGTATTTGCTGCAGTTGCGTGATCAATGACTTTACCGAAAATCGAGACCTCTTAAGAAATAATTTTTTCAGGCTAAAGACAGCAGATTAGGTAAACCTAAAATTAGCTCCTTATAGTCCGAGAATTGCTCTATCTGACCCATACCCAACTTTTGTCGAAACTTTGCAATGAAATTATTAAAAACCAGTGCGTCACCTCTGCTTCGCAGAGGCTCGCACTGGCTCGCTCTACTATCTAGGCCCTACTTATTCTCGCATAATGATGGCATTGGAACTCACCGAGCATTGCCGACTATCACGGACAAAATGTAAACAACTACTCATTCCAAAAGCTTTTCTATGCGAAATCGGTGATTTCGCGTGGGGTGAGACTTTTTGCAGGAGAACAAACGCAAATTTTCATAGGTTTTTGACTTTTCCATGATTTTGACAGTTGCAATAAGAACAGCAGCCACCGTGAGCTACATCTTTGTGCAAAAATCTCGTCAAATGTTCTGGTAAAAGCTTGGCAAGATGACCATTTAAGCAATCAACACTTTTTGGCGCCATTTTCGTAAAGTAATGGATTTTTGGTAACTTTTTTGGGCCTAAGTTCATGGCTTGCACATTTACATGGCGTGAACATCCACGACTCTGCAAAAAGTGGAATTACGGACCCAATTTTGCGGCTCCAATGCAAAGTGGATCGTTTGGCGCGCAGTTTCTGAGGGATCCACTCAACGAATCTGCTCGTGCTTTTGCATGTCGGACTTTCTTGCGGGTAGCATGCGCTGTGCAAAATTTGAGCCCAGGAGGTTGACTGGAACACGCTCTACGAATTTCGTAACAGACACACTCACACACACACAAAGTCACGTAAACATCCTTAGCCCGTTATTATAAGTTATGATTAGCCGAAGTTTGAGCACATAAAATTGGCGAATGGAGAATTTTGGCAAATATCAAAAAAGCATACAAGTCTGTGGTTCGAAAATGTATCTTTACGAAAGAGAGGAAAAAGCTGCATCGAATGCTTGTTGTAACTCATTCAGGTCTTCATTGTGTGCGGTTTTATAATGGTTTGAAAAAACCGACAAAACTTTCGGGACCACCTAATACATCTTGTGTCAATTACATCAATATGTATAGTGCGTATAGCGTGCAAGGGCACATTTTGCAATTCTGCTTCAAAATATCCGTTGCAGCGTAAGGCTTTCGAGAAACTTTTCATTTTTTATTTACAAATCTGTTTGAGGCGGGCGTACGACTATATCATCAACGGCACCATGCGCAGGCAATTCATAAATGGAGGCAAGCCCTGCATCGGTTGACGTGAGTAGCTGTATGCTTTACTTCCACCAGTTTTCATATCTTATGGGGAACGGAGGCGGTCAACACACAAAGCGGGCTCGAACGCGGCTCTGAGACTTTTTGACAGCGCCGCGCAAGTCGCTACAACACTAACTGCCCTCGCCTTGCGTTCGCGCACGTTTAGTTTATTCGAACGACCCATTCGTTTCAGAGCTCGGCACAGGTGGCCTATAAACAAGCTGGATATCGTTTTTGGGACAAACAGCAAAGGGGATTCGTTTTTGTGGCCGAAAAGACACAAAATTTGCGACGTTTTTTTAGTCGATGTTTCATTTTTTGGGGATTTTTTAGGGATTATCGTCTAGGGTCAAAGGGGGTTTCGTAAAAAATTCGAAAGTCAGAGGGCTTCTTTTTTTGCATTTTCAACTAGCCACTTCGTGCCGAGCCGTCTAATAACGGGCTAAAAACCTCATAATGCTGAGTTGTATTGTTACAGAAATGCGGAGGATCGTTTCATAACGCTTGGCTATCTGGCCCAAGCATTCTGCGACAGTGGCGAGTTCGAGGCAATGCTTCACTATGCACTTCAGCAAATGGAACTTGCAAACGAGCGTCACGACGAGTACATGAAGAGCGAGGCGTTCCTCAACCTTGCCAAAGCTTATGAAAGGCTCGCTGACTTCAGCAAGGTGCGTAATAGCTGTTCACTCCAAACTAGTGCTGATTTTGAATGAATATGACGACACCACCAAAGACAGATCCATCCAGGCGTTGAGTTACGGCAAAGCAAGTTTGCAACACCCAAGCATGGACCCGCGAACGCCAGGATATGCCCATCTAGGTGTCTAACATTTTGGCTTTCTTCCGTTACAAATGCCCCTCATTTTAGCAATAGCTTGTGCTCATCTGGGCTTCAGCCAATTCCAAAATTGTCTGGAAGCATTTGAACAAGCGATGAATGTCGCAAATGAGACTGGCGATAAGCTGCTCGAGCTGCAAATTTGCGTTGGACTTGGCTCGTTGTTTATGTTATTAAGGTGAACATCTTCTTTTCCCTGCACTCATATTCGATATTTCATTTTTAGAGATTTGTCAAAAGCGCTGATTTTTCTACGGAATGCTATGGCTATAATTCAGTCTGTCACAGTTGATGACGTCCATGCGAAATATAGGTAAGCTAGTTTTGAAATCAAAACTCCATTTAGTTGGCTTCGGAACAGGCTGCGTCATTCCAAGTTCTTGGTATCTCTAGGTGTACCATTCTCTACCACCTCTCAGTGGCATTGCGGATGCGTGGATCACTGGTCGAGGCAAAAGAGGCTTGCGATGTTAGTGATTTATGACTCGCATCCGAATTTGATAATGATAGGAGAGAACAACGAATAGGTCCCAAGGCATTAATTGAGTCAATCAAATTTGAAAAGTCATCCTGGATGCTTGATTGTTTGCCAAAATATTTTTGGAATCAAAGATTTGCAGACTTTCCAACATAATTGCTGCATACTGAAACTCAATAGAAATACCGAGAGACTGTCAACATCCTGAAAACTGCATTAATTTTAAAAACACGAAAATTTGAAGGGTCTGAATCAGCTAGATTGTTTTTCCAAAAGTACGGCATCTTCAAAAGCTGTAAGCTGTGGGTTTTTTACCCTGGGAACAAGTTACAAGAGACATAGAAACTCGGAAGTAACCGAGTCCTTATTCGTTTACGTACGGAAGTGCAGTCGCATTCCTCGCATGCGTTCTATTGAGTTTACTATTAGTATGAACAAGCAAAGCGAAAACTAAGGTTTTCAGTAAATCTTAAAGTTACCGTTGGTCGGGAATCAGCTTGTGGTATTTTTCGAAAAAGAACAGGTTTATCAAGTCATGTTAGTATTAATTGAAGAAGTATTTCTGATAAAGCTGTTCCTTTTACATTTCTTTGCAATTTCCTTCTGCCAGCATAATCTTGCTGTTTTAGGAAGCTCTACAGCTGGCTTCGGAGACGGGTAATCGAGCACTCCATGCCCGATGCATGTGCAGCCTAGCTGACATATACAGAGAGTTGGGAGAGTCCGAGGCAAAAGAAACAATAACAGTGCGTTTTCCCCAATGCTGGGCAGCGCTAGCCAATTCCTCTTGTTCAACTATTCGATTTAGAAGTCCTGGGCTCGCTACGAGGAGGCATACCGCGTTCTGCGGGCGTCTCAGGATCGAATGGGCGAGGTGCTGGTGCTGGCCAGCATGGCCAAGAGTGCATCCGAGAGTCGCTCTCACTACACTGGACAATGCGAGTGCCAAGCCATTCAGCTGAATAAGAAATGCCTCGATATTGCGCGGACGCTCGGATGCAAGGTGGGCTTCACATAGATGTTGACAGTGTCCGGGCACTTAGATCAGGGCTCGGCAAGAACAGCACCTGATTCTTCAAGACGATTTACTTGTATAAATTGTTACGAAGTTCCCGTTCGTGTTTGACTGAGAGGGAAGATTGAATGCCTTTATTTATGCTAATAATAGGTTAGTAATGAGCAGTTCGGGGCAGAGTGTCTGGCTTGGAGTTTGGGATCAGTGCTGAGAGGGTGGCAACAAGAACTTCTATAAACGTCCAACTTAACTTCGCAAAATATGAAGATGCCGTGAGAGGTGCTCATAGGGTAACAACAGTTGCGGTCGCAGAATTTCGTCCGGAGGGGGGGGGGGCGCCTCAAAAAAATTTTTCAATGAAGGTGTGTGGCGTTAGCCACGCACTTCGAAAAAATTTTCTGGGGTGTTTCTCAAAATTTTTGCAGATTTATAATCCCTAAAATCGAGAAAAAGTGGGCGTGGCGGCAGCCATACCCCAAAAATTATTTTAGAGGCTAATTCGAAGTTTTAAAAATTTTCAAAAATTATATTAATTGTTTTCAAGAATAATCAAATCACTTGGACATTTTCATAACCCATGTAAGTAAATTTTAAAAATGCCCCCCCCCCTCCATCCTTCCCGCTCGGTCCGCCACGATATGCACTTCTGACACTCTCTTTGCCCCTTCCCCATGTGTAATCCATGCAGAGTTATAAAACTGAGCTACCTGAAAATTATTTAGGGCTGCGAAAAACGAAGAAATGGGGTACGAACAAGTTTTGGTATTGGATTTTAGCTTCCAATGATCAAATCTTTTTTGCGTGCGGTCAGGGACGAGCGAGGTATTGTGAGAGCGCTGCTGCTTTTGGCTGTCGCGGCTCTCGGAACTCTTCTGGTCTTACAATTAGGTGATTGGTCAAGCGGTTGTCGGAGCTTTCAACAGATTCTCTCATTTCAAAATCTATATTTTACAGTCGGAGTAGTCCACTAAATTACCTGAAGGATTTGCTATTCCAGTCCGTTGAATTGATGTCCTCAAACTTTCACGGACACTGCCTTCTGTCCTCAAAAATTGCTTAACTCAATATTACATAAGTAAAGCTCACAAATCTTGCTCCTCTATCTTATTTTAGCACGTCATGCTCAAATGCCACACGCGACTCGCCGATCTGTACTCGCAGTTGAACGACGAAGATAGCGAAGAAGTGGCCAGGAGGGCGGCTAGTCAACTCACGCAAGAAATGGAGCTATTCTGCAATTTCTGTGGGCAAAGGTATATCTTGAATCGCACTTCTCCTTTGGTATAACAGTCGCACTAGGTATGGACTAAAAGACGAAAGTCTGCAAGCGCTACGATGTTCACATGTCTTTCATGAAAGGTGGTTTTGAACTTGGCCGAGAAAATTGCTGCGCTGTAAAGTCCGTTTCAGATGTCTTCACACATTCCTTTTGGAGCGCGAGGATCAAACGTGTCCAAAATGTCGGTGTCGAGCAATTGTATCGGATAATATCTCGATGAGAACGCCAAGCATTTGCTCCACTGTGGATGCACAATCTCCCAGCAGTAAGTTGTAAAGATTTTTTCTTCGAGGTAGCAATTTTAGCATTGTCATCGTCCAGCTCCACAAGCATATACTGCAATGTATGCTATATCAGAACACACAGTCTTTTGATCAGAATCTTACAAAAACTTCTTTTCTCAATCTGAATGCTGCTCACAAGTTTGGAGCACCTATCAGAAAGAGTCGTGAGGATACTAAAAAAGGATGCAGCAAACGTTTACACGATTATCACTTCGTAGGTGACGAAAATGTTCCTGACTACAACAATCGTATGAGAGCTCTTGACTGCGAATTTGAAATGCCCCGGACAAATTTCTGATGTTGGTGATTTCTGATGTTTGGCTGTTTGTTTCAAAATTACGTAAGGACACCATCCAACAATTAACAAAGAACAATGCTCCGAACCTTCAGCATTATGTCTCTAGAAAGAAGTGAGATAGCTACAAAAAACCCATCTTCGTGTACATCTGCTCAGGACAGCTTATTCAAAATTGATCTTACAAGCCTCTCCACTCTCTAAGGTGTATCAGCTTTCCTTGTCATTCATCCCCTCACTTCTTACTATTCTCAGTGTGCTGTAGTATTGGGTCTAAATTTTGTGAAACTTGAAGGAAAGATCTTCATAACTTTCTCAAGAGTTATTTTTCTATCAGACCTGTGGTGAGTGTAGCTCTTTGATACATAGATGTTACATGCAAAATGAATTAATTTTCAAACCTTTGAAATTTTTGAATTAGTCTTGGCAAGTTTCCAAGTTGCGTTGTTGGACAGCATAACCTTCCGAATTGCTTTCGTATTAGTACTGATGCTCCGGAACGTAAAAAAAAAACTGAAAATATAAGACTGAGGAATTTTAAGAAGGGAAAAAATGGAGGTTAATTTGCTGTGACAAAATTGCCTTGATAGCTAATATCCGTCAAGGTGAAAACCATTAGATAGCCTTATGTACGCTCCTCAAATGCGTCAAATAAGTTTTTAGAGCTCTCTTGAGGAAGACGAAGAATGTAACAAAACTTATTTTACGATCTAATAATACAATTGCTTCTGCGCATTAATGGTGCTTGTAAGCAACCAAATAAATGAATTTCGTCGTTTTCAGCTTCACAAATGGCAGTTCCATCCGGTGGAGTGAAAACACCACTTGTAGCCGCTGCTGCTGAGCTTGGCGATACTAGGCCGCAGTCCACTTTGACGAGGGCTTCAGTGAGGTGGGAAATTGCCGTTTTTGCTTTGGGACTGCAAGTGCTTGAATGCATGATCTGACTGATATTGTAAAAGGTTTTTGGCGGTCTGATTGAACAATGAATTTAATCGAAAAAAGCTAAGTGTAAGGGAAAATCCGACTTGAAACAATTTTTGGGTGCGGCTCTAAATTTCTACATTTTCTAGACAAGCCGAGAGAGATATAGATCGCTTGGACCGCACGTTGGATCGGATAGAAAGTCGCAACGATACAAGCACTTTGAGAAAAACAAAACCTCCTCCACCTCCGCGGAAGCCCTGTTGCTCGAAGGTTTTCGGACTTTTTGGATTTTTTTTACAAACAACATGAAGTGCAAATTCAGGATGGTTTACCACCATCGTCAGTTGTGTCTTTACCGCCACCGATGCCGCTTTCAGAGACTGGGCCACTTGTCTACTCGCGGGCACCTACCATTACCGATGTTTAGTCCACCTAGGAGATGTATTAACCTTATATTTTCCGGTTACATTTCCACACGAGTGCGAATCACAGCGTGTGTACTCGATTTTTCTCGAAAAATCTATGTTGACCAAATCGCGAATGTCCCCTGAATTAGGCTATGTTCGTATATAGAACATTGTCGTGATATTTCTGCCACTGCCTTGTGCCCACACAGTCTGCGCCCCGAACCCTTTCATGCCCGTCTACCTTTCAATCGTTCACAATTCGCGCAAGTCTATCTCCTTTCCCAAAAGCCATTCGCATTCATATTTTGTAACTCTTCTGTAGACCGATGTGCATCTCTTCATCATTCACTTTTCTCGAACAATCAAAGTCGAACGCTCACGTGCCCTATTTGTATACAAACTCTACCACTAGGTAATGATGAAAGTCCCTGCAGAGTCAGAAATGAGCCCCCCCCCCTCCCCTTCCCGAGTCTTTGTGTTGCTATAAAATGGGCTGCCGAAAACCTCAGTTTATGATGTACAATTCTGTTATTCTTCAGTCGCCATGATCTCAGCTTGAAAAGTGCTAAATAAAATATTTCTATCTAAACTGTTCAAAGAGTTCAGTTGATAACAGAGAGCAGGGGGACTTCACTGCCCAGCCGAGCTTTAGAAACTTGGCTCATTCTCATGCTGATGTGAAAATTAACAGGCAGTTCTCAATTTGCCAATTTATCTTCACCACATATGTGATTAGATTGCCACTTTCCAGTCTAGGTAAGTTTTCAAACCATGTGCTCTGTACGAACTCAGCTGAATCACCAAGTTTGATCGTTTTAGATTGGAAGTAACGTTACTGCAGCAAGATTAAATTGATTGTTAATCTGATTGGATACATCATTGCCAGTTTACAATAATACAATGTCATTTTTCATCGTGATGAAATGTCACGCAAATCATCGAAACCGGTTGTCCATTTACGCAGCAGCCTTATCTATCAAGAATTCTTGTAAGTTTCAGGGTTACTCCCAACTGAGGAGGAGCGTAGTTTCAACTTGATTTTTTTTGTACTCGGAAAGAGTAAACGCTAAAACAAGGCTTTCGAAATATAACTAATCTTTACCACTATTCGCTGTAAATGACCTTGTCAGAAAGCCTAATTCACCTGCCTCGCATCATTCGGCTTTCCATTCCGTCAATCAATTTGTTCCTTTTTCGTTTGCCACATGATAATTGAATTGATCTGCCTTGTATGGAAATAATCTCAAAATGCTGTGTTTCCCTTATTTTCATCAGAGTTTTCTCCGCCGGTGTTAAATGTTGGTGGCAAGACAATCGCTAAGATTTGATTGTTGACATCATAAAGAAAGGAATAGTTTGGGATCGTTATTTTTGCTTTTTTGACCATTCACAAATGCAGCTAGTATTATGTAGTACTTCGAGATGTACTCTAGATCTTCTGTAGGATAAGATCAGTGAATTTTATGATGTGGATCCATATCTCTCCCAATGGTCGTGCCGTGGCATTAATGCAAAGTTAGAACCGATTTTTGACACAACCTGGAATTGACAAGCATTCGTCTCCTATATTGCTCAGTTTCATTCTTCAAGTTCTTTAGGTTTTCTGTATCTTGAACTATGGAAGATAATGCATGGATAGAGCAAAAGTGAACAGGACGTCCCAAAAATGTGCAGACTCTTTGATAATTCAAAACATACTCCTGCTGTAATTTCTTTCGCCGATTACCACATATCATTCCGTAAAGCTGACTTGAATTTTGATTTACTGCAGCGAATAACCGATTGTTCTTTATTACCGTAGGATCACGTCGGAACTTCGGCGAGGATTTAGTCAATGAGAGCCGTATTTTGCCTTGGGAAGAAAAAACAAGCCAAAAACTTTAAAACTTTATTCTAACTAAGTCGCTGACGGAAATGTGATTACACTATTTAAACATACTGTAAACTCGTAAAAAGTTGTGCAATGAAATCAGCATGCGTGATTGCCCTGTTATATAATTTTTCAAACTTTTTAAAAATGTGTCAAACGGTCTGCTTTACTAAGATTTTGTATACTGGAAGTTCTTATGGAAATCTTACAGTAACGAAGAATGAATCTATGTTGAAGCCAACTCTACAGAGCGATACCTACAGATTGCCGAAAGATATTAATGCAAGAGAGTTACTGGTGATCAAACACTGGACACACTTTTTGGAAAACCCCAAATATCACTAATTCTACATTTTCAATCACTTCTTAAAGTCCAAATATTAGTGTTATAAAAGAAGCAATCGGTATAGTCGGTATCGTCTTTTAAAGCAGTGAAAGGCCATTTGTGTTTGCTTATAACATGACGATTAAAATTACGCAGCGTTGCCCATGCCGAAGCTAAAGAATAGTAAGGTCAGAAAAGAAATCTAAATTCTTTACAAAGAACTTTGTAAAGACGGCTTTATTCTAGCACCGTACAAACTCTTATAAAGAAATGATTTAGTCCACATGAAATGGAACTGGCTGACAATTCTTCTCCTAGTTGAGCTGACTTGGTGCATCTCACGGAAAAAGACGAGTGCGGCAGAGCGCGTTTTCGACAAAAATGATGATCTCGATTGGGCTAGGCCAGATGAGGACCCAGAAGAAGAACGGTAACGTTCCCAAAGATAAAATTCTTTCAGACGTAAAGCTTTTGAGTTACCTAATGATTTCAGACAAACATCAAAGAAAGACTTGATGCCAACGACTGAGGCATCGCAGAATCTTGACACTACTGAGACTGCCGCTTCAGCACAGTCCACTGAGTCTATTAACGAGAAGCTGGAAGAGAACACTCCTTCAGAAACCGACGGTAAACTTCAGGATCACAATAGAGGATACTTCCTGTAATACGAATATTTAGTTGTAAGTGCGTTGTTGATCGGAGCTGACTCGATCTGGAATCTTACGAAGCAAGTGGAAGAAGAATTTTTGTCATCGCAAAGTGATTCATCTAATAGGTGACTTGGACTCATTTTCTCATCTTATTCTCTTCTGCTCATCTTTTGTACATAACCGCTGTAAATGAATTAGTCAAGCTATCAAAGAAGATTTGTTTACTTTAAGAACAGTGCTATGGATCGACGCTAGCTATAAAGCCGAGGACTACAAGCTAAATACCACTTTGCTTGCTGAATGCCAGAAGTGGAAACGTTTTTGGAGTCTAAACCGAACCGAGGAGGAGGAAGAGAAGGTGTTTGTTCGCGAAAGCAGAAATAGTCGCAAAGTCATTACCGAGCTTTTCAGAATGCGACATCATCAGCGGAGGTGGCTGCTGAGAATTTGCTGAAGGAACTCAAGGAAACCGAGTTGATCAAAGATAAGAAAAAGCTGAAAAAACTAGGTTTAGACGAGAATCTCTTGAAGGAATATCAGGTAAAGTGCCTGTTGAACTAGGTGGTAATTTTTCTACCTAGGCACATCCTACACAATCGATGTGGGATTTCCCATTTGGCTGGTCTGGGACTTCCTTGATTTCTAGGACGTTTACAGTTTCCGAGTAATTTCAGGCAGTTGGTCTAGTTTACAAGGAAATTTGTGGTGACCATGGACGTATTCTATGGTTCAGAGATACGGCGGATGCTAAAAACATTGGCATTACGGAAGCGTCACCGATTTGCGAACCTTTCAAGGTAAATGAGCTTTTTCCTCCCCTATGCTAACCAAACACTGCAGCCAATTCTAGGAAGATCTCACACCCGATCTGGACAAATTAGAACTTTTGGCGAAGACTTTGGACGAACTAATACAGAACTTCACGCTGGGAATAATACCGCAAGTCATCTCTACTTCTGTGCAATCCACAACACCGGAAGAGACTGACGACGTGGTTGCGACTGTCAAAGATGACCATTTGGAGGAAACCACAGTGACACTGCAAGGATGGGACGTCAGGACACACAGAAGAGGGGACGGGAGCTTAGATTTTGGAAAGTTACCGGGTGTAAGAAGGTCGCATCCACCAGAAGACGGTATGCAAGCGTGGTTAAGGCAATGAAACCAAATGTTTTGACTTGCAGAAACCTCATTTCTGTTGGTGAAAGAAGCCGCAGATCACATCGTGAATGTAGAGGAAGTTGGTAAATGGCGAGCGGTCGATGAAAGACCAGAAGAAACAAAAAAGATTTGGACATTGGACAATGCTATCGTAGATGGACCGGGAGACTATCCTGCAAATATCGCGTAAGTTAGTCAAAGGGAGTCAGGAAGGAGGACTACGTTAGCAATAAAACTATACTGCTTTGCTTGACATTATTTAGCCAAATTCAATGATTTTAGTAATTTTTCTTAACTAATAATACGGATGATTTTCCTTCACTAAACATCAGCTAACAAAGTGAGGTCATCACTCCGTGCCTTCTCAAAGAAAATTCCAAGGTCTTGAATGTGATAAACTTCCAAAAAATTTGATTCTTTTTCTGTTCGCTCTCTTTCCACTCTACCTTAGGTTGGATACGAAGTTTTGCAACTTTTTTCATAACTCGTGAATCAAATGAAACTCGCGTAGACTGTGGACGTGCCATCATGTAGACTTTGGAATAAGTTACAAATAGGCACAAACTGTTCAATATCAACAGCGAGATAGAAATTTACGCATTCACTATTTCAAAGCAAATATCATGCCGTACACAAAGTGGACCACTCGTCGAGAAAGAACTGCAGTCAAAGCATAGCTATAGGTAAAAGGGTTACTTTACAAGAAAAGGCTCATTAACACATTGACGACAATACGACCCACCGGTGAGTCGTACGTATCCTGCCATTTCGGACAATACGACCCACCGGTGGGTCGTAAGATTCATGAAGCGCTGTCTTTGCCAGTTTACGACGGAATTCTACTGTTCTGGCACATGATTACTACGGGGTACTGTAATGTAATGTTACGGTAGGTATACGGTAGATATATATAAGGCACAAGCTTTAGCTCAAATTCTTCGTAAAATGATGCTGTTTATGGAGAATCAAGTTTACATGTAAGAGTAATACGGGGTGGGCAAGAGGCTGACGTTAGCCCATCAAAAAACTATCGATTTCATTGATTTTATTGATTTTTTGCATTTTTCATCCTAGGAGGCTCGAACTTTGCATATATAGGTTTTGTAGCATGCTGATTACGTAAATGATAGTCTCAAGTTTTGATACCACCTTCTAACATCAGTTTCTTGATTTCTACGAAAATTCTACCGTTCTGCTACCCTAGTCTCACGTGAGAATGTAGTGAACAAAGTGGACACTATAATGATCACGTGAAATAACCCCAATACACAAATTTTCATGAAAATTTATGATGTTGGGTTCGTACAAAATGACCACCATAACCTTACCGTTGCTGCCAAAAACTGAAATAAATCATATTTTGGTAATGAGCGCATTCGATAACCCTTGTGGGGAAATTCTCGGAGATATGTTCTGAATTTCTCCCAAAAAGACTACCATTTCGAACAATTCGACCCACGGGTGGGTCGTAAGTTTGGCAGAGCAAAAAAGGCTCCTGTCCGAAATGGCAGTAATCGACAAATCGGCCTTGTCGTCAATGTGTTAATGAGTGTTATTCTCGGCGCCTTGTACACTCGAAACTAAGGTAATAACTTGCCTCTGCCATGGGTATCTCGGTCTCATTCACTTCTAGTCGTGATGAAAGTATTTGTGATAATCGCATTGCTTAGCCATCACTATAAAGCCGCACCCCGGTCTAAACGTGAGGAGAAATCAATAAGTAAGAAGAAAACGGGAAAGAGCTTTGATGATGATGACGAGGAATGGCAGTTAACCATGGTCTGTTGAGTACCACCTATCTTTCATCTAGAGAGCACCTTATTCAACTGTAACACTTGCTTGTAGGCAGGTTCGGTCACTGAAAGTCCGACCGATGAAGAAAAGAACGATGGTGATGTGAAGAAGGGAAACGCATCTAGTTACAAATGGATTGAAATAGTTCACACCGAGGAAGCACAGTAGGTGATCAGCACCAGTATGATAAAATCAAACCTTTATTCAAGCCCTACACTTCTGCTGTCAACAGCGGAGGCCGTCGAAGGTCTATCGCTAAAAATTCCTTCTGATGCACTTCATCGTTTCGAGAAGGTATCATAGATCCACAAGTCTCTGTAACTTGGCGATTTTATAATGACAGCTTATAGATCGGCCTCTTCCTCCCAGGTATTTGTGCCGACTATGTCCCAAAAGCCATCGACGAGTTCAACAGCAGCAGTTTTGCAGGTTAGTTAACAGAACGTCTGCAGCAACCTAGACATCGCACGCAGAAACAAGAAGCTTTTAGCTCTCAGATCCCATATTACTTTGAACGTCCGCTATCTCTTTTGAACACGAACTATCTTGATCGAACGCAACGTATCCACTTCGCGTATGATTAGCCTATACTTGAAGACCCTACATTTATGTTTTTATTATAACTCCTAATCTCGCAGTTGAGGTGTGGAAATCGAGGGCCCAATTGGTGTGAATATTACCGCACTGGAAGCTGCTGGCGTAAACTTGACTGCTCTCGCGGAAAAACTACGGAATGACACCGAAGTAGATGAGATCCTGAGCAGAACGAATGCGTCGACAAAGTAAGATCATGCACTGATACGAAGAATGAAACCAGAATAACGTCTGCATTAGAGCAACAGAGAAGCTTACCTTCTGAAAAGTGTAACTATGAATTTCGGAGAATCTACACCGCCAATTTTCTCAAGACCAGAGATCTAAGCAAATTTTTGGTTTACTTTATTAGCTCCTGCGTTGAATAGCAGAAAACTACTTTGCTTTCATTTGGCAAATTTGCCCATGAGGGTATCGCAGGGACCTTCGACGGTATTCTGCCCAAGGAAGGGGGGGGGGGTAAGTCTTAAATGCGTTGTAAAATCCAAACAACATACATCTGACAAGGGTAGGAGCCGATTTCATTTCCGCATAAAATAGTTACCAATCTGAAGAGCATCGAACGTTGATTTTGAAACTGTCTTTGTTATCCGCCAAGCGCCTCTAGACGCTGAGTCATAAGAGCGTTTTTGGCTCAAAAATTTGAATGCCCAACTGGAACAAACTCGTCCAAGATTGCGCAAATGGCCCAGCGTTGGATATCAAAAGCGCTTTATGCATCAAAGTCTATTATACTCGTGCTCAACACTTCTTTACTCGAGCGCTGGAACATAACCTTTGATTTTACAAAGATTCTGCTATCATTTTTCTCCCCATAAACACTCATAACTCAGTAAGGGGGTTTGGCGAAAAAACAAAGACGTTTTTGGAATCAGCGTTCGATGCTCTTCAGATGACATGAATTTTATTTGAAGTCGATTTCGACTTTGGGTCCTGCCCTAGTAAAATTACAAAATCCAAACTTGCTAAAGAAATTATGTTCGGAGAGTTGACCTCCATACCACCTTTTTTCAATGTCAGAATTGTAAATCATTAAATATTCGGAAAGCATTGCAAAAAAGGGTCTATCAATCCCTCCATCCCTGGAAACTTTTGGAGTACATCTGAATGAGATCAAATAAGCGCATATGAAACTGCTACTCGACATAGATGCGGTGTAAAGTGTAGCAAAAAATATAGGCGATATCGTAGATTGTTAGATGGTTCATCGAATTCTACACAATAATTTGTCAAAAACAATGGCGGTTTTTTTTGCGTTTGAATCTGAAAATGGTTTTGCTTGGGAGCTAGTGTAACCATACTTGTTTAGAACCCTTGGTGGCAGTTACATACTTCCGGTGCTCAGCAAAAATCAGTACGATCCGTTCTCGGCTCCCATTGTGTTCCAAGTAAGTCGATATAACTTCTTTGATCGTACAAGATATTAGTACGTGAAAAAATAATGATACACATATTCAACGTCAGGGTAGCGCAGTTGTTGTTCGTTTCGGGATCTACATCGAGTCAATGTCGAATTTCCAGACCTCGACAATGGTAAGCCCACACTTTTTTGAGAATTTTAGCACAATCACGTCTCCATGAAGGTACCTTTCCTGGCTAGTAATATGCTACTGAGTTCCGAATAGGTTCGAAAAACTTCTGAGCAGATGGCTTAGGTTCGAAAAAATTGGAAGGCTCCTTAGATACTCGTGCGGACCATCTGCACCATCCGTTCGATTTTTCTTGCATTTAGACATTACAATAACACATTTTCGAACCAAAACTTCCTTTCAGGACTACGACATGGACATCTACTTGATGATGTCGTGGAGAGATGCTCGGCTTGTCACTCCTTATGACAAGCCAATTCTAGTCAAAGAAGAAGAAATACTCGAGAAAATCTGGCGACCAGATCCTTTTTTTGCCAATGCCAAAGAAGCAGAATTTCATGAGGTTACCTTTCTGAATTTCCTCATGCGTATCTTTCCGGATGGTTTAGTACTGTATGAGACAAGGTACTGGAAAGGTCTACTTACTGTAGAGATGTTATCGCTTATGTTTTCAGGGTCAAAATAAAACCGTCATGCAACCTGATTTTGTGCAAATATCCACACGATAAGCAAACTTGCGATCTACTGATCAAGTCATGTGCGTGAAGCAATTCTCTCGCGTTAAATTTTGCGATACTAGGGCTGAAATTCAGTTGCGTACCCCGTTGAGACAGTTCAATTCGAATGGTTTACTCGCAGAGCAGATGCTATCGACAAAAATCCTGATGTCAAACTACCGGAACTCTACATCGACCGATATGAGCCAACTACATGTACAAAAGCTAGAAAATCAGGTAACCGTACTCCTGTTAAAATTGCTTACTAGCTCTGCTAAACTTCAGGTGCCTTCTCATGCCTTCGCGCCGTGTTCCGACTCAAACGAGATGTTGGATTTCACATAGCACAAACGTATATTCCAACGTCATTAGCGCTGATGTTCTCTTGGGTAAAGAACCTTCACTTTAGAATTCAGGAATTTAACGTAAGAAAAGTCAGAAAAGTCACAGTTACTTGATTTGACACTGACCGTGGTTCCAAGGTCTTTTCGCGTGAAACAGAGTTCTTGCGGCCTGATATTCTGAACTATTATTTGGAGGTTTAGCTTGCTTGAACGAGAATTACAATCACTACGAATAAATAAATACAAAACACGCCATTACAGTAACTAAACTTTCAACTCAATAATATTTTTCACGTGCTTTGAATTAAATGACCCACCATAATACTAAAGGTCGAACAGTTGTTGAAGCTAAAGGACGAGAGAATGGGAGCAGGTCTATGGATCCCTTGTTTTTCTTAATATTAGCAAAGAGCCAAATTTCAAAACGAAACTTTTGGTAAATTTCTTCTGATAATTAGATACGATAGATCCAGCAACAGTGCTGAAAATGGGAAAATTCGTTGTATGGTTTTGCCCTTAGCCCCTTGTACAAAAGACAGATCTGGGAGCCGCTATTCAAGGTTGGTGTCTGGTTACCGGAAGAGTTTATGGAAGGACGCATTGGCGTAGCGATTACCGTACTACTGACGCTTTCGACCGAGTCTGCTGGTGCAAGAGAACATCTGCCCAGTGTTTCCTATTTAAAGGTGAGCATACTGTAAGTTTTTCAGTGGTGAATTGCACTAACAAATTTGAGGCAATCGATCTTTGGTTTGGCTTCATCACAGGATTTGTATTCTTTACTTTACTACAAACTCTCTTCGTCATTGGTTTCGACAAAAGAGCGAACCAACTTGTAAGTTTGTGGGAAATAGACTAGTTTGATGAAATTATGAAAGTAGCACATCTGCAGAAAAAATGGGCTCTGAAGGGAAAATCTGATATGACTGAGGATCAGCGAGATATGATGATGCAGAAAGCACAGAGATACCATAAAACCGGCCGGTTAGTAGTTTTTCACTTGGCTTCTGTATCACCCTCGTTATCGTAACATTTTAGGTACTTGGACAACTTCTGCCGCGTTTTCTATCCCTTAAGTTTCTTGCTGTTTCTCATAATGTATTATTTTGTCTTTACCGAGGGACGCCAAGACGATTGCATCAGTAGGCGTTGAAAATACTGTGCATGCTCAGAAGTCTCAGTGGACGAGTTCTAGGGTCGTTTTTTAACGTTCTTCTGTTTCAATGTACATATTTTATTAAATCGGTCTGGTATAAATGGTAACAAAACAAATGGACATTAGGCACACTTCAGGATGTCTGAGTCGCTCTAACTGAGGAATGTAGGGCATGTACACGTTTTGCATCACATACACAGTAGTAACTCTCGTCAAGGCTATTAAACATTCACTATCGTTTCCCGTAACCCCCTCTGGGCTGAGGAGCCGCTGCAGAACTCTCCGTTTGATAGTCGTCGTTGTTGATCCTTGGCTGTGATCCTGGGTTGATGAGAAGAATGGAGTCAACATTTTGACAGACACAAACTCCAGGTTCGCCGGGTGGTCCTTGTCCACCCATCGGGCCTTCGGGTCCAGGATAACCGGGTTCGCCGGTTTCCCCGGGCACGCCGGGCCAGCCGCGTTCTCCTTGTGGTCCGGTAAGTCCGTTTCTTCCAGGCAGACCAGGCATTCCGGTGGCTCCTACTGGGCCAGGTGGTCCTTCGTCACCTGGTGGTCCCTCTCTCAGCTCTCCTTCGGGCGTTGGTCCTTTATCGCCCGGCGCTCCCGGACCTCCCTTGTAGCCAGGTGGTCCTTTGATTCCAGGTTCTCCAGGAGCTCCATCTTCACCATCCAAGCCTTTCTAAAACTCAAATATAAAATTTTGTCACTTTACTGTCTATATCGTACCTCTCCAGGAGGACCTGGTGGACCAACATCTCCGGGGAATCCTGGCCATCCTTTGATTCCTGGTGGTCCTTTCGGACAAGGTCTACATGGAGGAGGTTCGCGCATCAGATTTGTAGGACATGTTTGATTGGGAGTAGCTCCTGGCATACCAGGTTTGCCTGCTTGTCCAGGAGTACCCGGTTTGCCAGGAATTCCAGAAGGACCTCGCGGACCAGGTGGACCGGGTATGCAACAACCTATAACGGTATGGATCATGACGGATGAGTAATGTAATTTGATTGAGTGAATTTTCAACTTGCCTGGGCATTCGGACTCCAAAGGTGTGCCAGTAACGGGTTCATCAAAACCTCCACCATAAGTACCACGCTTCGTTCTGTTTGATGACATCTTGCCGTACTCAAGTTCCATCAGAGCTTCTTGATTTGAGCGCTGCAATGGATGCAAATGAGCAAACATTCTTGGACTTTCTTTCAATTTTTCTGATCGATTTTCATCACTGACTAAAGTACTATCCTGGAAAAAGTCTCAAGCTAAACACGCAAAAAAATTTACCTCACAAAATGCCATCTCTTGTTCCACATACTGGATAGTCGACTGCACATTACTGTACATCAGTGGTAAAGTTAAGCAGAGGATTGCGAGGGAAAGCACACTGAAATACGTGTTATGAGTCAGTGTCAGCTACGCACTCACTTTTCGGAAGGAGAATCTTTTCGACATATGTTCACAAAAGCAGGAAGCATTTTTCCAAAAAAATATGCAGCACCTAAAGGCAGTCTGTAGAGCGGTAACGAACTGGTAAATCCTCTTTCGTGGATTCTTCATTTTTAGCGAGGATAGCGGAGAGCTGAAAAAATAGTACATTAGTTTTGCTTTCATCCCCTCTGCGCTTGTTAACAGAGTATCATTCCAAAAACTTCCGTTCAATAAATTTCATAGGAAACCTATGCAACTTATAATATGAGGGCACTTGCAGACTCTTCCTTTTTGGTAAAAGGGCGAGAAAGCTCTCGATAATCAGATGTTAAGCACTCTCGATAATCAGTTGTTAAGCAATTAGCCTTTTGTTCTTGCAGCACGGTATCAAAGACCGTGAATATTAGCCTGTTTTTGACCCGTTTAGTTTCCGCTGTCCTTTGAAATCCTGCTTTACTCATCTGTAATTCTAGAGCCACTTACTGAAGACCCCTTTGACTCTTCTTTCTTGATTCATTCATTCGTGATTTCGATTTTAAACTCAGGAATTAGCGCATTATTGAAACCCGAAATCTAAATGCCCGTATTTGAAAGCGAGTCAAGCGGGACATTATAGCATCTAGAGTCGAATCAAGTACATTGCAGCTGCGTTTTAAGAATTTCATACGGAGAAGGGAGAAGTCGCGAAGAAATCTTCTTTTGAAGGGCGGGCCCTCGAAAAAATTTTTTTACAGAGCTAAGCTAATTACTTCACAGAATTCTGAATTTGTTAAGATTTTTTAAAAGAAAAACAAGTCATTTGCACAATCGCAAATTTTTAACTCATGTGGGCCACTTCCAAAAATTTGGTAGCCCATAATTCACCCAATACACTCCATCAATACATTGTTATCCTTTTACGATCAAAAAGATTACAAGAGATTTGCCTTATCTGCTATCAGATAAACTCCAAAAAGATGAGACAAAGTCCTAAACTTTGGATGGATGTGAGTTAAATAGAATGATGGGTTTTTCAAAGACCTTGACATTTACTTTAAATCTCTGAAGCAACTAATTTAATAGTGCAGTAACTGGAGAGCGGAAGAAAAGCTGCAAAATATCATCCAGTTCCCATTATCGATAGTTTTTCTGTGGGACTAATATTCGGAGGCAAAAAACGAAAAGAAATGGAAAATATAACAGCTTTTGCATCAAAATTAAGTCAGCATTGCAATCAAAATTGTCAATCGTCAAGTCAATCCAAATTGCTACTGACAATGAGTAACATACATATAGTCCGATTTCAGTTCTCTTTCAACTAAAAAATTTTCATGACAAAACTTACACGTCGTTCCCTTCCATCTGCATTGTTTGTGCGCCACCACCAATGCTTTTTAGCCGGCTCCTCTTTTTGGCTCAAGCTATCGTCGAAGTTGTATGAAGCCTGGATTCAAAAATGATTTCAGATGTCAACTTAATTTAGCAATCTAGCAAAAGAACAAACCTTTCGGCTGCGTCTATAAAAATTTGGTTTTTTACTGAGCACTTGGAGAAGCAATGACCAAATACGTGAAGTAGTAGATTTTTTCTTCTTTGGTTCCTCCTTGATTATACTGAGAGAATAGTTATTATTCAATGGCCTCTAAAGTGGTCACTTACTTTCCGTTAGAGTCGCGAGTAAGTTTCTGCTCCTGTTCTTGATGTTTAATCTGTCTTACGGTTCTTTTCTTCTTATTTTCCGTAATAGTTTCTTGGCCACGTTCTGCCTGCAATCAGGAGCATAGAGTAAACCAAACGAGACAAAATTTTTCCAGTAAGTCCAATTTGTATCAAGTTTGAAAATGAGAAGAAATAAAGTTGCACAAACGACTGAAACGACGAAACCTGCTCATGTCACTCTAACCTACTTTCTCCAGGTATTTGAGCACATGATATTGATATAGAGTAAAGGAGATGATGAGAGAAATGGACAGGGATGCGATACATTTGGAAGATACCTGTACGAGAGTAGGCGTGGTCATACGGGACAGCGACCCAGATGTTAGAATTGGACAACTTCCTGAAAAAGAAGTATACCGCACTGCAAACGAAGAAACAATAGAAGGAGAAATTGAAAAATCAATTGCACGCTATTAAAATATTTTTGTTTTAGGTAAACACGGGCTATGCTTGAAAAGATTTTGTGGGGCTACAATAAACTGGGTTTGAATGTGGTGAGACTAGCGCGGAGACAACCTCAATACTAAGAAATGGAACTTTGTGAAAAAAATACGGGAACCTCAATCATTGCCCTTCAGAAAATAAGCTAACCAAAACTTTCCTTTGTCAGAAAAGTGAATTTTGAAAAGTACGTTCTTCCCAAGAAAGGGTCGCGCTGTTTTTCCTTGCAAAATTTCGTACTCTGAACAACCTAATAAGCAAGTTTCTAGGAATTACTCTTTGCTTAGCCGTCAGGGTTTATTTAGCTCTTCCACAATGAAGCAGAACTTGAACCCTGTGAAGTATTACGAAATTATCACTTCTAGATTACATGAATGTAAATGCCGCTGGTTAACGAAGAATTGTTGGTTTACTGAGAATCTCTTCTAGTTAAGTTCGTAAAAGTACAGTCTAGATCTTCAGACCCACACAATTATCCCCTTCTAACTAAGCATTAGAGAATTGCATAACTCGGTGTTGTGTTCGATATCGTCACGGAAAAACTGGACAATCGCAGTAGTTTGGCCCCATTTTCGGTAATGCATTAATCATTGCGACGAGAGGAGAGTGCATGGAAATGGAATGTGATGGTCAACGGAAACTTCGGAAATTTGAATTAATTTGGGCACAAGAGATAGATGAATTTGAGCTTGCCCGAGGGATTGTTCTTCAGTGGTGGAAGAGCAGCGGAAGTGTTGCGGAATTGGAAAGATAATGGATCGTCATTGATGCATCTGCTGCTCTAGAATTTCAAAAACACAAACTCGGACTTCAAAGACAAAATGGAGCGGATCGGGTGCAGTTGGCTGTCTACACCTAACGATGGGGACATTTAGCCCAGCTGTCCTTGACCGCTGTGGATCCACCGGCAACATATCCGAAAGAGATAAACAGCACTCCCGATCATGCACACATTGCAACAACAACAGCCTTTTCACAGCCGATAAATCAGCATTCGATTACCGTACCATTACCCCCCCCCCCCCTCCCTTCCCCTTCACGGCATTCTCTCCCCCCCCCCCCCCCTTGCGAATAGAGCAACAATTTGACTACAATGGGATAATGGCCATTCGCACGCACTATAGCAATTAGCGCCTAATGACAATATGATTAGAGTTGCAAGGATTTATAACTGAATTCTCACTATCATAAAAGAACTCTGATTGAGACGAGAAACAAATGCGCGTTGGGTTGTGCGAAATGAGAGAGACGTGGTAAACTTCAAACAGGTCATAGTTGAAAAACTTGGAAATTCGCACAAGAACCTTCCCTTAGTATATTTGCTTCAGATGACCATTATCGATGATTTCGTGATCAGAACAAAATAGCTTATAATTTGCTCCTGACTCATACTAAACATAATATTCTAAGATGATAGGTATTATTTGGTTCCAAATTTTCAAACAATGCTATCAGAGAGACATAAGCTTCTAAAACACACCTACAAAATTCGATTTTACGCAGCAGGCTTGATTCGACACGAGATCCATTTTGTCCATGATAGGGTATGTCCAAAGCCATCAATAAAATCTGCTGATTTAGTTCATTTTATTTCGTTGCCTGAGGCTAAACTATAATGATGTGGATGTGAGACTTTTATCAGAATGGCAAGAAAGTTTTTGGACATTTCTAGGCTAAAATTGCTATTTCGTAAGACTTGAGTATAAAAGAGAAGATTTGCAGTTGCGTTCCCCTATGTATTTAGTTTACATCTGAGCAAATGGAAGGGTAGGATAGGGTAAATAAGTTGATAAGGTTTAATAAGAGTGGAATTTGCCACTTTTCAAACGCCTTGTTTTTCTCGTTATTTGAGGTATAAATTCCATACGGATACACATAAATAAGTGAGTGCGTCCACTGTAAGCAGAATATGCATGTGGAAATGTCATAGCGTTTACAAAAGGTGCAGCTCAAAGATTGCCCAAAATCGTGCTCGGCTTGCTTTTTAACCAATCTGCTTTCCTCTAACCGATCTGCCGCATAATCCACTCAATACTTACACTAAACAAATTTTTTGTCGAAATTTAAGTCCTAAAGCTTCCCTGCCATCCTAAGGCATATGCCACAGTTGAACCAGTCAATCCACTTCATCATTTCGCTATTGGTCAAACTATAAATCGAGCAATAGCGAAGTGGATCAACGAATCAAGTGGATAAAGTGGACGTTTTTTTTTTTCGCTAATGTTCAGTTCGCTATTTCGACCAATAGTGAAGGGGATCAAGTGGGTCAAGTGGATCAAGTGGATCAACTATGACGTGTGCTTGATACTCGTGAAAAACCTACTATCCTCTGTTTTACTTTTGATAAGAATGATTAATGAAAGATGCATTATTTCCATTTTTCTTCTCGGTATTGATGTGTCTCGTAAAAAAAGAGTGAAAAGCTCAGTTGTGGAAATTGACCTGTATGTAACCCCTTAGCCAAGCCTTGCATTTCAAAACCCAGTAACGCGTAAAGTAGCAGTTGGCTCTCTCCCTTTTCTCTGATGGCCTAATTATCAATTCACTTGCCGGTCACCTACTTTTTCAATGTTGGAGAGATTTGTAAATGTACTCTGATGCGCCGCTATCGATTCCAATCCTGTGACCTAAGAAAGCGGTTATCCTTTCTGCTACCTACATGTCATCATTGCCGATTAATCGACCTATTTTCCATGCGTCGCGAAAATGTTCTCTCGCTTACGCTGTTTTCATGAGCGATGAGGCAGCGATGTACTTGTGGAATTAGGATTATGACAATTTTATTACAACGAAACGTGAAAAAATGTACGATAAACAAAGGAATGTAATGACGATACCTCGGACACTGCGAACAGCACAGAATGCTGGAGTTTAGAAAGTACATAATCGACCCTTAGAATTCATTTGCACAAGTTCTCAAGACTATGCCTCTGTACAACAACGGAAATGGTAAGAGAACTTTGCATGAGCGAAAGCAGACAACAACACAACAAAAGGTGAAAACATTAGTGCTGACGCATTTTCTTAACCTTTTTCCGCATTTGTTTGTTGTAATAACCACCATTGTCGTTATTTGAGAAGGTTTCTTCCATGATGTCGTTAGCATGAATCTCAGCGCTGCAAAAAGTTCATGTTTTTTTGGTCAGCCGCAAGGAATGCAGCAAAACGATTGGCTTACGTTGGTTGCCTCAACAGAGGTGGACGAGTTGGCTCTGGCTCTTTGTATGACTCTCTAGGGGCGGGAATTTTTCCATTCACGTCAGCCATCACAATTTCAGTATCTTGGCAAACACATGTTCCAGGAGATCCTAGAAATTGAAGGTTTGTTGAAAAATCCACAGCGCTTAGCTTGGCCTACCAGCCGGTCCTTCTTCACCAGCAGCACCAGGAGGCCCTTGTGGTCCCATCGGTCCAGGCGCCCCAGGTGGACCCGGCCATCCCTTCTCGCCTGGTGTTCCTGGGTAGCCATCCTCTCCGGGCATTCCTGGACTTCCTGGTGGTCCCCATGGTCCTGGTGGTCCTGGATCTCCAGGAGGTCCTGGGATCACATGAGCTTCAGGTGTTCTTCCCTAAATAGCTATTATCCTATATAGAACATCATTGACTACCAGCTGGCAAGGTCTACAACAGAAATGGAAAATTTCAGCCCGTAAAAGATGAAGAGACAAGTTTACCTTATCCCCAGGTGGTCCAGCTTTTCCCGGTACTCCTGGGGGTCCAGCAGGTCCTGGTTCCCCTTGTTTCCCTGGTAATCCATCAGCACCGGGCCGTCCGGGAATCCCAGGATCTCCAGAATCTCCAGGGAAGCCAGGGTGTCCAGGAAGTCCCCTAGGACCTTGTGGACATGGTAGACATGGTGGTGGCTCGAACACTCGTTCCGGAATGCAGGATGCATTCGGAGTCGTGCCAGGCCGCCCTGGTGCTCCGTCAGGACCTGGAGCGCCAGGAAGCGCAGGTAGTCCTGGATCTCCAGTAGGGCCTCGTTCGCCAGGAACACAGCAAGCTGTGAAAGCTTTCGTTCAGAATCTCTAAGCACAGCAAGTCGGAAAGTTCTCACCTGGGCATTCCTGGAACTGGGGAGCATCATTTACAAGCATAGACGGATTATAGTGCCCGTAACTAGCTGCGCGGGAGGATCGATTCAAAGCGGTTTCTCGGTAAGATTCTCGAACGGAGACCATCTCTTGCTCCATGTCTGACATGGCACTCTGAAGTGGAGGTGTACGAAGCTACTAGAAAGAAAAATTTCAAGTCGACACACCTCGCAGTAGGCGAAGTCCAACCGACCGAATTGTCCAATGTTATCCACCAGGTTGTACATAGAGGGAACAACGAGACATATTGTGAGGAGTGATAGCACAGAAATCGATCCAGATATGGCAATAATGAATTTGTAGGCTTCCTCTCGAGCCTCAAATGTCATTAGTTTACCTTTCATTCAAAGCAAGCAGTCATTTCGAGATAGATGGTATAATATTTTTTGAATTATAACTGCAGACAGTTCATGAACTCTTCTCTGGAGAAAGGCTCCACTAATTGCGTAGGAAGTAGAGAAAGATAAGTAAATGAATAGAGCGTTGCTACATAGAGTGCAAAACCTGCCTGCGTTTACAACTTAACTATACCTCAGTTAGAAGCTCTGACTGCGAGTTTGACCCGCGTGGCGTCGAGCCGATCATGAGAGAGGATGTTTAGTTGAAAATTGATGCTGCTGAAAGAGTTGGTAATGAGCATTTTGCCAAAAGATTTACGGCAATAGTAAACGAATGTGCACGCTATTGCAAACTTTTTAGAGAACTCGAATGATAACTTACTGTCGTCTGTTTTTCCACCTCAAAAAATAAGAATTATCGGGGTAGAGCAAAAGTCAATGCAAATCAAATTGCTGCGCTTCTGGAAGACAGTTTTTCGGAATACCTTAAAAGTGCACAAAAATAAACGCACAATTTCCCCTTAATAAGACTGTTTTAGCTTTTGACGTAAAACTTGAATGAGAACGAGAAGAAGAGAAGAAAGAACAGCTACAGAAGAACATGTCTCGGTGAAGAGAACACAGAAATTTTGAGATATTCTAGAAAAATATAAGATTTATTTAGAAGAAGATTGAGTTGACCCTTCGGGTAGCTAAGATCTGATCAGAATATTAGAAGAGAAAGGCTTGATAAAAATCTTACGATGAATGAATGTGCTGACTTGCATCCGAAAAGCATTTAAAAAAATCTAAACGCAAGGCTGTGAAAAGGCACAAAATTGGAATTTTCTTGACTTCGCTATAAACCAATGAGAGAAAGTTGTAAAGACACAGATCCTAGGTATATGCGCTGAGATCGGTACAGCGAGATACGCGTCGAGAGCCCCGGCAACGTTGTCGACCGTTGCGGCGTCAGGTATCCGTCGGTCTTGACCCCAATACACCCCCACCTGAATCCCCCTAACGTCGGAGATAGTCTCTACCCGAGAATACGGTACCCAGTAACACACTGAGCGGCGGGCATCAGATCGGCGAAACAGTGAGCGCCTTTCGCGACCGCTTTTTCTCGATCTCATTTCCGAGAAAACTGCGGAATCGCAACGGAATTACGTCAAGTCGAACCGAATCGAAAAGTAGATCTTTCTGCATCATTACCTCAATGAGATGCGTGAATAAAGAATTAGGGAATCATTCTTGCGCAATGCATATTGAAAAAGTTGACATTTGTGCTAAATGTATATAATTGCGGGAAAGAGATTGTAAATTTCTTACTATAGCATCATAAATCCTTGAAGGCCACCGAAATTGAGGTTGAAGAGATTTTGATGTTATATAATAGCGGAGGCCCTAACCAAAACTGCCCAAGTCCCGCTGCAAAAGACGAATTCCGAAGCGAGAAAAATCGTTCAAAAGGTAAAAGCGGCCCTGCTGTCCATCATGTGGGTGGTATGAAAATGAAAACTCCATAATCTCTCTCTAATGTATTTAGCGTTGTTATAAATCTGCACTTTTATTATCAGACTTCCGACTTTTATCCTGAAGCCCGCTTTCGAGTTGCTATCTTAGGACTCCCACGTCCATGCGGAACAAACTGGTCCGTTTCTACCTTCTGGAGCAATTTGCTCGCATTGGAATTCGTCTTTTACTGCGGAGCTTCAATTACCTGGGAGACCCGCTCTTATACAGCATCAAATATCCCAGAATCCTCACTCTGGGTGGACGGTGCCTATAAGGGAAAGTTGAGACGGTCGATCTAATCAGCTTAGGCAGATCTCTTTAGAGCATGAAAAGCTGATTTCAAATCTGCTTTCGATATCTGCAAAGCGCTTTTGGGAGGGGAGTTATGGAAATTTTTGATGCAAAAAACTGAAAGCGCCCCTACGATAAAATCATTCAGATCTTGAGTCCATGAGCTCAGACGGTGCCATGAGTATCGGGGTGTTTTGTACAACAAATACCTTCAGTCTAATAAACTTATAACAGTCAATACTCCTTTCAAGCGCCGAAAAGATCTCAATAGGCCAATTTTTACCTTCCAAATCAATGAGTTTTTACCTCAAAAAATTCCCAAAACCGCTCCCAGAAGCGCTTTGCAGGTAAGGAAGACAGATTTGAAATCAGCTGTCCATGTTCTGTAAGATAGTGCACATTTTGTATGGAAACGCCACTTCGACCAAGTATCCTTCCCTTGTTAGGTACGAAAGAACACCAAGAGATCAATGTCAACATTTTGTTCCCTCGCCTCTGAAACAACTTGCCCTCGGGCATAGAATCAATAAATGATCAGCTCACTGCGCAACATACAGGTTGGTGTAACAACTTTATAGAAGAAATGTTATTATCAAACCTAGTACATCAAAGAGGCATCAGAAATCACAGCTTAAGATCACAGTAGGGAACCAGTTCATAGCGTTATTACAGCTTTCATCAAATTTTACTCGAGGGAGTAGGCTGAAACTCAAAAACTTTGTGAGAAAGGCAAAAAGTGGTCTTCACATAAATGACGAACAACAATAGAAACTTTACCGTAGCCAGGATTATTGTATGCATCCACCAAAAATGCTTCATATATACTAGCATGCAGAATGCGTATAGGACATTCGAAAATCGTGACGATGGCAGCGTTTTTTTTTGATTTTCATATCCATCTGAATAGTATTTCTGCAGTCATATGACAGCTAATGGGTACTCAAAGTGAATGAGCTGAGCAGAGGAATCTTTTGTTTGAGTGTTTCAAGCTGTTGTTAAGTTTGGGTGGGCGCGAAGACCGCAGTAGGATTTCTCGTCACGATTTTATGAAGGCCCTACAAACTCTTACTATTCAGAGGCAGTTTGCGAAAAACCAGCAATGTATGAGCATTAGGTGAACAAAAACGATGTATCCAGCCATCGCATATCGGAAGTATGGCATGAGAGCCCTTTGTGGGCGACGACGTAAGATGCCGAAACGCCTTGACAGAAGTGTGACAAGGGAGGGAAACGGTGTAGAAGCAGAGACGAAGTGTGCAGACTAAACAAATTTTCGATTTTTCAAATTCTGTATTCATCGTTATAACCACCGTTTACCTACCTCTGCATTCTCTGAATGATCTGACGAATGTGGAGGTCTGCTTTTGAGTAAGTTCGGGTCATCACCGACGATTTCCTCAAACTCTTCCAACTGCAAACAATGGACATTCATTCTCAAGAAGAATTTCCACGTAAATGCGTCTCGTAATTCAAACAACTGACCTCCGCTATCCTTCTCTCCGCTCGTTGTAGATCCGTTCGAAGCTGGCTTATCTCAGCATGACTCTGCTCCTGAAGGAGGTTGTCAAGGTTGTCAAGAACCCTATTTGCACAAAAAAGTACAGACGTACCATAGACTCGATCTGTACAGCAACGTGTTCTACAGGTGGTGTTTGATTGACCCCGCTTGACGACGGAATATCTGGGTTGTGCTCAGCTGACTGTTCGCGCTCACGCAAAAGGCTAGCAACTTGCGATTCAAGCTCGACTATCCTGGAATTAGAAGCAGTCAACATGGGTACATTCTCCGCATAATGAAAGAAATGCAAGAATACCTACCTCAAAGTGGTATCCATCTTTGCCTCTCCAGCTTGACGCAGTCGATTAGTCCTCTCGTCCAACTGTCCATTTAGAGCCGTTAGCTGAGCAAGAAGAGCGTCTTTCTCGGTTACAATTCGATCGATGTACGATTGCGAATTGGTCAATTCCTCGTATAATTTCGCCTTTTCGGCGCGATTCTGAAACAATATAATGGTAAATGGACAGATCAGCTAGAAGAGTCACTTTTACCTGCTCGAGTGCGGCTTCAAGATGTCGTACTTCTTCATTGGCGCGAGCAAGACTTTCTATTTCTTGAGCGGCTAGCTCGAATCGTTCCCGATAGAATTCCATCTAAAGTTACATTTTCAGAAGATGTGTAATCATTCACATGTTCCAAAGAATCATTCAGATATCTATGCATGCCAACTCCGTACTTTTCTCACGGCATCGTCATATTGAAGACGTGCTTGCTCCGCGGAATCACTGAGAGCATGTACACGTTGCTCACTAGCTTCCAAGTCACTCAAAACCTGAAGAGCATGGGACCTAATGTTACTGTAGATTTTTCATAGGTTGTTGCTTTCTTCTACTATGTCACCAATCTAACTGACCTGCTCCATTTTCTCATCGTGTTCACCTTTCAGTTGTGCGATGCTTCTCTCCAGTGCTATCACACGTGCAGCTGCTTCTCTCCCTTCCCCAGCCATAATGAAAGTTTGTTCTCGTTCAAATACAGCTCGTTGCAGCTCTTCGACTAGCCTTCAAATGCAGTTCGATGATGGAAGCGGTGACACGGATGAACCAAGCTCACCGTTGATTTTCATTTCTGGTAGCCATTGCAAGCGACTCACCATGCTCTAGTGATTGGCGCATCGCACCTAACTCGGACTGTAAACAAGCATATTAAAAAAGCATAAATCCATAGGGCCTCTACGTATGCTAAATCGGACGGTAAAGTCGATGAGGTACTAACATTCGCGAGTGAATAATTTGCCAGGGAGGGGGAATTCAAAATTGCGCGCTCCACGGCCGTTTTGCGTGCGCAAAATCCATCGGCACATGCTTCCACTCCATTCACTTCGCTACTGGCTGAATCAGCGGACTGATGGATCAAGGGGCATCTACTTTATTATAGGTCAGTTCTCAGATTTGTCCAACAGCGAAGGGATGAAGTAGACCGGTCGTCCCATCGAACTTTTGTGCTTCGGATTCGGGTGTAGCAAATCGTGCAAGCGGAGTAGAGGACTGCATGTCGCGGAGGAGGGAGGGGTTGCGCTCGAACATCTGAAACGATTAGGCATCGCTTGCGCGATGTGCACATTTGTTGCAGATATCCGCTCCGACATACTCCTTCAACCACACAAGCGCAAATGTTGCCGGTAGTTGGCACCGCGAGAACACAACAAGCCTAGAAGATGCTACGCATTTCCATATCTACGATTTTGCCAAGCCCAACAACTGTTCGCATGACTTTTCCGATTTTCAAAATATAAAGATGGCTTTCAACAATCAAAACCGCGACATTCAACCTTTTGGAGGATTTTTTGGCGAGTTACAGATGGGGGGGGGGGGGACGAGAAAATTCAAAGTGGGGCGTTTTCGGGCAAAATTCCCAAACAGAACAAAGCCACAAGAGCATTCTCCCTTCAAAGCTGCGCTGAATATCACTTACTCTCGTGCACTCCAACTGCTCGTGAGCCAAGAAAAGTTCTTTTTCCAACCGAACATTGTCATCTCTGAGGTGACTGATTGTCTCTTCTGATCGCTGAAAGTATCTTGGGCATAAATAGATGAAACAGCAATCTGAAGAGTAATGGGTGACGCAGAATTTAAGTATATACCTTCAGCTCCACGGACGACTGGACATGTGTGACGTTTACACGTTCTCTATGCTTGGCAAGCTCAGTTCGAAGTACAGCCAGCTCTGTTTCATAACTAAAATATTTCTGTTAGGAGTGTTGGGTTTGCGGCTACTGTATAGACATACAAAATTTTTCTGCGTAATGTTGAAAATCATTTACATAAAGCGTTGCGATAACGTATTTCAAAAAATTAGCCAGAGTTTTTTTTGCAATAGATCTGGCTTTATTTTTATTTTTAAATGAAGCGTTAATTCTACAGTTTTCTTCATCCATATTACTCATCATGAACGACAAAAAAATCCAGCACTTTTGGGTTTACAGCCCCCCCCCCTTATACAGGGTATGAAGTCGTTTTTCACTCTTCCTATCAGGGAGAGTGAAAAGATTTGAGGAAAAACCTATGGAGGGGATAATGTCACGAAGTCAGACGAAAGATCCTTTAGAAGCACTAAGAGCTGTTCTTTTTTATTTACTCTTTGTTGTGAGAGTAAGTAAAACTTACCCTGCAATCGCTGAATCACGGTCAGTCACAGCATTTGTAAGTTCCTCAATACTTTCATTCAGCTTGTCGGAACTGATCTTCGCTTCGAGTAGCTCCTCTTCTAGCAAGTGCACTCTGTCATTTAACGCGTCTAATCTTTTCTCCTTCGATAGCAACTCCTTTCTAAGCTGTTCAGCTTCTGAAGCCACAGTTTCTCTTTCTTCCAAGTCCGCCTCCAGTGTGGACACACGTTCTTGTGCATTGTGAAATTCAAACTCAGTCGTCGCCAGACGTTCTTGAAGATCTTTGTATGCTTGCTCCAAGTGGGTGAATTTTTGTCTAAGCTCGTTTTTTTCGAGTCGTGCTGCTTTCAATTCTTGTTCTTGTTCGTGCCACGATCGTTCTGACTCACGAGCAGCGGTCAATTCTTTCATCAACCCAAATTCGCGAGCTTCCATCTCTGTGACCTTGAGCTTCAAACCATTCACTTCATTACATAAGGACTCGGTCTTTCTATCCAGTTCTTCTCTACTCGAGTCACGAGCTAACTGTTCTTCCTTCATCGTCCACAGTTCCTTTGACAAACTGTCTTCCGATTTCCGAACAGCCTCCAATTCAGTAAGGAGCATCCGATTTTTCTCCTCTATCTTTTCCTTATCCTTACTAGAATTCGTCAACTTTTGCTCAGCAGCACTCAGCGACTGTTTGACTTGCGCAAGGTCATTCGAGAGACGTTCATTCTCCTCGACCAACTCATCGACGGTAAACTTCGCGTTTTCTGCAGTAACTTGCACATCGCGCAGCTGCTTTTCCACTTCTTCCACAGGCACATTCCTCGATGCTACTTCTAGTTGTGCTAACAGCGTATCAACTGCAGCATTCGACTTTGATAGCTTGCTCTAAAATCAATTTTTTAATTAAAAAATCTGTAAAAATTCGATCGACCTTCAGCTCCTCAATTTCCAAAGCTGATTCCGCCTGCGCATCAACCAAGGCATTCTCACTATCCCGTATAGCAACTTCTAAAGTTAATATCTGTTCCGATAATGATGAGATCTTGCTTTGTAACTCGATGTTTTTGTGGCCTTAAAAACAGAAATAAGCACAGTAAGAAGTAGGATGTTTTTGGAGCACCTTGTTGCTTATTCTTCGACTCCAACATTTCGATTTGCTCCTTGCGCTGTATAAGTTCTAACTCGACTGCATCCAGGCGCATTTGAAGATCATGCGGTTCTTCGCGAGTATCGCTATTTTTCTGTTCCAACAAAGCTAAAATTACAGGTTTGGGGAGCAATATATACACTCGACAAGAGACGAGCTCTTCATCGGAGCGGAGCAAAATTCAAGTATATAAAATTACCAAGTTCAGCCTTCAGGCGGTGATTTTCGCCCATTTGGGTAGCGAATGCAGATCGAGTCGCTTCAAGATCTTCTTCGGTAGATTTGACGGTCTCTTCAAGCTCGACAATTCTTCGCTCTAGAAGCTCACCCTTAAGAATTGAAATATAATTTCACGAGACGACACAGCACAACACCGCTTACCTGATCGTTCGCAGTCTGATGCTCCTTTGTCTTAAAGGATAAAGCGCTCTCCAATTCGTCAATTCTGAAGTTAGCCTTCTCTAGGCTTTCTAGAGTAGAGCCATAACCATACCGCAGCGTTTCCATCTCGGAGTTGATGAGTTCTACTGATTTCGAGTACCTCTCTTTTTCCTCTTCTAGCTCTCTTTCCAATTCTTCACACTGTGTCGCCAGATTCTCACATAATTGCCGCTTTTCAGCCTGATCAACTTCCAAAAAGTCGGCCTTGTGTGTGCTATCCTCTAATTTCTCACAAAGTTCTTCCCTCTCCTGAATCATTCTAGATCTTTCGGCCTCAAAACTCTTTGACAGTTCCTCGTACTCCATTATTCTCTTGCGCTCAGTCTCTTCGATTTCATTGATTCTTCTTTTCAACTGCTCGATTTTTTCGAGGAGAGTTTCGTTTTGCTCTTGGAGAATATCCTGAGCCTTTGTCAACTCATCATTATCCCTCTGAGTGGATGCCAATTCAGCAAGAGAGCAATTGTAGGCCGTACGAACTTGCGTGAGCTCAGCCTCCAAATCAGCACATCTATCACACAATTCTGTGCTTGTTTCGGGAACATCTGGATCTTCGATTTCATGACCAGTTGCAGCCAGCGAGGTCAGTTCACCCACTAGTTGTTGTTCTTCCGTATTGACAGTTTTATCATCAGACTGAGCATTAACGGTTATTTCCTCTACAGAACTTGAAACAGGTGTAGATGTCTGTGTAACGGCCTCAATAAGCAGGCGGCGGTCGACTTGTTCTGAAATTTCCTCCAAAGAGCGCAAATGTCCTTTGGCTTCTTCTATGATTCTGTCACGATCGCATACTTTTTCTTTCAAATCTGATACTTCGACTTTCAACGAACATATAAGATCAAGAGCTTCTTTGTGATTTTCTCGCAACTGTATTAGTTCGGCATTAGAGGTATTGATTTGGTTTAGGAGTTCCTCCGTTTGTTTCTCTTCAGTTAAGAGTGAGCCATCGTTTCCTGCCGGTGATAGATCCTGCAGAATCAATATGTTCCAGGAAAGTCAAGATTTTCCAGCAAGAAGCTTCATAAATGTTACAGAACTTGCCTGAAGCAGAGATGTGGAATCTCGGATAGTCTTTCTCAACTCATCGTTTTCCTTCCTTAACTCATCTAACTTCTCGTTGTATTCCGTTTCTAGTCGCGATGAGTACTGAATCATGATTGATAGCAACAATTTTCAACTGAGACGTGGAAAGCGAACCTCTCTTAACTGCGATATCTGCTGCTGGAGTTGAGATGAATCATCGATGCCACTCAATTCCTGTAAAATTATGATTTTGAGATGGACTGCAAGTTCATTGAAAATCGTGTTTTGTAGCAATATTTACACTGCAAACATCCTGTGAGAAACTAAATGCTCGCGCCATGTACCTATCAAAATACTATACCGCTCACATTTTTTTGAAAAAAAAAGACGCGGATGTCGCATCATGTATGAACATCACCGTCGCGTTGCCATATCTCGCTTCAGAGTGGACGAATTCTGTATCTGTAGTCACCATTCGACTCAGCTCGGCGCGGCGCATCTTCTGATATATAGAAGTGTCCACTTGGACGCAGTAGAAGGCCAGAATCCACGAGTCATTCCAAATTGCTAGGTAGGTTGAGTGCAATGAATAAGCACATTGGGTAACCTACCGTAAGCAAGAATTCGAAACGATTCGTGGAATCTGGCCTCCTACTGTGTCCAAGCAGGCGCCTCTATCATCAGGAGAGGCGCCGCGCCAAGCTGAGTCGAATGGTGGCTTTAGATGCAGAATTCGTCCACTCTGAAGCGAGATATGGCCACGCGACGGTGATGTTCATACATGATGCGACATTCGCGTCCTTTTCAAAAAATGTGAGCGGTTTTGTATGTCCCGCCGCCGAAAGTGAGAGCTTTATGAATTGCTAGAATTGCTTATCTGCTGCATGCTATCCTCAACCCCCTCCCCTCCCCGCCCCGCCGCTCCCGTTGTCTTACCTGTGCACTTCAATTCTGGGTTCTCCACAGCCAAGAGCTCGCAAAGTCGAAGAGAAAAGAAAAAGTCGATATTAGCTAGAACAGCGGACAAATCCCTAATATTCACATTGGCGCCCCATATAACACTTAGCTAGCATATAGAGCAAAAATGATAAGGGCAAATATTTCGCCACTCCAATGATTATTAGAGTAGCCATCGATTATTATTTATGAATTGACTTTTTCTGATTTTATTATTGCAGTTATTTTGGTTCTGGAAAACGGAGGGCAAGCGTTAGGCGACAAAATGTGCAAAACGCCATCAACGTAAAACCCGTAAGTCAAAACCATGTGCAATTTTTTTGATGGCGTCGAGTAATGTATCGGCCTCGACCCCCACCCCCCTGTTTTTGGCGGAGGAAACGTTTTGCACGGGGAGTTATTTGGGGTCCAAAAAATCGGGTTTGTCGCCTAACGCCCTACACCCCTGGAAAACAGCATGTTCACTTACCGTTGTCAAACTCCCAGTTCTTAGCCAAAAATGCAATCCTTCCATAAAAAAGCGCAGGAAGACTAATGTGTTTGTACGTTTCTCTATGTCATAGCTTATAACTCCGTTGTTCAGATAGAGATTCCTGATCTATTTTCACTGAGTTCTTTTTTGCAACTAAGCAGAAGTTACCAGATAAAAAGCTTGAATATATGAGTAGCGAAATTACATTTCTGAGTCTTTCTTTGAACCTGGGCATTGTTTGTATTGACACAAAATACTTTGTCAATACGAGGTAAATAACATTTTTTCAGTTTTGCACTCATGGTTGATACTATCTCCCTATAAAACCAAAGCAGCTAGGCAGTGGAGAAGGATAGACAGCCAAGCCAAATAGCAGTTAGAAGGACATCTGGCCAGATTAAAGCTCAAGGTAATTGTATGAAAGCTAAGGAGGGTGTTTCAAAGAGTGCACCTTACGAAGCTTTGGGTGATGACTGAAAAGGATGATGAACGATCCAGCCAACCTCATAGAATCAAAACATCATAACTTATAATAACGGGCTAAGGATGTTTACGTGTTTTTGTGTGTGTGTCTGTCTGTCTGTCACGAAATTCGTGGAACGGTTGCCAGCCAACATCTTAAGCCCAAATTTTACACAGCGCATGCTACCAACATGAGAGTCCACTATATCAAGACTTGAGCGGATCCGTTTAGCGGATCCCTCAAAAAATGCGCGTAAATCGGACCCACCTGGCTTTTCGTCCCCAAAATTGGGTCCGTAATTCCACTTTTTGCAGATGTTTATGGCAAGTAAATGTGCAAACCATGAGCTTAGGCCCAAAAAAGTGATCAAAAGTCCACTACTTTACAAAAACGGCGCCAAAAAGTATTAGTTGCGTAAATGGTCATTTTGCCAAGCTTTTACCAGAGCATTTGATGAGATTTTTGCACAAAGATGTAGCTCACAGTGACTGCTGTTCTTATCGCAGGTGTCGAGACCATGGGAAAATCAAAAATCTATAAAAATTTGCGTTTGTTTTCCTGCAAAAAGTCTCATCCACGCGAAATCACCGATTTCACTTGAAAAAGCTTTCGGAATGAGTAGTTGTTTACATTTTGTTCATGCTAGTAGGCATTGCTCGGTGAGTTTCAATGCCATCATTATGCGAGAATGAGTAGGGCCTAGATAGTAGAACCAGTGCGAGTCTCTGCGAAGCAGAGGTGACGCACTGGTAATAAATAATAGATCAGTATGATGGAACGCTTGTAGCATTAATGCAGTCAAATGTCTCATACAACGATCCATTCAAGAGAAGAAAGGATTAGACTCATAGAAGATTTGATCTGTTTCTAGCACCACACCCTATATTTGTTTTCCAAACAAGTCTTACTATAAAAGACATGTATTTATAAGCGTAACTCTGAGAACAAAGCGAAAATACCAAAGAAAGCTACCTGTACAGTATCCCCGGCGTCCGCCACAATTGCTTCCGCATTAGCTTTTTTCGCGGACGACTTCTTCCTTGTCATTTCATCCGTATTTGCGCGATCAAGGGTGAGAGCTTCTGAAATGAGTGGACATGAAGTGAAACACGATAAGCAGACCGCACACGATATGAAGTGAAGACCAGCATCTAACAAAGCTAGAGAAGTCGTGATGTGTTCGCCAGCGTACGAGCTGCGTGCGGACATGTTTAACAAGCAATGGAATTGACAAAGACAGTTCACACAGCATTTGTCAACTTCAGCACTTTTTTTGAATTATCTACCCGTACCACTAATCTTCGTGTTTGTTCCTTGACACCTAAAGGAGCCACATAGACAAAAACGGCATTGACAAGACTTTCGTAAGCAGGGGGGCTAGAATTACAGTGAATCAGAAAAATGACAACTCTGGGATATTCGTTGCTCTTGATTCCCTTAGATCAGCTGAGTCTAGAATTGTGCTTTGCAGCTTTTAAAGATATCAATTACTCGCAATCCGGAAGTAAAAAGTGCTGTTTGGGCGGGCAGCGAAAGCCCGCCCCTTTGTAGAACGACTGGTTGCTGGAGCCAATAAGCCAAGCCGAGACGGGTACGGTGCCTCCACCCATCCGCACTCACGAGCTCTCTTGAGGGCGGACTTTCGCCTCCCGCCCAAGCAGCACTTTTTACGTCCGAAAAAGTAAGTTATTCCGTGAATAACAATATTTCAATGTAATCGATCTGCCGAGCCGCAGCCTTTGACCCAAAGTTATACCTGCTGCAAAAGATACCTTGAAACGAAAAAAAAGTCATTAAAGAAAAAGCACCGCGGCCATAAGCCCGTAATACGGGAGGGGGGGGGGGGAGGGGGGAGGAGAAGCTACGGCCGTGTTACTTATCTACGAAGGAAAGGCGCAGTTGCCATCGAATTTCGCCCGCGTATCTTTTTGATATGTAGAAACCTGAGGGTACGGTAAGCCTACAGTAATAGTAATGATGGTAAGATATCAGCAGCTTGAAGGTACTTTGTAACCAGCACATCGCCTAAGCCACCGTAAGCAATAATCTAAAGATTCTCAAAATGCTACAAAACTGGCTACCTACCGTATCCCGACCACATCAAAACCAGGCATTTATATTAAAAGATATGCCGTCCATCCACGACTATACAGTGATGCGACGCAACTATCGCAAACTCCGCTGACAACGTCTTTTTTTTTTTTTTTTGAAATGAGCGGTATCGTTATGTTGTATCAAAAGTTTGCCCGTTATTCATACACAATCACAGAATCTGAGGGACAAACGGCTTGGGTACCATTCAATTCAAATTTTTATCCTCTTTTTGACAGTTATATTTTCTCTGTGACCTATGTGTTTACGAGGTTTACGATGTTCACATTACTCTTTGATATACTATTAAGCGTTTGGTATTCACTGTAGAGTAAACCTTTGCTTACGTTTTGCTCAATTCCTACTCATATCAAGTCTCTGAAGTCTGTAATAATTGTTTACGGGAAAATCCCCACTTTGAGCACTGTAGCGCACTGTACAAATCATTAATCTTTTGTGCAAATAATTTTTGTCAATAAGCAAGCTTAAGTTTATACAAAAGTAGAAGACTTCCTCAATATCTCCGAAAAGGTTTGTAAATCTCCAAACAGCAGTTTGGCGAAGCAGCACTCCTACGAGATTTGACGTCCACTTAGGACCACATGCATTAACATTCCGCGTGGAGGGGATCGCAGCTCAAAAGAAAGCTTCATAGTCTGAAGCTCCTGATATCTGGATTTCACATCGTGTACCTACCGTAAGTATTCCTACTATCCTTCAATATGAACACGTTAAACAGGAGCGAGAAGCTGTACAAGCCGCATTTTCCAGCGTTTGTATGATCCCTGATGATCCTCGGTGCTTATCTTCAAAGTCATTCTTCTTTTTCCGAAGTTAACGAAAAACTTCCAAAGTTGTGGAGATTATCTACTCAACAGTGCTTAGCATATGCTGCTGATAAGAAGAAGTGATGTATCGGAGTCATAAAAGTTGCGATGTCAATCACAAAGTTGAAAGCTTGTACAGCTTCTCGCTGCTGTTCAATGTGTTGAAAGTGAAGGATAGTAGTAATATTGCAGACAAGTAGACAGCATAAAATCCAGATATCTGGAGCTTCAGAATATGAAGCTTTCTTATGAGCTGCTTTTTTTTTCACAGCGGGGATGTTAATGCATGCGACCCTTGAACTTGATGGAAACAAACGAGAAAAAACCTCCGAGCGACCCGGTAAAAGGCATCTGAACAAACAAGTCGGCACGATCGAATACGTTCGCCTAGATTCAAATTAGCGCAAGAAATACTGTAACTATTTCAAAACAATGATGCTAATAATGATTGTACAAATGCGTCTGGGATCGTTGTAATGAGAAGAAATCTCAAATAACTCAAACATACTACATACAGGCAAGTTGGAATTGTCGACGCAATGCTAATCTTCTACAAATTTTGAAAGTGCGATTTTCAAGCACCTAATCTGGTCATACAAGTCATTCTACACGCTATGACTCACCTATAACATCGTCCATAGTGGACTGATGTCGCTCTTGTGATTCAAGAAATTGTCCGATTTCCAAGAGGAGTTCACTTATGGCTTCTCGATAATATTGAGTTGCGATTGGATGCTGAAATTCATCAAATCAAATAATGACGAGCATTATTAGATCCAGTGGTACCCGTAGTACCCACACCCGTTAAATGTGATAAAACCAAACTATCTATAAATAGTATCTTACCAATTTAAATAAAAGAAGGCAACAAGTGGGATAAAGAAGTGCCAAAAAACTCTTGCTTTCCTTGCTTCGCCTCCTTTCAGCATTGTAGATAAAACTACAACTTTCTAAACCAAATGACCCAGACTAAAACTAAGAAATTTATCTCAGATTCTTCTTTCCATTCTTCATCACTTCATTCTCTGCCCACGATGTGAATAAATAAATATGGACAAAATATGTGATTGCTACTGTTTGGCTTTAGATGTTCAAACTGATTCCTGATATAAGTGTAATGTCGAAATTTCGTGTCGAAATTGTAGTGTAATTCGTTTGAAATTTTCTCTTTCCAGACTCCAGACAGACACCGTCAATGACTTCCTTGAGGTTAAAATTTGGATGAGTTCAGCTCCTCGCTTTGCAGCGTCGTTCCTGCGCAAGGATAGCTCAACCCATGGGCTTCTTGTTTCCTCCCTTTTTCCACTTTCGCGACGATAATGGAAACCACATCGTTCAAACGTCTCGTAAAGAAAATCCCACTACCTAAAGAGTGAAGGACCACAACTGAATAAAATTCGCGGTCGATGATTGTACGTGCTGTATTTCGTTCTATTCACCCGGGAGCTTCGCAAAGCAGGTTCGATCGCAGATATATGATGCCGAAAACATACTTTGCTTGAATAATGTCGTCTAATACTCAAGGATTTAGCCCAGCACGATGATATGGGATCCCTTTCGTTGAAATCAAGACTGCGCTCTATAGACGAGATGATCACAACAGCTACGAGCAAAGAGTTAAAATTGAAATCTTAACATGCATAGAAGTAAATGAGCACTACACTATGATGGCGACCAGTCAGTACCAAGCCTGACTTCTGGTACAGTACTTTCAAGGCGCACAGTTTCGCAGAACCATTTATTTTTGACAAGCCAGAATTTGCTTGATATTTCGAAAAAAATCATTTTCAAGCACATAGCACTTCTCTTGGACAAACTATACAAAATAAATACCAATACCCATTCTCGTTCAAAGTTGTCCTATATCGACATCACAGTGGGAAGAAAAACTCAATGCAATAAGCAATATTTCACATAACAATGATATAAAACCAATAGCGACCATATAGCTCTCAGAAGGCAGTGATAGAGGCTCTTCGGACATTCATCTCTAATGGTGACCACGTCGCCGTATCACATCCTTTTCTGCAGCCTGAAATAACATTTCACTAGATCAGGCATGCCCGGTCTCTATGAGAAAATGATTAAACGGAAATGTGTAAGAACGAAGAAGAGAGGCCAGACATGCCTTCTTCTGTGAAAAGCCATTTCCTTGAAGTAGCAAACGTTCACAAGTGCATAGAGATTATACTTTTCTCGCACACAAGAACGTTCACTTTCAATGCTTCGACAGTGCTTTGACAATGCTCCGGCTTCCCTTCTTCTTTCTTTTTTAAGTCAGTTTTGAATCAGAAAAAATAATACATAACAACCCAGCCAAGATTACCTTTGTACACCACGTGGAAATTTTTTTGAGCTTCGCTTACCTGTGGCCGTATTCATCAACGAACCCTGAGGGTTAAGCTTACCCTCCAGGGTTAGTTTAACCCTCAGGGTTCATTGGCCGTATTCATCAACCATAGGCTAGGGTTTACCACGGAACGCGATCTACCCGTATCGATCAACGAACCTGTGGCCGTATTCATCAACCCTGAGGGTTAAACTAACCCTGGAGGGTTAAGGCGTCAGTTACGCGTGCGCTGTGCAAACTCACATCACAGAATGTCTAAGTACGGGCTGAATTCACTTTATACTTCTATTCTATCACTGTTATAGTAGTATAGTCAACGAATAAGCTTCTAACACTAGTTTTTATAATACATCTTTAGCATACTTGTGCAGCATTCAATCTTACAGCGTGAGCTTATTTTCATGTGTGCAATTGTGCAGTGCAAGTTCTACTTTTGCGCAGTTCGTTTTATACCGGGCTTGTGCTACTCTTTTAGGGGTCAATGCGTGTTATTATAAAGGGGTTCTTCTGTTTTGGCACTTGTCAGAGTGGAATGCCATTTTTCCTCGTCGCATTCATTTGTCATCAAAGCTAGAATTCTTTTTCTTGCGAAGTCAGTGTTTCATGTACTTCGATGAACATAAAACGAAGTCGAAACTAAATACTATAACAACAACCAATACTAAATCATTACTTGTTGATCGTTCTCCATAAACTATTAGATGCGAGTAAATGTTTGTATGAAGTGTTAGACTAGAGTCAACCTTGCTCTGAGCTAGGGTTAAATTAACCCTGATGAATCACGTAAGTTTAACACTCCAGCGTTAGTTTAACCCTCACGGTGCGTTGATGAATACGGGTTAGTCGCTTTCGGGGTAAAATTAACCCTCAAGGTTAGATTTAACCCTCAGGGTTAAGCCTACCCTGTGTTTCATGAATACGGGTTAAACGCTTTCTAGGATGAAACTAATCCTCCAGGGTTAGTTTAACCCTCGGGGTTCGTTGATGAATACGGCCACTGGACTATTCAGGCCCTGATCGTGAACATGAACCGAGGAAGGCGTAAAAATGGCAAAAATGGGTTTCCAAAGTCCTTCATTCAATTTGGAACATTGAATTTTTTTTCTAACAAGAACACCTTTTGTAAATTGTAACAAAAAATCACCGCACTCCATTGAAAATCTCCGAACTTCACGTCGCAAGCTATGTCTTGCTTCAGAATAAATAAATTCTGAATCTAAAAGCCCTACAACTCAGCTTGACGAGTGCATCTTCTAATAGTTGGAAATGCCTGTTTGTTCACGGTAGTCGATCAATATTCACTTATATTTCCAGGACTTTTGCTCAGGGTAGGTTTCTCAGAGTGCCTATTCAGTGCACAAGGAGTGACCTACCGTAAGCAGAATTCTGAAAAGATCCCTGAAAATTGACTACCTTGCCCAGGCAGGCACTTCTATGTATCAAAAAATGCATTTCGTCGAGCTGAGTTTGAATGGTGCTTTTGATTTCAGAATTTGTCCAGTCCGAAGCAAGGTACGGTGACGGGACGCGAAGTTTGCAAACTCCGGCAGAGTGCGGTGATTCCTCTCACAACTGACGAACAGTGCGATATCTGCGATACGCACTCGGCTGGCACAAGCTACCGTACAGTCGGACTGCCTTCCCCTTCGCCTCAGGCTCAGTTGTAGTTTACTCTCAACCACGATTGTTGTCAAAGAAAACCGATATTCAAAAGCAATCAGATTCTCAAAAAAATTCTATGATAATTTTATGGTACCTGCGAATGGTATGCGGGTGCCGGGGAAGGGCTCGGTTCCTCTGGTCGGCGAGGCTCTTCTGGTATATCTGGAGTTACAACAGAGGAACGACGTGACGTTTCACCAGAAGATCCAGCCAGTGCCTTACGACGAGCAGCCAGTTTACTACGAAGCTGTTCGTAAGAACGAGTGATGGCCATTTTTTCCTATAAAAGTGGTCACATACACATAAGGAATTTTAAACTATTCTGATAAGTTACTAATGATAAGCAAAACTTGACTGACTTGTAAGGATACATTCAGCCTAGACTCAGTGTTATCCAACCGGCTGCGTAACTCATTTCGCTCAGCAGTGACCATCTCTAATTGACTGACCTAAATAAACTCCATGAATTACAACTTCGGGTGTTGAGCTGTACCCTAACTCACAATGTTCTGGTACTCTCGTGTGTCCACAGACGATGACGGCTGGCTACTGCTAGATAGAAGGAAATAAGTGGAGCTGTGTAAGAACAAGTCACTTGATACAATTAGCCTACCTTTCTTGGGAGATCTTTGCTTTAAGGGCTTCGCGCTCTTTTTCCATGACCAACAACTTTTCTTTGGCCTGTTGGTAATCCTGCTCATGTTGTTTTTCAATCATTTTCACTTCTTTTATCTGTTCTTCCAAGGCTAATCTTTCTTTTTCCATTGAATCTACAACTTTCTGCAGCCTTTCTGATTCCTGTTGATATCTGCAAAGAAGACAAAACTTTCCAGACATCACGGAAATTTTCGGCAACAGACCTCTCAGCCTGTGCACCGTACTCGTCTACTGAATCGAGCAAACGCGCTTCGCTATCTTTGAGCAGACTATTCTGAACATTCTTCTCTTCGAGTTCTTGACGCATTTTGCTCAAATCCTCTTCAAGATGATGCTTCTGTGCTTTCAGCTCTCTCAGCTCATTCTTTAGTCTCTCATCGGTTTCCTATAATAAATTAGATTGGGCAACGAACAAAGAAACCCAAAAGTGGGAGAAGCTGAGACCAAAAAACAGCAGCCAGTTGAGAGAAGCATGTTTCGCCAAACAAATGACTGTAGCACTCGGAAAACCATGAGAAAAACCAGTATTTCTAGGTCATGAGGAGAGATAACCAATGGTTCCCAGAAAGTACAGTGATTCGTCTGCAAAGCCCAAAAATGCAAGAAGATCAACATTCTACCGACGACACACTGGTTACAGCCTGTAATCGCAACTTTCTTGCTCCAGAATGACTCCGACCTCGTTCATTCTAAACTTGTCTTCTAAGTAATGAAAGTATGGACGTTTATTTGTGGCTTCAACTCAGCCAATATGAATTTCCCGATCTTGCACAGTTTACTCGCTGGTTTTCTGCGGACTCTGAGCATACCTTCTCCTTCACTTTGTTCTCATCAATCTGTTTCATCACTGTTTCCAGTTGCGATTTGACCATTGCAAGACGTTCAGACAAGGAATCACGCTCGGCTTCAACCGTCTAGAAAACATTTTCTTTGTTCTTGATGACTTTGCTATCTTACTCACCAACAACAGAGCTTCCACATCCTCACACCTCTTCTTCACTTCTTCGTACTTCTCTGTGAGCTCCGTGCTGTTCGCTTTCTGCAGTTGCAGTTCTGTTTTCAAATCGTCACACAATATTTTGCTCGCCATCAGCTGTTCTTCAAGTCGAATCTTTTCGGTTTCGGCGCTGTTCAAGTCATCCTGGATGCGCTGCTGTTCCTCACACAGCGTCTCCATCTCATTTTCACTTCGATGATGTTCTGCTTCCTGGATTTCTGTTCGAGACGCTATCATCGACTGCAGTTGTTCCACTTTCACCATTAGCCGACTAATTTCAGCCTGTTTCTGTTCTGACTTCTCCATTTCACTCAAAAGCTTTTCTTGAAGTTCGTCGACCTAAAGCATTACATATAGCGTCATCATCATATGCAGGGCATTATAAAAGTCTGAAAGACCAATTGAAGATGGCATATGGAGTTTTCCTATCCTAGGGTCGTTCAGAAGTCTTGCACTCCTTTTAGAATTCCTCACCTCGTCAAGTTCCATAATCAATTTACACACATATTATAGATTCATGACCAATTTAGCTGCATCATTCTCTCTTATTCGAACACATTCAGCACAAAATAACATCGATACGACAGATATAGTTATATTATTAAGCCAGTATAACAATTTTCAAGGAGAGAGTTTTTGCTTGTCATAGTTCCTTTTTGTGTTAAAGTTTGAGCATAGATCTCCAATCCGTATTTCGACGGTACTAACAATGAATATCATCGCGACCATTTGATTTTTGATTTTTGAGGTTTTTTAACCCAGTATGAAATATCATTACTTGACTAATACTATTTCAAACAGCTCAGTTTTCCTCATGTACCATGGTGGACTTTGCTCTGAACGCCATTGCATAGTGCACGAGTTCTGCATTTTGTAAATTTCAAGTCGTATAATATTTAGTAAACTGGTATGGTCTTCAGAAGTAGAAGCGCAAAAATTTCGTGAAATATGCTGGGAACAAGAATATACGGTGGCAATGTAAGGTTATGACGTGAGAACTCGCCTGTTCACGAAGCGTAGCAGAAACATCACGTAAATTCTCCACCAAGGCATCAGCTTCCTCACGTCGTTTCCTTTCTTCTTGCAGATTGTTTTCTTCCTAAAGCAAAAAAGAATGGAAACGTATGAACTAAGCAGATCAATAGCAATCATCCGATTTCAATTTGACGAAGTGTTCTCATTATAACGTTTAGAATGCGGCAAAGAAATATGAGAGGTCCCTGATGCAGAAAATGCACAAATCACTGTAGTGCAGCTATGATTACTGCTTTACCAACTATCGAACATATGTGGGGACATAATTTTGTTACAATTTACAAACACTTCGTACTTTCTTGGAAGACTTTTCTCCGTTTTTCAAATATGTGAAGGTTTGCAGATTTTTTATGCTTGTCAAATATGAAAAAATCGAATTTTACAAAAAATCTCAAAAGAGGAAAAATGAGAGATTTTGGAAACAAAGAAAAAAAAGAAACTGGAGTGCTCATACAGAACAAGTTACCAAAGTAACCTATGTCGAGTAGCCTTTTTGCAACGGCCTTTCGAAATTTCCTTTCTCGTATATCCTGTGTAGAGACTTTGCCGAAATTTCTAGAGTTTTTGGTAAATCAAACAAGTCTCATGATTTAACCTAATATATGAAACGCTCTACAACTGATGTACATACCAAGTGTTAAAGTACTTTTTCATCGAATATTTTCAGTAGTTAAACGTAAATCAAAAGTGTTACCTGCACCGGTTTGGAAGCATTCCAGTCATTGCCCCAGCCATCTTCTTCAGCTGTCATCTGAACCAGGCAGATCACACTAATTCAAACTTCAGCTTATCTGTGATATCAATTTACCTGCAAGTCAACCTGAAGTTTTTCTGCTTCAAGCTTGCTATTCCGCTCTTTCAGTATAGCCAACTCTTTCTCCGATTCAACTAACGCATACATTTTCTTCTGTATCTCTAGCTCCAATTCACCAACTTTTTGAATGGCCTGAAACTCGAGTGAGCCTTATAAGCAGAAAACAAATGCTTTGCAAGTCACCTCATCCCTGCTTCTCTCAAGTTCTTCGCGTTCCTCGTCTGTTTTTAAGGCTGTTGTCGACGAATCATTCCAGTCATCACCCCAGTTGTCAGATCTGCTTTCCAACTCGGCCAGCTTGTTTCGCAGTTGAATTTCCTCATCATTTTTGGTCTGCATTTGTTTCTTCAACTGTAATATGTTAATAATTGTTTAGGAGATAAGGAAGGGGGACATAAAAGAGCCTAAATCAAATTCTTTTACATCCAGTATTGAGTTGAAATTTGATGAAATGATGTATATGCAAGATCTTATCAGCTAACAAGGCACTTGTACAAGGATATTACGGCCATTTGTGATTAAAAATAATTTGCTGAGCGAATTTCAAGAATAAAGAACTATCGACGTTACCATAAAAGTTTGCGCTGTTCTATATAGAGGAATGAACATCGATTAAATTTCGCTTCACAAACAACATTTGAAAAAGGATGGCAGTAAATTGAGCTTGGATAACCGGTCCCAATGTGTTCAAGCCGATAAACTCAGATATCAATAATTCTGACTAGGCTCCAGTGTGCAAACTATACAAATTTACTTTTTGAAATTTATCAGGTTGTGTAATAAGTTCCGTCCCATTTTTTCTTTCAATTATTTCTCAGCAATATTTACCTTGTTTGGAACAAAGTGTACATGTTTCTGAAAGCTCTAAGTCTGCTCTGCAATTTCGTATGCGTCCTCCCCCGCCCCCAACTTGACAGGATATTGAAAAGATTTTGCGGCATCAAAAGAAAAAAACCGAGTAGACAAAAAATCAATTTCCGGCATCTTTTTTTCACTCGAAATTCCCGTTCTCCTTTGACAGTTTTCATTCAACAACCTACAACAAATAAAACAATTTATTAGAACCTTCTGCTTGTATTGCCACTCATGCTTGTTATCTCTCTTGTAACGACTTTTCAATGCCAATTTTCAAAAGTCGGCAAAGCAAGACTTGCTCCAGCGTTGTTCGTTGTTTCGCCTACTAAACTGTGTGAGCCATTCTGAGTAATTAATTAATGAATATGATGATTTTATAGCTAAAGACCATCCCTTCTTTCTTCTCTTTATTCGTCTACCTTCCTTTCTCAGAACTGCAAATAGAGTCCAGAAAGAAAAAGAAAATTAAGCGGTGTTTAATTTCCGTTCATTTTTTTCCGTTTCAACAACAACATTAAAGAAACGTTAGAAAGAAGACTTTTTGGATTTACAGACTTTTTTCGAAACTTTTCAGCATTCTCGAACCGCTGCAGAAGCTATAGTATTCTCTTCTTGTGCTCAGCAGATTTTTCGAGCTCTTTTGCAGGCATTCTGACCTAGACAAGGCGATGTAAAGTAGTTGTCGAGGATGGTTTTTATTTCTTTGGTTTTCCAATTTGATTTTGGAGTGCTTGTGAATTTCTCCCACGTAGGAAAATGAAGTAAAGATTTTGGTAGAGCAGGCTTAGAGCTTTCAAATGCATGTACACATTTTTTGAAACACCGTGCAAAAACTGTGAAGAAATCGAAAGAAAAAATGGGACAGAATTACACAACCTAATATTTTCAACCGCTCAGTACATAGCAAAAGCACATTTGAGACGGCGCTTCAAGGTGCAGTACAATTACCCCGAAATTTTACAGATAAGGCCGCTTTCTTATCAATGTAAATCCGTCTTATGCCTCGGGCAGACTTCATGCGATTTGATCGTTGCGAGTGAATCGCGACGAGACAACTGTTACAGCATCATTCCATGCCGATCAACTAGCATTCGGTTGTGATACTTTTCCAGCCCGAAGTTTTTGAATGTGAAATGAAAATGAATGGAAATCTTGGCGATTAGATCGCGACGATTAAGTCGCGTGAAGTCTGTCCGGGGCCTTAGAGACCTTTCAGCTGGGTCCGCTCTACAAATGAGTCCTTTTTCATCATAACCACCCTGAATTCTTGTCAGATAAATCCGAAGACTGTCAGATAAGTTACGACTATCTGCAGGCGGACCATCTGAGGTGTGAAATTCTTTGAAGTAATCCTATGATGAATGGCCACGGTCACCGAGTGCTGTTTTCTTGTAAGATCTGAAGTTTGAAATGCAGAAAAATGGAAGACAAACCTCTCGCAGCTCATGTTGCAGCTCGTTCACTTGTTTGCTGGCATCGTCTAGCTCTTCTTGGCAAGCTTCAGCATTAGCCAACTCCTCTTTCATGGATTCAATCGCCGATTGTTGTTCTTCGATGATCTTTCTCAACTTGCGCTCGTCTTCCTCTAATTGCGCGACTTTTGACTGCAAATTGGAGACTTCCAAAGCGTTGACATTGCTTTGTTGCGAGTCTTCCCAGCCCCAAGCATCATCTTCGGCTCGCCCCTTCTCTTGCTCCTTCTCACTAAGCAATCGTCGCACATCCTCTAGCTCCCTTCGAACAGCATCGAGTTCATTTTCAGTCCTCTTCTTATCCTCCTCGATCTCTTGCTGATTCTTCAAGTCTTTTCTACTTTGCTCTAGTTCGGTCCTCAAATGCATGAGTTCAGTTTGAAACAACTCCGAACTGGCAGACTCCTCTTTTGCTGTACGAAGATCTTTCAGCTCTTCCTGACACTTCAAAAGTTCCTTCTTTGCCTCGTCTAATTGCATCTGTAGGTAGCTAACAGCAGCTGATGATGTTTGGTCACTACTTTCACTTGCATTATTACTAATTTGCTCCAATTGCTTAGTAAGGGCTCCTTTATCCTTTTCCAGAGACTGAATCTTCTTTTTTTCGTCCATAAGCTCTTCTTCCATCTCTTGAAGTCGCTCTTCGCCTTCCATAAGTTGATCTTCAAGACACAAAATTCTCTCGTTCAGCAACTTCTCAACACCTTCTAACCGAGTGACCTAGAAATCACAAGGTATGGTGAAAAAAGTTCGAAACAAGATTAAGATTTACTTCGTCGCGTAAACTGACGGCTTCCATACTTTCCTGTGAGTTTTCCACGGGCACTCTGACTGATACTTCTTCATCCTAAAGTTTTCATTTTTTTTTCAAAAATACTTATGCTTGTGAGATGTAATTCGTTAGGTCATGATTCTTGCCTAAATAATAACACACATGGTTTAGGTCAAACTGCAGTAAAAAAAAACTAAGTTTTGTGTATTCGATATTGGCAATGAATGAGTAATCCACAGTGTGGGAATGGAAGCAAAATTTGTTCTCGCTAAGTAAAGGATCTCTAGTGCAAGTTTCAACGGAATTTTTTTTATCGAATGTTCAAGATGCCAGACCTTAGATCCGTCTGTTGCTGGTGCAGCGTTTTGCGGGGTGTTATCTTCGTGACGGGTCACATACTCTTCTAACTTTGCTTCAGCTTCATGAAGACGGGTTCGTAGTTCGTCAAGCTGTTCTCGAAGGGAAGCCTCAGCATTTCGCGAACGAGTTAACTCCTCCTTAAAGAAAGAACTTACACTCTGTCCTATGCCTGCGCACCCTTAACAGAACTAACTTGCAGTTCCTCCACTTTCCGCGCGGATAGCTCGTCACCTTGCGGCTCGACTTTCTCCTCGTACTCCTCGATCTCATTTTGTAATCGTACGTTCGTGTGTGCTAGCTCGGCATTGGCACGGAACAGTGAATCGACGTCCGCTTGGCGAGTTGCCAATTTGGCAGCTAAAATGGCGAGCTCAATGCGTAGACGCGATGCCGCCAGAGCTGTAATGGCGCCACCTGAGTCACCACCGTCTAGCAAATCGAGTCATAATTGGAAGCACACGAGAACTAAACAACAGCTTCGATGGACAGTCACAACATGCATTTTGCAGGACAGAGGACGAAGGGAGAGGATGTTGCACTAGATAGAACAGCTGGATAGAGAACAATGCAAGTAAAAGCCGTGTGGACAGAACAAGCAACCGAGACAGCATCAACGACAGTGGTTAGACGACGGTGACTCAGTCCGCTGTCCAGCACCAGAACTCCGGAAATTCTCTTCCAAAAATCGACCAAAAGTTTTTCCTAATATAACACCACTTATAACCTGCTATACTATGAAAAAGCAATAAAAACTGCAAGTTGACGCAAGCTTTACTACATGCTTGTTACACTGACAACGCTACTTCCAAAAAGTGAAAAAGCTGAAAAATGGGAGGTGAGTGGCAAGGCTTATTTGGAGATCTGGAATGAGCGGGCGTTTAAGATAGTTCATAAAAAAAATTTTCTTCATCGAGCTCCAACTATTCTGAAAAGTGAAAGCGTAAACAAAAAGAATGCAAGTAGTCTATCGCGGTGCGGAAGTGATGTTTTTTTGGTGAATTGCGATAAAGACAAGTAAGATGATTTTTTATGATAAGCATAAAGAGATTTGGCTCATTAGCTCTAGTATCGCTGGGAAGTCGTGCCCAAAAACACTAAAAACTAGCAACCTAGATTCTCGGTATACTCCAAAATTCTGTGATCCAAACAAATAAATTTTTAGTCAACAACTTTACAGTAAGCAAGCGCAATAAGATTGAGATCTCACGCTTGGCTGTCAAAGATTCAAAAGCTTATTTTCCCAGAACACCATATGAAACCAGAAATGAAGTAGAGAAAGAAGAAAGATTGGCTACGCACACCAAACACAACATACACTTGTAGCTAACAGTGCTTACACATAAAAAAGCGTGGGTAGTTGGCTGTAGACTAAGTAGTGAAACTTACTGTCGCTTTCGTGATTTCGTTCCACCAGCTTGTCAATAGTGGATTGTAACTGTAAAAATAAAGTAAAAGAGAGGTTTCCGTCAAAGTCGAAAGCTACAAACCTCGTCAACTCGTCGACGCAAGCTGTCGCATTCATCCTGCTTCCACTCCAAGTCACCCTCGAGTTGGAGTAAGCGGGCCTTTGCATCTCGATTTTCACCGCCAGCTTTGTTCGTCTCCTCTTCAAGCGAACGCAGCTGTTCGTGTAATTCCTCATTTGCTCGGCGATGTTCGGTTATTGCTTGCCGATGTTCCTCGAGCTGAGATTTGGAATTTAGCATGTATTCGGTACGCAAAACTGATCTTCATTGTATGCAAACCTCGGCTAACTTTTCGCGCAATGTTTTCTGGATCAATAGGACTTTACCATGCAAGTCGAGGCCGTCTAACGACTCCAAGTGAAGCTCCTAAAGCTGCGTTAGTGGAATCCAATTTTTGGCATTCAAAAAAGCTACTGCATCGAACTTACAGATAAGATTGTGTCAATCACAGCAGTGACATTACCGGAGTGGTCGGAAGGTGCCTTCAAAATATGAATTGCTGATTTCAATTTGTAGAAAAAAATAGGAGATACCTGTTGTTGTTGGCTTTGTTCACGAGCTCTTTCTTTTTCCAATTCTGTCATTTTCGCGTAAATCACATTGTAAGCGGCTTGAAGCTGGCTATAGTACTCGCTGAGTTGCGCGTATGCCTTCTCCACTTGTTCTCTGTAAAAATTGTGCAGATGCTGGACTACAGGCAACAAAAATTGGGCCACACCTTCGAGTTTCCATTTCAAGACATTCCGCAAGTCGGCGATTGCTTTCATTTTCAGCTTCAGCCGCCTGACGGGATGCTTTCTCAGTCAGTTCGGTCTGTAAGAAGTGGAAAGAAATACATTATGAAGAAGCAAAAATGTACTAAAGAGTGAGATGTTTTGTGTGGTTAAGTTTTGATTCGTGATCTACCTGTTCAGAGAGTTCGCAATCTAAGGCATCAGCTCGTTTTTTCTCCGCTGCCAACGAAGTGTCCAGTTCCACAACGCGATCTTCTAGATGTTCCCGATCCAAAATGGACTAGAAAATCAGAGTTGAAACCAGAGACTGCAAAATTCATAGCAACTATGTAACTCACGGCTTTGAGTTGTCCGTTAAGAGACCAAATCTCTCCTTTGAGCGCCTCAACAGCGTTTTCAAGCTCAGTTTTGAGCTGCCACATCTTTTCCACATCCTAGAAAGAGACACTCATAGCATATCACTCTTATAAGTTTCAGTTGTTGATGCGTCTCACCTCCGTTAGATCCTTCTGCATCTGATTTGACTCATTCACGCACTGACGTAAGATCAAATTTTCCGCAAAAAGATCAGTACCAGCAGGAGCGGGTGATGCTCTCGGAGTTCCTGTTGTAAACGAATTCAACGTAGAGTGCATTGGACTAAGATCTGCCAACCTTGCAGGATGGCCTCCTTGTTTTCTGGTTCTGGAACTGTTAATTCCACACTCGACTCCAAAGGTTGCCTTGTTTCCAGCGTAGCTGTGGCTTCCGCTCTGTTTGCATCAAAGCGAACCGATTCAGTTTCACCAACTAACACACTGGCAACTACTTCCGATGTGGTGGTGGCTGCTTTGAGTAGCGCGGTTTGCTAAAATATACCTTACTCTTCCAATCATCAAACAGAACTTTATCATGCAAGGAAAAGACGGTGATAGAAGTTGAATAGCTACAGTTACCGTGATATTCTTACGAAAAACTAAAGTTGCATACTTCTCTGTGATTGAATTTCTCAAACAAATTGCAGTATTCAGACATAAAAAAGATTAAAGGAGATAGAAAGATGAGGAGGGTGCCGCTAAGTGCGGAACAAAGTCTTGACAAAACTATAAAATGATCTGGCTTTAGCACGACCGAAAGATGTGATATAGATCTATTCTAACACTAAGCACACGAGCACAGCTATTGCACTAAAGGAGAAAAGATTGAGCCCTCACCAAATCCCACCACTTGGGGGATGATTCCGTTCGATTTTCGACCTGGGTAAATTCTTATAGTATGTAATGATAGATATTTTATGCACTAAGAAGACCAAATTGCAGATCTATCGAAACTACTTGTACGTGCTATTGAAACTACTTTTTACGTGAAGTACTGACGTCTTCAAAGCTATGATTCTAGAGCGCAGTCAATAGTCTTTGAAAATTAGTCCAACCTGGATGTTTTCTTCTTGTTTGTAGCTCATAAGTTCCTTCTGCAGTTGTTGAGCCTGTGCAGTCTTCTCTTCGACGGCTTTTCTCAGAATTTCGATGGTAGACTTGCTTTCAGCTAGACTGCTTTCACTTTGAGTTAAACGTTCTTCAACATCGGCTATGGCACGTTGAGCATTCTCCAACGATTTTGAGAGTGACGTTATTTCTTCAGAATGAGCTGAAACAGCTTGAAATTTTATACGTAGTCGTAAAAGCCACGAACCTTTATCTTTCTGTAATGAGTTCTCCCTTTCCTTTTGCAGCGCAACATCTTTAGCTGTAGTATTTTCAACAGTTACTGCCAGTTCTTCACTCAGTCTCATGTTCTTCTCTCGAAGTTGATTTAGTTCGGACATGAGCTCTGAAAATTTGGAACTTTAGGCAATCTCAACAGTATCAATTCTCTAATAGATTATGGTGAGAGCTGGGTCAAAAGAGCTCCGACGGAAAGAACTTTACACGCGCATTGTTTATTCCGAGACAATGAATCAAAAGTGCAAGAACATACTGCACCAGCGATGACCTCAGATGCAAAAACTTAAACAGTAAGTATGAATTAATCATCGCCTTTCAAGCCAACATTATATTTCCTTGAGGAAGACAGCAAGCTCTTCGAAAAAGCGAGAGAATTATTAAATTTCCTAAAAATTTGAACTACACCATTAAACCTAATAACCTCTGCTCACCTTCCAGTCGATTCTGCTCATTTGTTTCACCATTCACTTGCTCATCACGATGCTCCAGTGTATCCTCATGAGCGCGCACTGCTTCGGTCAGCTCCTAAAAATTAGATTTGGAAATTCATGAAAAAGGCAAACTTTGCAATGCCCGGTAACAAGATGGCAAACCTGATTCTTCTGACGAGCTTCGAACAACTCTTTCTCAAGCTCCTCTTCGAGCATTTCGTGCAATTTCAATTCCATTTCAAAATGCTGCGTTTCTCCTTGCAGTGAGGTGACTTGCGCTTTCAGAGCGATCACTTCCTTTTCCATTTCAAGCATTGTATGGTTGTACTCGGAGTTCAGCTCGCGGGAAAGGCGATTCTCAAGCTCCAATTCCTAAGTTCATGCTCAAAAGTTAAAGGATCACAGTCAAAGTCCCGTCCAACCTTGACGCTACTTCTCAGCTTCTCCATCTCTTCACCGGTTTGCGGCTGGGCAGCTGCGCTTTGCATCGATTCTTGAGTGACCGCCGTCTCGTGGACCTCGGTCAGAGTTGGCAAGACTTGCACCGACTCGACCTTAGCCTTCTCTTTGTCTCGCATTTGTTTCAACGCCAATTTGAGTTTCTTTTTTTCCTAAAAAAAAAACTAATTTGTTCAAAGGCTGTCGACTCGGACTAATTCGTATTTTGAGTCCTTTCAAATGCTGAAGCAGTGGCGCAGAATCGATGAGCATATAAGTCTGCGTGCGTTCAATCCCACTTTAGTTTTTACAGCTTTCACAGCTTCCTCTTTCCCACATTTATGAGAATGTGGAATTTTCCAAGTAGGACAATCAAAGCAAAAGTGCTTACCAGCCTATCTTGCTCGATTTTCGCTTTAGCTTCTTGCAATTCCTTCTCAAGACATTTGATCTTCTCCTCGAACGCAGTCATGTACTCGACATGTTGTACCTGCAAAAAAACCTCAATCAATAAATGATCATAATAATAGTAAATAATAAATATAAAATAAAGATGAGTAATGAAATTACAAACCGTTTACACTTTGCAAAGCCAACAGTGTCACTCACTACTCAGTGACTTACAAAATTCCAAAAAAGGTTATCAATAAAGAGTTTGAGTAGATTCGAATTACCTTGTTGATCACCTCCAGCGAATTCTTTCGGCTTTGTGGTGAGCTCGACTCGCCTTCAAGGAACTTCTTGCACACTTCCTCCCATTTCGCCCTACCAGATGACTTCTCGTGCTCAAGCTGAATTGGAGCCATGAAAACCAAGTTGTCAAGGCCTCACCTCCTCACCTCTTCGCGAAGTTGTTCGAGTTCCTTCTTGACCGCGTTCGTCTCCTGCAAGCCGAGACGGGCATTGTCCAGCTCGGCGCGAGCAGCGAACAGATCACTCTCGAGCCTCTCCACTTTCTCGTGGGATTTACCCAAATCGACGCGGTAGCTAGCTAATGAAGCTTCCGTATGCGCTAAGGCGGTCTTCAGCTTTTCTATCTCTTCTTCAAGATTGGTCTTTAGTTCATGCGCGGAAGTGAGTTCCTGTCGAACAGATTCAAGCTCTGCTTGCGTCTTCTCTCCCTGAAAGCATGCCATTAAATTATCGAAAATTGTAAAGTTCATGGAGATGACTGAATCTTTTCTTCTTCCCAGAACTGTTCACACATTAGCGTCCACCTGATTTTTGTTTCGGAAGCAAATTGCTGTTTTATCGTTCAAATATTATATGTTCGCAATAAAGGAAATGGACGGGCTATAAAAAATCCCAGCTGTCCTTCCCATTTATTCGATTTCCCATTTAACAAAAACCATTTCCTAAGTGGTGGATTATACAATAGTCATGTGTACTAACCTCATGCTCCTGCGTCTCCTCTTCGGCGAGCAACTGCGATAGTTCCTCAGATATTTTATCGTACATTGTTCGTAAGCTGAAAAGCCCAACGATTAAGCGCTTAGAGTATTTTCGAACGGACTTACGTTTGATTTTCCTCCTCCTTTGCTTTCAAATTGACTTCCAAATTATCAGCTTTGGTCATCAATTCGAAATTGGTGCAATGCATTCTGTCCACTTCTTCAGCAGTTTCAGAGCATTTCGCTCGTAGTTGTTCCATTTCTGCACGAAGATCGTTCATCTGTTGCACTTCCTCACGAAGATGTGCCACCTCTGACTCTTGTTCCATCGCTGTAGCCAATATTTCGAGAAATATCTTTGCTATATCTTGCGAGATTAAGAAAGAACAACCCACAGCGTGCTCTAAGTTGCTCGACTTCCACATTCGCTTCGGTCTGTCCCGTGTTGGCTTCGTTCGATCCTTCTTTGCTGCGCTCCAGTGATAAGCTTCTTCTTGTCGCTTGGAGTTTTGCATCGTGCAGCTGTTCTAGTAATCGAGCTGCTTCTAAATGAGCTTGGTTGGCCAATAGGAAGATCACATTTCAAAAACTCAAGCTGTTGATGTTAGTTTCCAGATACCTTCTGCAGAAAAGGTGCAAAACCATACCTTCGCTCTTCCGTTCAGCTTCCAGTCGGGCAGTCTCTACTCGTAATTCACACTCGGCTCTCTGTACCTGCTCACGTTCTTCAGCCTGAATGAGTCAGCTTTCGGGAATTGACGAACAGCTATGCAAAAACTCTTCTCGACTCTGATCATACTCCCCCATTTTCCCGCTACTTAAATGACAAGCGCTGTCTGGAAACTTTCAATCCGACAAATTTTATTCGCGCACTCTCCACATCTAGCACTAATTGCCTGTGAGATATTTGTTCGTTCAAGCGTAGCCCACCTCTCTGATTCTTTTTTCCAGCTGTTTGCACGTTTCGGTCATATCGGCCTCGTCACGTTCACGCATTTCGAACTCGCAAACTTTTTCCATCAGTTTCTCGTTCTCCTCTTCCAGTACTTTGCATTTTTGATCAAGAGCCTTCGTACGCAGTCGCTCTTCTAAAAAAATTATTCAAATAGTGATTGCTCACTGTGAATACAAAGATGAGTATTCTCATACATTCCTCTCTAGCCACTATTTCTATTTCTAAAAGTTTGCAAAATCACTTGTGAAAATCAGTGCAACAGCTGACAATTTTTCAAGATACCAATCGCTTTGGCCTTTGAAAAATATATATGTAGCATTGAGCATAACGATACGCATATCTCCAAACAGTTTTATTTCCAAAAGCATAGGTATGTGAATGTGGCGGTTGCAAAATTTTTCCCGGAAAGAGGAACAGGCCGACGCTAGGCATAAGAGTTCAGAAGCTTCCAAGCTTTTTGAACCGAAGAAACTAAGCTAATGATGGCACAAAAAATCCAAGAAAACCCTCTTAGGTGAATCGTAACATTTTTCGGGGTCAAAATTGGTCCCTTTCTTTTAATCTTCAAAAGCCACCTAATGCCGGGCCCTGCATCGACTACGAGCTGCTACTGTTCTTTGACCACTTGTTTCCGAGGTGATAAAAAAGCAAGAATATTCGTGATTACAACAACTTCTACTATCACAACAGTTATTGAAGTTCCATGATGTATCTTTCATACCTATTTGCTGCAGTCCTACTACTACGTAATTAAAATACGAGTTCTCCTCGAGTAGTGTGCAATAGTGAATCATTCGGTAACTGGTTCTGCCGTAATTCTGCGATGTCAAATTTACAAAACACGGTGTTATTTCTTCTCACATTCTTGATCTTCTACAAGTTTGTGTATAAAAAATTTACAACGCAAAGATAAGATAACATGCTTATGATGTTGCTCTGTAATTTTGGACAGCGAAAAAAGGGCCTATTCGCTGCAGTAAGATAATTGCATCTTATAATTGCCGAAAAAAGCCGAGATCTAACTGCTGCAATGCAAACAATTTTAAGTTTTCTGCACTCATTTTTTCGTTTTCCTCGTTTTGACAATTCGTTAGGAGAAGGACAAAGCAGCGAACTTTTCTCTCACTTCCATTTTCAAGCACTAAAGCTGATCTTTTGCTTGATTTTCTGATCGAACGCGTTTCAAAGGTTGGAAAGCGTGATACCTATAAAACTTTAGCTGAGCGCTTTATAGGAAGGAATCGCATATTTTGGTTCGAATGCTAGCTAAGGTATCGTGATCATTTGCATTCATCTAAACATTCCTTAAAACATTTCTCCTTAATAAGTTCAGTGAAACAGTACCAGGAAATCATTTCTCAAGCATAGTCTTTGATGTAGGAACGTACTCTAAATAAAGCTATTGAAAGGTTGGAAAAGGTTCAAAAATTCATTCATAGAGATTCACACGTATGAAACTCAGGTATTTCAAAGTTACAACATACCTGGTAATGACAGTAGACACGTAATCATCGCATATCGAGTCATAAATTAGGAAAAAAGGAAAAATAGGTTTAAACTTGACTTTCGACGTTCCTCTTTTTTCGGCATCAAAAATAAACTGATTGGCTGTAAATCTAAACGCTTATGAACTTTCACTGCACTCTAAAGCGCAACAACACCCTAGGAGATTTGAAAAAAGAAACAGTTTGAGGAATGACATTAATTAGTAGTACAAGATGAACTACTTCGACGCGAAGATGTTTTTCGCTCAAATTTACTGCATTGTTGAAGAGTAATAACTAAATATTATTTTTGTACATATTGATAGTACATATCATTATGTATCCTAGCCACCTTTTGTTTCTTTTGATCTTGCTAACTAGAGCTATAAATCTCGGCAGAGAGAGATAGACGGAATAATGAGGGAGAGCGTTCCAGAAATAGCTGGCGGGCTCCAGGAAATTATTACAAAACGAGCGCCAACATCATGTAGCTGTAAGACGCCAGTGAAAATGATGTCATATGATTTCTATTATAATGGAAACATGTCTGCAATTTTCATGTCCTGCCAGGGCTTGTACTCAAACTTATTATCACTAAGTCTTTTGCATGCCTTAGAAGTACTCATCGCTCGGAAGCACAGTCGACAAACAAAGTGCATTGTGTAGAGCAATCACCTTTCTCTATCTCAGAGACACAGTGTCACATGTGTAAGCATCGTGTGGAACCGGTTTTCCGCGATGGGCCCCACCTTCACTTATGATCACCGTCAGTGACCCGTTATCAAAAACTGACTGGCGTAAACACGCGAGTGAAAAGGCTATGATCCCTTGTACTACATCATTACGCACTCTCTACCATTATGGTGCTGCTGTGCTCGTAATATTTCGCTTTACCATAACAAAAGGTCTTTTCAATATCACAACGAGATCAAGGACGTTCCTCGGGCGTTTTTCATACAAGCGTTGGCCTTTTGCTATCTCCATCTGTCGTTCAGACGGTGTCGGTGGACAACTCATTCTCCGGCTACACCTCATTGCGTATTGATTGCATTCCTTCAAAATTCCTCCCGTTCCTTTCTGCCCCTTTCCCGCTGGGCACTAAGTGAGCAATAGCGAACATTTTAGAGTTTGAATGGCGCAGGGTGCACTTTTGAACTTTGCCAGAAGCTGGTCATTCTTTTCCTTGATCGATCGCACTGCTTTGGCCGCCAGTTCTGCAAAAATGGAAAGAGCCATTGCTTTATTTCTATTTCACTCCTTTCCCGGTGTACACTGCCTGCTCTATGGCCAAAGCCTCGAAAACCAGTTACGCGGTTTTTGTTGCATTACTTACGGTCTGACCGGAAAAACCAATCATCATCCTAAGCGTTGAATCATACAGACATGATATTCCCTAGGCCTTCATTCCCATTTCATTTCCATCCTTGAATTCTTCACAGTTGAGTCTCACTAGTTCTCACAAAAAACAAAGGTTTCCATTCTCTGATAAAAAGACGTTCTCAACAAGCTTTTTCCGATATTCTGCGTAAAGCATACTAAACATCCATCGAATTCCAATCATCGCTTCGTGCACTCTCCTTTTCGATATCAAAACATCAATGTGAGCAAGTGAGTGCATAGTGTATGGAACTCGGTGGAAGTAGAACAGAATCTACACTATAACCACTTGCAAAAGATATATCAGCAATTAATTCACCTACGGATAATAAATGCGCCGACACCAGTTTTGGATGGCCCACCTACCGACAGCAACAACGACCCTAATCATCGTACATATGACTGACTAGTCCGTTTTTTATATTCCCTACAGATTTGGGGGATGGGGGGGGGGGGGGGGGGGGTTCTTTCTCGCGCATTACTCTTGCAGCTCGTTGCATTTCTACCACAATTCTCTAATTTACACTTTACCCATCCTCATATTTTTGACCGGAAAGATGCTCCCGTAATCCAAATTCCTGACCGAACGTTTTGCAAGTCCCGCGCGACTTCCAACGAGTCTGATCGTTTCAGCCCATCGCTATCGACAGTGGGTTTTGCTCGCCGTCGTCGTCACTCGCGTCCCACCCTCATCCGCTCGGCGATCGAATCGTGATCGTGACTCCCGTTTTGGCCACTGCCGATGGTTTCGCCTGCTCCGTCAGTCAGTTCCTGCCCCGACTGTCATGCTCAAACAGTACGCTGGCAGAATACTGTCACAGGAATTTTCTATGCTATTCTCTGCTTCCCATGTGGAATTTATTGCTGTCTCCGACGCAGACAACAGCACTGTGTACGATGTAACTGTGATGTAAGTGTTTCAGTCAATTTTTATTTAAATCACTTCTTTACTCGTGCTGGCGCGAGCTATTTTTGACTATTGCGGCAGTGATCAATGCCTTTATGTCAATAGGACATGGCGCTGCAGTAAACAACTTAGAATGACGTACATGAAATCGATAGCCATAATTGGGGAGGATTAACTTCATTATTTTTCTTTCGTGAATTTTTTGAGCCTTCCATGTTTTCCTTTTGCAAAAGTTAATCGTGCTGACTGTTAGGTTGAGAAATTTAAGGAAAATTCTTCAAATTTCGAATTTTTTAAGTTCGTTCATAAAAAATACGGAACACCAAGTCTGAATATTTTGGCTTTTTTCTCGAAAATTATAGCTTTCCATAGAGAAAACTAATCTTTGAAAACTTTGTTCGATTAAAAAGAACAGACAATAAAACCCCTAATGCCGATTTCCCGCATTTTATCACTTTTCAAAATTTGGGTTTTATACAATCAAACCAGAAAAATCTAATTTTGAATTTTTTTCCTTTTACAGCCTCTATCTATGCAATCTATGTATAAAAAAAACCGCAGAAGCTCCTCCAAAGAACCTGATTTTTTTCTTTGAACAGATTTGACAGCAAGGATTCCAATGAAAATAAAAAAGTTACGAAATTTTGAATAGGTGCTACAGACCTTTCGTTCCGACCTAATAGTTCCCATTGATGGAATTAATGAGCTCGAAGAGTTCAAAATGATTTGGATCAACACAGTACTGCGCACGCACTAGGCTTCAAAAAGTGGTCAATCTTTTCTCCCATGGAAAGGGCCGTGACTTTCACTGGATAATGAAAACTAACAAAGCCTAAAAAGCGGTGTTACTGAGCGCTGTGAATCACAAGTACCTATGCAAACATTCAGGTAGGCTAGAATCGATATTTCCCTACAATCCATCTCTTACACGTGCAAAAAGATGAACTGATTAAACAACAACTTTGGGGCACTTCGCTCACCAAAGCTCAAATATTATTGACACCGGCTGCGTGTCATCAAAGCAAACAACCCTCTCTTGTCGTTGCCGGGAGCTTTATCCAAAACGAAGCCAGCAAACAACTCTGACGTTCGTGTTCAGTGCAAAACATCTTGCTGTTCAGGTGATAAAATCATCGCGAGACCCGATGAACACATTTGGCTACGCGTTTGGAGGTTATCAGACCATGAATCATAAAGGATTGCCACCAGCTATGGCTACTGCCTACAAAAATTCAGCTTTTTCGGGCAGTAGTGTCTCATCACGAGGACCCACATTCACCGAGACATCGACAAATTCACGCACTGAGCTGATTCATGGTAACGCTAAATACTGATGATCCCTTTGTTTTCTCAAAATGCTTGTACTACGGTGTAATGTTCATAAATAGTCTGTAAGTATTCTTCTTAGTGTGGGAGGAGTAACTTTCGAATTTTAGCGGCTTCGACCTTCAACAGTTTGCCATGTTTGATAATTATGCCAATTTCCTTTACATGCCTTTTTATTCATTTCCGCCAGTTTATGCTTGTTGTGTCACGGGTTGTGAATTATATAAATGTTCTTCGTTTTGTGTAAAGTGTCAAGGGCCGATGACTCATCTGTACACTTAAAATTAAAACACTCGAAAGAGATGAGATGTAACGGGAAAATGAAGGGATAAAAATTTGACTGAAGTAAAGAATTTCTTACTCACAGTTGAGCCACTTGCGGCATAAAATTAAATATATATCGCTCATGGGGAAATAAACTTTTGCTACCATTTTTGATTAGAATCAAAGTTTTTTTTGAAGCGGAGCAAAATTTCGCTTCAACGAAGTGTAGCAATCCAAATGTAAGGCTCAGTCAGAATTTCATCAAATATTTCCTCTTCATTCCGAAATAATGGACGCACAAGCTATTCTCGCAAATAGGTTTCCTATCCCAAGAACACTGAAAAATATGAAAAAAAAATGATTGCAGTGAGTCAAAAGATGAATCAAATCAGATGAGTCAAATTTTTCGAAAGCCTTCAGACCGCGGAAAAGTGCAAGAATGATGGCGATAGAATAGTGAGAATACTTTTTCCTATGTAGTTTCTCTACCTTGCCTTTTCTCTAGAATACACCCAACACTCTCAAATCATCAGACTTTGTGAATCATTCAAAAAAAAATCAACCTAAAACCTCACCTCGTAGGTAACCTCTTTTTGTATGATTAGATTTTTACTCTAGAATTTGTAGTACCACAAAAACCGCAAGAAGGTAGGGCTTTCTGCGCATCACCCGAAGCTCTTGAAGAACTCTTTTTTTAAGAATTGATACAGTTTTCTTTTATATAATTTTTTTCTCGGGTTTAATCTTCGCCTTCGATTTATGCGCCTCATAACTGCACGAAAAGGATAATCTCCATATATCATATCTGTAGGAGGAAAATCTTAGGGCATCGACATAAAATTCTCACCAAACCTCTAAAAAGTGGTGCTCATTATTTTTTCCATACATATTTCTTCGTTAATTATTCAGGATAATTTTTTCACAAAGCAAGTAAAGTTTGAGTGAAGTTTTGTTAAATCGTAGATTGATAGATTGAATGCATCAATACAACCATATCAGAATGTGCACCAAATGATATCAAGTAGGTCAAGTAGGTTTACCAAAATTCAGGGAATATTAACTGCACGAGTTTATGCGAAAGAAAAAGGCTTACCTTTGGATCTAGTTGTGATTTGCTCCTTTTCTCTCTCAAGTGCTTTGAGTTTCGTTTCAAATGCTTTAGACCGAAGCAAAGCACGATGGTCGACCTTCAATAAACAGTAAAGAAAAGCGAATTTAGTGTCAATGACGACAAACCTTCGATGCACCGAGTGATTCTCTCAAGATTCCTATATGCTCTTCGTAAATGACAATATCAGCTTCCAAAATTTCTATCAATTGATCCTGAGCGATAATAGCGTCTGAAAGTAATAATTAAGGATTCTTACGGGTTGAAGGCTCCACCCAGTTGAGGTTGTTGGGATTTTCATGCTATAATAGCGGGTCCTTTAACTAACAAGGGAATGATCAGAACCTAGCCCAACCATTCCAAACAAGCTATAAATCATTGGCTCGCCTTGAAACGCTGATTCAAATGTTTACTGAATGCTGATGACTATCTGAGAGGACTTATGAGCGTTCAAATGTGAAAACTCTTACTCGGTTCGAAAATGTACACAAAGAAGGACAGAACTTCAAGGACTCTTACGGTGTAAAATCTTTATTATAGAGAAACCCATAAGAGGTGAAATTGGAGATTAGGAGCATGCATTTTTGACAAAAACTCCAAAAAAATGGAGATAAAGTTACCTTTAAGTTTGTCCACATCGTCCAGGATATCATGCTTTTGTCGTTCCATATACTTGATGGTATCTTCCGCTTCGGCTAGATCCTCAATCAACTGATCCAAGAATTCTTCTCCTTGAGCGACCTTAAGCAAAAGCAATGTCAAAACAAATAACTCAGTTGAGAATTTCTCATCTCACCCACCTTGACTTCCCAGTCGCGATTTGTCTTCTCGCTAGCATCCAGCTCTTCCGTTAGTTTATGGTTCTTCGTCCTTCAATAAATAAAGTTTGATTTTCAAAATGGAACTTGTAAGCTCACAGGCCTTTTCCTCTTCATAACCCGGGTAAGTCACCGATTTAGTCGCGCGAGTGGATAAGAATATCAATTACATCAGCCTAACCCACTAATAACATGAGCACACGTAAGAACTTGTTGAACACCAGTTCAACAAGTTAATTCATTATGTGCTGAGTGGAGTCATGTCTCAACATGTCAACCGCAATTATGTGGACTCTTCTGCACAACAATCCTTAATGTAATAGGTTGTAAGGAAAATAATGTCGCTTTTTATTTTAACATGCAAAATCGTGGCAGGGTTAGCACGAAAGTAAGTAAATGGGGTATGAACCGATAGATCAAAACAATCTCTACAAAATAAAGCTCGAGCCTTTGAGCCAGGTTTGATTTGCGTGGAGTTGGAGCCAAATTTCACAAGGCACTAAAGATCTAAAAAAAACGAAAAAAATCGTATCTCTGTCTGGAAACGTCCTGGGAATCCCTAACTTGCTCAAGCGTGGACTCACTATAGGAGACACACGTACGCACAACTTCGCGGCTTTTCCATGGCTGAAAACTGAGAAAACGAAATTCGGCACATTTTTGCCAAAACAATCTTGAGCTTCTCTCGGTGATTCTGTAGCATGAACCTTTAGGAGTATAACCATGAATTTTCAGATTTAGACAAGCGCTAGTTTTCGAGAAAAATCAAATTGTTTGCAAAAAACCCGAAAAACGCGGCATATTCGCACTTTTGACCTATTTTTATTTCTCGTACTGTAGCCAAGGAAAAATACCACAAACTATGCAGGTGAATGTCTAGTGTAAAGAGTACATGCCTGTGCAAAATGGAGATCCATAAGACGTCTATGAACCGAGATAGATTTTTCGGATATCTAAAAATTGTCACATTTTGGATTCGAACTTCAGGTGGAGCACGATTTCCGCATAGTTTTGTGAACTATCTTGTAGGGGTTTGTTTGCTCTATCAAATGATACACCATTCGCTATTTTTTATGGTCATTCTGTCGCGGTAGGATGCCATGCAACATTATTTTCTGGACAACCTAATAGAATACGGTAGATTACGGTTTACTGCGGAATGGCGACAGAAGAGAGCTCGTGACAGCTTAGCTTTCATGTGCGTAAGTTAAAACTACTCGCAATCAAGTATCTCAAAATTTTTGAGACGCGTCCTCCATTTGGAAGCTTGTTTATTTCAAAACCGTATAGTTTTGAATATCTGCAAAAGGAAAGGGCGCTATAAATCAGTCGGAAGCCCTTGAAGTGACTTTTCCAAATAAGGAAAACGTGTCGATCATTTCCTATTTTTTATCTTTTCTAATCTCGCCTCAGCACTTCACTGCGCTAAATCGACCTTTGTTTCTTCAGCACTTTTCAGTACAGGATGTTCATCCGCCTTTTCATTTGCAATCAAAAGGGCTTTTCAGGAGTTCGCAGTTGATTTACAGCTTTACGCATGCAGATTTACGGCAACTTAATAATCTGAATTTAAAAATCCAAGCTTTTGGCGGACTTATCTATAAGACAGATCGTGTTTAATAATTTACTAGCCAAAACCCGCCTTTATTTTTGGACCAAAAATTGGAGCCATGGATCCCTTTTCACCTTCAGATGTGCACATAGGGCCTGCACACAACCCGCATAGCAGTCGTACACATATGGATAATTCAGTGAATTGTATTCTCTAACTAGTAGTAAGGCTGGTTTGAAGGTACCCTCATTTGAAATTCTGTGCACCGTTAAAGAGGATCGGACTGGTTTTGAGGCCATTAAAAAGCGTTCGCTTGCATTCCCTAGTCGCGCAAATCTCTTTAACAGAGAGGTTAGCAGCAGCACAGATGGATGAGGGAATCTCCCATTTTGAGTAGTAAAAAAGACGAATTTTTCAGGTAGATTTGCCACTTCAGACCAGTGGTCCTCACACCGTGTAGTTGTGCGAAAGGATCAGTTGTCTTCGGAGCGGCGCCTATAGGCAGTATTCGTTTTTTCTAAACATTTTCTTTTCGCATTCCTACAAACCATATTTTTTAACCGATTTATAGCCTTGCACAATCCTCGACTCAATTGTTACCGCCTACTAGAAAATAAAAAAATCTCATCCCAATCACTAACAAAGGATGTCAGAAGTCGCAGTGGCCTTTGATATATAATAAGTATCATCTGAAGCAGCTTGAAATGCTGATTCCAAAACAGCTTTTTTAGATGCACAAAGAATCTGGGTCGGGAGTTATTAAATTAAATTTGGTGGCAACTATCGAAACCCATGTATTTTAAGCTAAAACATAGAAGAAACAATTCATCAATGCTCAATATAATCTATTCCAGATTCACTGTTATGCTGTAGTGCTTCGACAAGCATTTGATTCCTTATCAAGGGTATTCCAAACAAGACTTGGTGATTAAAATGCCCAACTCAGGACCGGCACCGGCTTTTGGAACAGCGTTTCAAACTGCTTCAGTTGATAGCTGTCTCATATTGAAAGGCACTGCTTTCGACAATGCTCTTGTAGGAAGTTCTAAATTTCTTTTATTGCAAAAGGCCTGCTCTATGTACTTCGGTGCAAATCGGATTACAGCAAAAAAGTGACACGAAGAATCTCTTTCTTGACACAGTTTGCTTATACCTGCTAAATGGAAAGTTTAGATTCATGCCACAATACAGTTTATGTTCGCAGATGCTGTTCACACATAGTAGTACATAATTCTAAATGTCAAACGAAGCTATCCTGGTTTGAACATCCAGTAATAATACAGGAATATCAAGCACGAATTACCTGGTATTGCCTCTACTGATAGGTTTCTTGGTATCTCCATATGTAGTTTTCACTTACTTTATTACAGTCTGTTAAGAATTAGCTAGGTGAAAATTTCTTCTCATTTTTTAACGAAACAGCAGTAGGTGCATGGTAAAATAAATTCGAATTTAGGATGATCATTACATGGGTATCCAAGAAACCGGTAAGGTTCTACCAAAGACTTGAATTTGAAACACCTGAGGCAGGCAGACGTATTCCTAGCTGTTATCTAAATAAAACTCTTTCCCTAAATAAAATTATTTCGAAATAGGGTGCATTACTATGAAAAATAAGTCAATGAGCCAAATTCGAGCTTCATAATTACGTCTTTTATTTTCACAGGCTTCAGATGGGAGTCATTGCCAATTAGTTTGTTTTCAAGGCTCTAAAACTTTACAATATGAAATATTTTAAAAAGATTAGCAGTTCAACACAGCGATCACCATAGGCCCTCCTTCAAGCGTTGTCCTTTTCAACAATTCAATGGTTAGTCAAAAGATATAAAAATTAGAACAGCGGCTGATAATTTCCCTACTCCAAAAGTTGATGGCTGAAAGCTTAGTATTGATTCTAAAACGAGTCAATTCCTGCCTATCGCATCTACTCCCCGCTACTTGTAATAAAAGGTGAACATTTGGAAAAAACCAACTTCGCTTGGTTTAATTGCTCCCTCAGCTGCGCATTCTGCTCGACCTCCCACTCCCTAGTACTGCGCAAGCTTTCGATTTCTGTTTGTAGACGATCGACCTAAAAAGGAACAGTGACAGCAACTGACGTCTCAAAAGTATACCGCTGTACCTGTTCCGCATGCTGAGTGTTCAGTTGCGCCATGTGATCTTCGAGTTCCTTGATTCTTGCCTGTGCTACAGCTCGAGCCTTTAGCGCCTGTGCTTTTCCTTCCCGAACTACTTTTGTCATGTCGTTGTCAGCCTGAAGAGTCCAATAAGAAAATCTGAAGCGCGCGGAATTTTTCTGGCTTATATTGGCCGGAACCACCTTATCTATCTTGCTCTGTAGACGATCCAAGTTTGCGGTCGTGTCTAGCAGTTCCCGTCTCAGTCGTTCATTCTCTCCGGAAAGCTCTAACACCATTTGAGTGAAGTGCTCATCAGATCGAATGCTAAAATCATATATTTCTTCTTTTGGCACCATATTCCTCACCGGGGTAAATTATTGAACTGTTTAGCTCAATACTAGTAAAGTTCATTTCTAGGCGGGGTAGAGAGTAGTGAATAGTCAACACATCACAGTTCACGGACCCGCCGAAGGATTACATTGAGGTTTAGCATTTGTAACGAAACCAGATGTTCCAAACTGCTCTGCACTTTGCATTGATGGTTCTAGCCAGGTCAACAATGCCTTCACTAGCAAGGCCTAGCAGAACGATTATCACAGTAAATTTTTTCAGCTTTTTCATTCCTCAGAAGAGCTCAAAGATATCAAAACTTGTGTATATTAACGTCTATGTGTTGATAATGTCAGAATTTTCTGTGTCTTCTCAGTAAGCGTTTTTCCTACAGAGTAAAAAAGCTCACAAACCTCGACTGTTGAGCTTGAGCGGTGGATAACAAATCGAATGTCACTCGTTTCCTATTCTTCTTTCGTAGACTATAATCGATGTCGGCACTTCGATGCTAAAAAATGGTCTCTGACGTTACGTGAGAGCTTACTAACACTTTTCTCACATGGGAAGGCACCTGACTTGATCTGGTCTCTTGAAAAAAATCATATATATTTGAAGTCAACTAGAAACGCTGATTTCAAATATGCTGTGCTTAGCTACGAAGCATAACCCTAAAGAGAGTTATTGAGCTTTTTACACACACAGCTGAATGTGGGTAGCAGCCTGTAGATAGGAAACTGCCCAAAAATGTTTGGAATATTGAGATAGCATTAGTTTAAGCCATTCGGTATTGATAGAAAATATTATGCAATTGCATCATCATTCGAATGTTGAAACCGTAACACCAACAAGTCGATAAGATGCAAATTTTGCGCAAATATCTCATAACTCTCTTCAGAAAAATGCTTCACATCCAGGAAATTTTGGACTCAGCTTTCAAGCGAACACAAGTTTCCGAACATAGTTGTCCGTAAGAAAAAAGAGGCTAAATTACGTGGCCCCATCCTTTCTCAGTAGTTGATGAGCGATTACAAATAACTAACCGAAAACGAATTGGAAGTGCCGGGATAATCGTCATCATCATCCCTTCTTCCAGATCTTTCGAGTGCTTCGCTGGGATCGAGTGGTGGTGGTGAAGTATTTGCCGTTCCTGATAGTAGTCAATGATTATGGATATTCTTTATGGAAGCATATCATGAAAGCATATGTCTTTTGGCGCGAGAGGTTATTAAAAATTCAAATAGAACACCAGAACAAAAACTGGCCATGAATTCTTAAAGTCTCAAACGGAACTCCAGATCAAGAACCAGAAGTCATAATATTTGCACTATGCAGTCGAGAAGGTGTAAAGTAGTAGTAAGATTAGCATGGCGACTCTAATTAAAATAAAAGCATTTAGAGCGAAAAATCAATTCGCAGTAAGTTTTGAAGCCTGTGAAAATTATTTCGAGTTATCCTGAAATGAATTTATGACATGCACAGCAAAACAAATCTTGATTGTTGTTCCTGAAAAAATCTCATCGTACAAAAGCTATCCTTTAGCATCATATCCTGACCAGAGAAGAAAAGACCGCAAAGTTATCCCAAGCAGCATGACGGATTGCCTTCCCTCCGGATTTGCCTGTTCAATAAGTGGACTAGTTTCGAATACTTTGTAAAATTTGCAATCGGATCTTATCTAGATGCACCTGATCAGCTGCATGATTTATAAAATGTTGGAAAAACAGCAGATCAAGTCACTCATAACTCATTTCATAATGATGACAAAAATCTGCAAATTAAGAAGACGTATAAATACTGTTAGCATTTTCTAGAAAAATTGTTAATTACCAGGCAGCTGCTCGGCAGAATGACAACCTCGGAATATTCATCGTTCTCGGTTCCCTTGAATGGGCTAAGTCCAAAACTGTGCTTTGCAGCTTCAAAAAATATCGGTAACCAGCTTTTCCAGACGTGAAAGTGCTGCTGGGCGGATCGCGGAAGCTGCTGGAGCCAGTAATCCAATTGCCGCCGAGGTAGGCGCGGTGTCTCCACCCACGAGCCAATCGCGCTCTAGAGGACAGGCACTTGTCATCCGCCCAAATAGCACTATTCAAGTCTGGAAAAGCTGCTTACTGATATCTTTTAAAGCTGCAAAGTACAGTCTTGGACTTAGCTCATACTGGAAACCCGAGAACGATGAATATCCCAAAGTTGTCATTCTGTCGACCTTGCATTTGAGATCACTACTGTTTTTCTCATTTATTTCATGCTTAGTTTTGAAGAGCAATTGCAGTGGATGGAACAAGTCAGGAAAATAATGCTTACCTCTGTTCGCGACGGCACGTCCAGGTGAATCCCCACGAACACGAGGTTCCAAGCTCCTCTGCGCCGATCGAACCGGAGCCCAAAGCGAACTGTCGGTCTCTGTGCCAACTTCACGATGTTCACGATTCCGTTCCTGAAACATGCCGGGAACGTTGTGAAAAGGTCAACCCGATATTGAACGAACGCAATTCTTCTTCTGTAAACAGCGTTTTTATCTGAATGAGAACGTCTATCAAGGCCACGCACCTCCCACTGTCTTTGAACGATTCGTGCTGCCTGGCTCGTCACGCTGGCCACCTCGCCTTGTTCGCGGCAGAGTTCCTGAATCATGTACGGACAATAGTATTGAATTAAACGCAGACTAAATGTACAAACAGGATTTGGTCATTTATTCTTTAAAATGATCGAGACTACGCAGACTTGCACTGCGCCGATCAAGCGGAGCATGTCTTTGAGCACTAAACACGGACGACACGGACAAGAATTAAGACCAGCAAGAATTCTTTAGCACGACAGCTGCGCTGGGAAGGAAAAGAAGCTGAAGAATATGATCCAACCAATGATTTTCGTAGTACTATTCGTACTTCTCCCCGCTCCAGTATGTTAACCAAGTAAGAACTGCCAAATATGACTTTGCGATCCTTGCTTTACAAAGTTGTTCGTCCTCTCCTCTAGCAAAAATTATGGCCGACAGTGTAAACCAAGTTGCCAATACATTGAACATTGAACATGTCTTTCTCTTCCAAAGTATACCCCCCATACCCTCCATATTTGAAAGAAGTAAAGTTCTCAATCAACGAGGTAAATTTCTTTTGATACAGTGCATTGAAATGTTGGAGTATGGTAAGTATACGGTAAAAGGTTCATCGTCACGTCGCTATAAAGAGACTTAAACAAATTTTGTTGGTGAAGTATATCAGAAGATCATGCGAGTATAAAATTTTACCCAGCAGAAGAACAATGCGAAAAAGTTTGATTTCCTTCACCTCTCGTCTGAATTCCCTTTTAAAGGATTAATTACGTATCCGAATTCTCCGAATGAAGAGCTATTAGTGGAATATTAATATCTTAATTGCCGCTAGATGGAATTTCATTAATTTTAGACGTTATTTCCTCTAAGTTAAGAATGGATGAAGTTCTTTCAGGGCTCGGCACGAGCTGGCACCAGGGAATTTTGAAAACGAAGTCCCCTTTGAAATTTGCCAATTTTTACGAAGTCCCCCTTGACTTTTGGGAAATTTTACGAAGTCCCCTTTGATCCTCAACGATATCCCCTCTAAAATCCTAAAAAAATCCCCAAAATCCCCCAAAAAACGAAACGTCGACTAAAAAAAAAAAAAAAAAGGTCGTCGCCGCCAATTTTGCGTATGTCTTCACCCACAAAAACGAAACCCCCTTTGCTTTTTGCCCCAAAAACGATATCCAGCTTGCCCCGTGCCAGCTGGTGCCAGGCCCTGAGTTCTTTCCTTCTTTGCTACTCATCATAAAAACACATGAGATTGAAGTAGCCCAAAGTCCAAACATCTTTCATAGTTTTTCCTTCTCTTTCAACAGTCACGTTTTTAAATTGGTTACTTCTGTGATCACGACAATCACAGAGATTTCTGAGTTTTTTAGCATTTTTCAAGTTGACAATTTTTCAAATTTTCATTTCACCCTAGCTTTGATGACAAGTGGATGAATTAGACGGCAATGAAATGTACATGATCTTTGCTAGCTTGGCTTAGGGTTCCGAAATTTTAAAGTTTGATATCCCAGAGCAGCATAAGAGAAAATGTTTAAAGACATGAATGCTGCAAAGAGGAAGAAGAACTGTGTCGGATAATGTTTGAAACGTTTGGCTATCCTCATCCCAGACACACAAACATAACTTTTTACGCCGAAAACAAGAGTTCCACAAAGAATAATTTTAATAAAAAGTGGCTTATGCAATAGCAAGACGGCAGAAATCTCTTCCTTGCAACGATGGATTACCTGCAAAACAGAAACTAGCAAGGTCCCAATTTCTATTCATTCATGGTTCATATCCAATCAGCATTTTGGGAACTGGGCCAACTTCTCAGTGACTGATATATTTACCAAAAGAGTACGCTACAAATACACTTCGCAACAACGACGTAGCCCCAGATATATTCAATTGATAATTCTCACCGACTTAGGAGTAAGTTTAAGTTTGAGCCTTTAATTGGAAGAACCAAGGATATAATACTCTTTTCAAGGGAATGGAGCAAACTAAGACTAGCGAGGCTTGTAAACGATGTCAACATCATGCAGCTAACATCTTGTGACGATATACATTCATGTCTATCGTCGAGTCATTCGTAGCTCAATATGTGAGCCTGCACACAACGCGTTTTAACGGACGGCACCCTTAGCATTAACTTCTCGATCAAATCTTTTCCAGCGTAACAAAGTGTGGAAGTGTATACTACTGACTAATTAATATCCTTTCAAATTAAAATAGGCAAAGAAACAAGGCGAAGTCGCTGAAATAAGCAGGTTCCAATCTTCTAAGTTCGTCAAATAGCGCATATGGTGTAATACGCATATTAAGTTACAAATGACTCGACCATACGTCGGCTCAAGAGATATCTTGCATTTTTGAGCACTTGAAGCAGTGATGCCACCATTTTCAAGTTTTTAGCGGCGGTCTTCAACTCAGCTTACCTGAAGGTCAAGAATTTGCCGTTCCTTGTCCAAGATGACGTTGTTCAACTCAACAATGCGTTCATCCTAAAGACCGATTATCACTGCTGCTCAGCTGCGCTTCTTCTAAAACTGCGAACGAATTTGAACCGAAACTGACCTTGAAGAGCATTTGTTGTTGTATACGATCGATGTCGATCATCTGAGCCGCACGTTTTCTCTCTTGGATTTCGGCAGGACTCAACGGTTGCGTCGCACGAAGCTGTTCGTCCATGTTCTGAGAACCGAAGATAAGCCAGCGGATATTCAACAGTCACTGTCTTCAAACCTTGATGAGAATGAGCTGATCATTGAGCTGCGTCTGTTTTTTGGACAACTCCTTACGGAGAGCTTCAGCCTCTCTGCAGGCGGCATCCAGTTCGACTTCAGTCTCAGCTAACCGGATAAGTAATAAAGCATTATTCTGAAACTTCACAGATAAATAAATTTCACTCAGCTGCAAACTCGACACACCTCTTTCTCGTTGATTGAATACCCGTGTTCACTGCAATAAGCACTAACTTCTTTTCTCAACTGATCAAACTTTACTTTACTCTTTAATTTGAATTTGTTAAACGTAGCTTGGAGCTCCTAAATTAGAGAAATATTAACATCTACAACGACGGATAAGCTCAGAGCTCACATTTAGTTCATGCTCTTTTTGAGCCAGGCGGTCAGCGTAAAATGTAACATCCGTAGCCATTTCTGTTGTTAGTAGAAAAACTCAGCGCATTCTGAAAATTATGATTACTAGCTGTCTTGACGAAACGAAAAGTGCGTTAGAGCATGAATAAATTGTTTAGGGCCGAAGTCGAACGCCATCTGATCTGAGACTGAGATTTTCATGACTTGCACTTCGCTGGCTAATTTATTCGAACTCAGTCAATGTTTTACGCTAGTATCTTTCTCCAATAATTGGAAACATAAATCTGCATTCTTCTAGCTAAAATGCAATCGATTTTCCACAGAAGGGATCAAAATAATGATGGGTCAAATGTGGGATAACACAGCAGAAAGATTCTGCTAAAACGCATGCCAGATATACGATAAAGATCGAGTGTCACAGAAAGCGAACGTAATTAGCTTCTAACGATATATTGGTAGCTAACGATAAATTGTAATAGCTGATACTCCCCGCATATACCCTCCGCTGAATAAATAGTCTATTATGTATAGGTGGGACAGAAATATGTGGGAAGCTCTTATTAAGCTAAGGTAAAAGCTTGGCGAAATTCCACGAATTTTCAAAGAAAGTGTGCAGTACTAATTAAGTTATTATAAAAAAACTGGTGATATCACACCGCATCCAATTTCTCCGCAAAAAATCAAAACAAATTTGCTGGCAATGCCAGTAAATGCAGAAGAAGAAAAAGAAGAAGCCGACGTTAAAAAGTTTATATAACCTAAAAAACTAAGCAGAAAATTTTCGTGGGACTTCTCACTGTCATACGGCGTTAAAATCAATGGGAAGCTTTATATTATGGAGAACTTCAAATATAAAAAAAATATTCATTGCACTCAGAGTGCTGAATTATTATTCTTAAAATTTCAGGCTTAGAATATTGCATTGTTTAGAGTTTCACTGAATGTAATGAAGAGAATTAATTCATTTTAATTACTCCAACGGTTGAGTATTTTGTCGGCAATTAAAAAAAAACCTTCATGAATAAATTTGTAGACTGCTTCTAATAAAAATTTTAGGAATTCGGAAACTGGCTTTTTCTGCAAAGAACTATCTAGATTTAGGAAATAAAAGGATAAAACAGTAGTGAATCCTCGGTGAAAACGTGGCGATGGGGCTTGGGTGTCGTGTCGCAGTCGCCGATCGATTCGACCGCGAACAGCCGAGCGACGCGATTTGGTGGACCGGGTCATTCCCGAAGAGCAAGCATGGTAGTCCCGGGTCATCTTTGATCCATTTGACCACCCGGAAAGGAAGCTGCAACAATGAACTAAGGAATGAAGGCTTCTGTTGTGAATTCTCGAAGCTATTCGTGCCAAATGGCGCTGTCGCACAGTTGTAAAATGACTAAACGGCAAGCACTGCGTGGACTGAAAATTGCTTGACGCTGTGTGATATCCGATTCAATGGTTGGTAGCCACGTCTCGCTTTAAAATCGACGGGAAGTAAAAAATTAAGTTATGAACCACACCAAGCTTTACGGAGCTTTTTGTATTTTTATCATGGCTTAGCCAACAATTACTCTACAATACTCATTGGAAACATAGATCAAACTAAAAAAGTGCTTAAACTGCCCATAAATTGGATTAGATCCTCTAGTTTTTCCATGATGGTTTTACCCAATATTCAAGTGCCCAGATCACGAAAAGAGGGGTAAGGAGAACAGGATGTTGCGATAGGTTTCTAGACGTTTCCTTGAATCTTCGTAGCATGTTTATGAAAATCAGATAAGTGCGAGCATTGCTGTTTTTTTGCACATAAAAAATTGCTGATAAGTGATTTGTTTTATAATTTCAGTTGTACGCAACGCCTTATACAGGGTGTCCCAAAAAAATGTGAACACTGTTTGATTGAATAACTCCCTTGCTTTCATGGCTTTCGCCGAGCTTGAGTGATTATTCTATAGAGCGAGGTTCAACTTAGATTTACAGCATGGATTGAATTACCGATCCCTTTTCGTTACTGTAGGATTACGGTAGAAATTTCGACATGGATTTTGGGCCATTGGAGGCCATATTCTGCCTCGGAACAAAACCAAACAAGCCAAAAACTTCTTTACTATGGTAATGAAGAACGCTGATTTCGAATATGAAATTCCCACTTTACTGTGATGCTTCTTTCCGAGGTTACCCTAGGTAAACCGTAATAATTGAATTTCCAGCATCTGTCAGAAATGTGACTACACCGTCAACAAAGCTAAAAACACTCGTAAAAAGTTGTCTAATGAAATTAGCGTGCACGAAAACCCTAGTACACGATTTTTCAGATTTTTTGAAAAAACTTTTGTCAATTGGCATTTTTCACAATAGATCCACATGCTAGAAGTTCATACCATAATCCTACAGTAACGAACAACGATCGGTGATTCGCTCCACACTACAAATCTAAGTTGAACCTCGCTCCACACAATGATGCCTCAAGCTCGGCGAAAAGCATGAAAGCAACGGAGTTATTAACGATCAAACAGTGTTCACATTTTTTGGGACATCCTGTATTTACAGAACATTAGCAGACCAAGCAGAAGGGGGAAGCAAGGGAATTGGGGGTGGGGGGGAGGTGGCCACGAAATTTTCGATTGTAGCCTATATGGGTTACGAAACTGTGTAAGTGACTTCTTATACCAGTGAACAATCAAGATTATTATTTTTTACAAATCTCCAGAAATGCAAACTAGCTTTGTAAATTGTAGGCCGCAAAAAATTTGGAAAGCTTCTATTAGGCTAACCCATGTCGCTTTATTCGGAAAACGTTCCTCCTCTCCCTTTCCTTAGAGCGAAATTTCTCACCGCCTCTCTTACCGATTGAGCTGACATTATCGCCAGTGCAGCTGTGAACGGACTAGAAGATTTCCATAACGATTTTTCTGTCACAAATCGATGTAACCATCCTTCAAAAAACCTGTCTTGGGGCACAGAGAATTTGATTATCCTACTACTCGAAAAGCATATCAGTTCCGGAAAAACTGGATTTGAGGTTTCATTGTATTTGCCGCACCGTAGAGGGTTGCTGAGTTTCAAATTTAACCGCTTTTGGAATAATAATAATACAATTATAGCCAAAGCAATTCTTTCCATATAGCAAATAAAATTGTGAATATAAAAGCTATTATAATCTGCAATATTTGCCAGCAAGCAAAGGTAAATGGAGGAACGAAAATTCTACTTCTACTTTTCCGAATTTTTACTATTACTTCTGCAGGTGTACTTCAGATGGCTCACTATTTTTCTGTGTTACAATATAATGCTTAAGGGCAATAATAAAATGCTTTAGAACCTTTGAATTTAAAAAAAGGTTGAGAGAACCGCTTCCATCTCAAGAGTACCTAAATCACGTCGACTTCAAGTAAATGTGTTAGAAAAGATGTATTTCAAAGCTAAGGTTTGTTCCTTTGATGATAAAACCACAGTCATGCAAATGTAAATGGTCCGTACACACGCAATCTTATCACAGAGATATCGGTCATAAAATGGTATAAATAGCAAGTGAAGGAGTAGGGTGCCTCATTGCATTACTTGCTGTTCTCATCGTACAATAACGATAATGGATACCGTTGCTGAAATTTACGCAAATTATCGTCAAGAATTAGAAGAAACGATGGAGGGCTTACGACAACGCGGACAAGCTTTTGGAGAAAGTGCACCTCAGCTGATTGAAGATACCAAGAGTCAGATCGAACCTCAAACACAGGAGCTTATAAATGCGGTCCAAGATACGGTAAGCTGGCCAGCTGGCCAGAAGTGGAAAAAAAATGCAAGTCACGAGTTAGTTGTTGGCAATGTTCAGAGCGATGTGTCCAGTCCGCAAAAAGCAGTGATCGAGGTGTTCGCATGGGGTTCTGTGATGGTATTGTTCGCCAATATTGGCCTTGGATTTGGATCTTATATTCTTGGTCCATTCGTTTCAATTTTTGTTGGAAAATTTGGCGCTACGCTAGCCGCTTTCATAGCTGTTCCACTCTACGCTCACTATGAAATCAAGCATGTCAGCGAGTGCTTCGCAGTTCAGAATAGCTCAAATATGACTACTTTTGCAGTTCACTGGAAGTGACGTTGGCATTCGGTTTGAATTGCTGTCGCTAGCGATCTTTCAGGGAGTGCTGACAGGATTCGTCATCGACAGTCTCTATCTGAGCGCAACACCGTTTGCAGTGCTTACTCCTGCCATTGTTACTGTAGCTTTTGCGGTAGGTTCGCAAACGGAACCGTGGTAATGGAGGTTAGAACAGTGAAATCTGGAACAAGTTTTCACAAAAACTACACTTTGCTGGGAGTTGGCCGTTTTGCACTACAGTATCCATCAGCCACCCTGATTGACTTGTTTGAATCGTCGCGGCTGATTTCTCCATTCGCTTCTTTTGTTTGCCGGTAGCTTCGATGGTGGTCCTGCACGGAAGCCTATACTGTCGCGCGAATCGGTCCACACCTGCATTTCCTCCCAAATTCTGACCGCACTATCGCCACTTGGTGTAAGAATGACTGCTATAATCATTTCAGACAATTTCACCAACTGCAAATGGAAACCGCATCACATTGCTGGGAGGCTCCATTGGTGCAGCGGTCGGAGTGAATTTCTTGCTGGGACTAATCACGGGAAGCCTCACGTTTGTCTACTTCCTAATGACCCTCACTTATGCTGGTCTTACCGCGGTGACAATGCAGCTTGTTTTCAAAAATATTCAGGGAGACGTAAGTTTTGAGTTTAAGTTCATATTTAGTCCTCTCAATATTCTTTCAGGCACAAGGCCATGTATACCAGAACTTACTGTCGTGCAGCTTTATCATCGCAAAAGGAATGTTTTACATATTGTTCGGATCTTACAATCAAGAAGATGTCCAGCAAAACGATCAATCAAATCAGCGTTAGGAAGTTGAATTTTGAATAAAGATTATATGTGATCATAAAAAGGGACTCCAGTGTAAACTGGAGTATATACTGGGCCTTCCCAGATGAGATTTACCATGACCATTGTTTGAAACAGCCTCAAAAGTGGAGATGACCCCGCAGTCCCCAAGCCCTTTTACTCCTTCACTGTAAACTATCCTAAAGGCAGAATTTCCATCAATTTGCAACAAAGCGTTGATTTGCTGTTGAAGTTTATGCTCTAAGCTGAAATGAAAACTCTTCAGAGCGACTGCCCCTGCTTTATTTGAGTTCCAGATTCCAGCTATCATCCGATGTGGTTGTCCACTTTCCCAACTTCTGAACCGTCCGAGCGATGTTAGTTTTGCCGCGAAGGACGACGCTAAAAAAGCGGACGAGTTGCACTACATAATGAATGGAGACGCATCATGATTTAAAGCGTGGAATCGATCTGTTCTAGTATTTATCATTGTGTTAGGCAAAACAGACATACAAAATGAGCTAGCAAGCTTGCGCGAAACTCGTTCTTCCTCCGACCTTACTCCGCTCTGCTAAAATTCTGGCCAATCAGAGCGACGTACAGACCAATCAAAGGCGCGCCGCAATGGAGCAGTCGAAAAGGCCCTTAGCCGACTTACTGTGGTAGTTTCCACGTTGGGTTGTTTAGCTTCATAATGTCAGCATCTTACTTGATTTGGAGTAATTCCTGTACTGTTTATTCACCGCTTTCGTGCCATGTGCATCGCGGTACCAGTTCACTGGACTTACAATGTGTTACCGTAACCTTGGACGCTACCGCAACTCGCACAAGATGGTAGACAAGTAACCCCACCCTCATCCCTGAGAACTGAAACGTGAGCGCAATGAGTTCTTGTACGATGGCATATCTCTGTTCATACAGAAAGAGGTTTAGCGGACCGGTATGACGCTCGTATTATGGTAGCACACTGTGCCTTCAAAATGAAGACACCCTCTTCCACGAAGTAAATTTGTGCCAGAAAACGCAGATTTGCTCGTTCACAATTTATCAAAGGAGGACATTTCAATTACTCATAGAACGAATGCGAAGAACGAGACAAGAGATGATCTTGAAGTGTTTATGCATCAGTAAACACTGAGTCATTTATTCTAATGCTCATTCGATGTAAGTACCGAAGCAGTAGAAAGTCGCTCCTTTGAATAAGAGATACATAGAGTTCAGCGCATTCTGATAGACATAGCCACGGCTTTGCGAACGCTGGAATGGAAGTATATTTGGTGAGAGACTGAGGTTATTGGCGGCTTACCGATTGAGCATCGTAAAAGACGAGCTGCATGACTATTCCAGCTATTCCACAATAACCAAGGGTGAGGAATTGATACGAAACGCTATTTTCAACGATCATAATTCCCAATATCATATTGACCAGCAATGCCGCTCCCAGTGAAGCGCCAATTATCCTGAAGCGATCGCCATGAAACTGCCGAACAGCGACCTGGAAAGTTGCAGTCTTTTCTAAGTGATAACTCTTTGGTTCCTACCGTGTATGCAACAGAGACAACGGCTGGAGTGACGAAGGCTAACGGCTGCCCGGACAGGTAGAGATGGTCTATGGTATAACCCGCCAACGCTCCTTGGGTGAGTGCGGTTGCCAGTAACATAGTTCTTATCTGATTATCACTCTCATAGTGGCGTTCCTTCTGCAATTTTCAAGTCAATGGGTGCGGATCCCAACCCCCTATGGACACTAACATTTTTAACAACAGCATGTGCTGCGACTGGGATGAGAAAGTAAGCGAAGAGTACGCTTAAGAATTTTCCAAATAATATGGAGAGGAAGGGGCCGATGATGTAGGAGCCCGCGAAGGAGCCAATCGTACTGGCGAAAACCAAAACTGTCGACCACGCAAACACCTCGACAACCACCCGTAGAGGTCCAGTTACTCTGCTCTGAAATTGGGATTCGTTACTGCGTAGTCGTCCTTCTAAGGGCTGACGTACGGTAGCCTTGACAGCATCGACGATGTCTTTGCTCTTCGGTTTGATGTCGTTCACCAGATTGGGGAGGTCTTCTTGTAACTGCATCGCCTGTTTCCGCAGCGACGCGAATGTCCCGGCCATCTCGTCGTGGCGATAAGTGTCAGTCAGAGCTTGTGACATCATCCAATCCTAGTGCCACACTTCGGGAGTGGTAGTGAGTATCAGCGAAGATGCAGGATCTGTGCCCGCACCCCACCAGCCATCTGCTTTTATACTCCATTCAGGTTCATGCCGTAAACAACACAAAACATTTGCACTGCCACTCGAAGTAGTGCGGTCTTTTAAAACAAAGTCTTCTCGAATTACTGAGCTCCAAAATTTTTTTGCACTGTAGACGGACAGGCAAAGAGGGACCTTACCAACTGAGAGGAAAGGTGTCATTTCCATTTTAGGTTAGAAGCCCAGACTTTTATTAAGAACGTCAGAACAACACGTCCAGAAGTAGCTCCAATACTGCTTGCGCTCTACAGTTATGACAGTGGAATGTAAAAATTCTCGGCGAATTCGTCGATGTCGGCGACTTCGGCAAAGTTGGCGAGAAACGCAAAGTCGCCAAGTTCGCCGACATCGCTGAGAATTTTTACATTCCAAAGTCGTACATAAATGTACACGTTCCGTCCTCGACATTTGCTCCGCCCTACTCAAAATCTCGCCATTTGCAGCCGATGTGTTGACCAACCATAAGGGCACTGTCATGAGCGGTTTGAAAGGACCCTTACCCCAGCAGATGGTTATTCTCAGTATGCAGAAGCGCTTTGAAACCGCAGATTTGCTAGAGGTCTTGTAGAGTTTTTCAGCATTTAAGGGAGATTATGATAACGGTCGCGCATCTTTCTACGATGTTAGGCCCTGGGCAGACTTCACGCGATTTGATCGTCGCGACTGAATCGCGACGAGACAACTGTTACAACATCATTCCATGCCGATCAACTTGCATTCGGTTGTGATACTTTTCCAGCCCGAAATTTTTGAATGTGAAATGAAAATGAATGGAAATCTTGGCGATTAGATCGCGACGATCAAATCGCGTGAAGTCTGTCCGGGGCCTTACTGGCAAGCTAGGTAGAAAGCCTAAGTAAAATGGGAACGCACGGTAGTTAGCCAACCTAATTGGAAGCTGGCAAGACATCCTACAGTTTGAGACCGATCGCGTCAGTAGTAACAGGTGTAATGAGCACCGAACCTTGAGGTTATCTATCTTCAGAGGCTACCTCGATATAATATTCTTTCTCAAATATCCTAATCCTAGAAGGTTCTTCGTGGATGGGACTATGCAGGTAAGCCTATCCCGAGGCAGATCTTGGCTTAAGGTTCGCTGAATAGGACCACAGCGTGGGTGAACTCTTAGATGGAGTATCTAAGGCCCCGGTCAGACTTCACGCGACTCGCCAAGATTTCCATTCATTTTCATTTCTCATTCAAAAATGTCGGGCTGGAAAAGTATCACAACCGAATGCAAGTTGATCGGCATGGAATGATGTTGTAACAGTTGTCTCGTCGCGACTCAGTCGCGACGATCAATTCGCGTGAAGTCTGCCCGAGGCCTAACGCATTCGTTTGGTCCAGCTACCGCGTGATTACTACTGCTCTATCAAGTGCCGGTACTTTGTGAAATGCATGATTGCCATAACTAGTGCGCAGTCAACTTCTACTGCCAAAGTGATAAAGATCCACAATCTCGATTTGGTTGATCGAATGACTGCATGCACTGAACGAGAGAAAGAATAGTCGTGTGGATGCTACATTCATATCGAGCTTGATTAGGGTGATGTCCAAGATCGTTTGTGAATAATGACGTAATTTATCAGCCGTCTTTATCATCGAGGCCACTATAAATACGGAACCTTGGGAGAGGACAATCAGTTAACCCAGCTTCGCTTTACTGACACAAAATGGATGCGATAGTGGCCGTGTGTGACCTGTACCGGAGGGATATCAATGAAGCTGTGGCCAGTCTTCGACAACGGGGACTACTTCCCTCGCAGCGCAGCTCCCGTTCAAGGCGTTCATCGAGAAGCACCCGAACCGCAGTGCAGTGGTTACGAACTTCTGCTGCTCCAGTACAGAATCGTGTAACAAGCTGAATGTGAGGTTATATAAGACTTCAATAAAATATCTGTTCCAGGCCTGTACTCAAACTGAGCACAGAATTGTTATTGAAGTACTTTTCTGCGGAGCTGTGCTGACATTCTTTTCTCATATTGGTTCATCTTTCGGTTCGCACATTGCCAATCCTATGCTGTCCTCTATATTTGATAAACTTGGCGCTTCCATATTTGCCTTTTTGGTACTGCCATTGTTCACAAAATTAATGCTTAAAAAGGTGAACTTTGCATTCTGGAGCATATGAATTGAGGCTTAAAATTGTAACTTTAGCACCAGCGCAAAAGCGTTCGTGACAGTGCCATGCGGTTCATGCTCTTCTTAGTTGCTGTCTTGCAAGGGATGGTGTCAGGATTCGTCATTGACAGCACGTACATAAGTGGTGAACCGCTACCTTTTGTCACACCGTTAGCAATATCGATGGCCTACGTGGTGAGTCACTGAAATTATCTTCTGGAAGAGTAAGAAAAACTAAGGAAGCATGGAAGTTTTGATACGCTAGTAAAAGAAATTAGATTATATTTCAACTTATGAAGTTCTCTCGCATGACGAGAGGGACGCAGAAGGCGGGCGAAGCAGCTCGTCCTCTTACACTGCGTTTCGAATATGAAAAATGGGGTAGATGGCCGTTTTGCACTACAGTACCCTTGGCAAGCCTGCGTGACTTGTCCAAACATGCCGCGTAAATGGCAGATTTCTTCATACAGAGGTCGCCGCTGTCCCGTACGAATATAAACGATGAATTAATGTAAATACAACATGACGTAAACTGGAACATCGACATTTTTTGCAGGGCGAAATCAACTCATTCTACAAATCATTTGGCTGCTCTGACCGCCTGCGCTACTGTAGCCTTTGCCGCTAATCTTGTAATCGGAACTTTGTTGAATTTTGTAACAAAAACATATGAGCTGATGACATTTGCCTATGTCGCGGCAGGATTGATCACATTGGACAATGCTAAGAGAAACGTGAAAAAAGCGGTAAGGTTATCATCCATTCGAGACATAAAAAACGGATTCTGAGTTTGTTCAGGGAACTGAATACTATCAGCAATTTTTCTTACTTCAATCTATTACACTAATCAGAGCCTTAACATTTTTGATATGTGGATACTATAAGTATGCTTGTGCGTTACGACACAGGAACCTTCGATAATCTCTATTTCAGCGCCGAAGATGCTTATGGAAGACTATGGTAAAAACGCAGAAATGATGTCACTGATGAAAAGATCTTACACAGATGCAAACTTGATAAACTCGCTAAAAAGTTGTACTTTGTCTTCTAAATATAAAGCAGTCCTAAACAAAACGATTCAGTGTTTTTGAACACCACAATATGATGACCCATAAGTGAAATAGACTTTAACTAGTTTTCGCGAAATTGGCCTGAGGTAGACATGAGAAAAAGTAGCCTCACTTTCAACATGACCTCGATTCTCATGCAGGAGGTCAGTGCGTTGTTGGAGACCGGTCCGATGTAAAAAAGAATCTATTTTTGTGCACATTGCGTGCGCCTTATTTGCGGTTTATTTGCAGAATCTTAGCAGCCAATATACGAAAGTTTCGTTGTGGGATGCTATACTGTACTCTACAACCGAAAATGCAAAACTTCGACTTTTGTAGGAAATTTGAACCGACATACAACCGATAATGCAAAATTTCGACTTGTAAAAAATTTGCACCGATATCATATAAACTCTCATAAATATGCATAAGGTAAAGCTCTACACTTTGTTTCTCCTAAGCCAATGAAGAGAAAACTTCGTCTAAAGGAGTGAAACAGAGTTTTAGCACTTACCGTTCTAGCACATTCCACTAATGAAAGAATAATAGCACTTCCAAAAAATTCACAAATTTACCTTATGTCAAGCTTTTCAAAGTAGTCATATTCTGCAAAGTAGGAACTCTTTTAAGTGCTCTGGTAAAGCTACGGAATGGGGTCAGAATTCCAAAGTTTAAGCAAACTTCGAGATTCTCACCATAGCTTAAGTTTACCGTAACCATTCAGATGACACCATAGCTTAAGTTCACGAGTACAGGACCATCTGTTTTTTCTAAATTCGACCAGCCTGAACACCGATCGAAGACCCTACAGTCATGTGTATAGCCTGAGAGCGTTCGGTTTTCGTTTCGTTCATAAGCTTCGTTTCCCGAAACACCGAGGCGCAGAGAGGCTTGCTAAAATAATCGGAAAAGATGCGTCTCGTATTCGTGAAATTAGGGCACTTATCCGCTATCAGCATAATATTTGATCCCTGTAAAACAACATAGGAGATTGAGCCCAAACCTGTACATACAATAATCCTACGAAAAAGTAGTAATAATTGTCTAATTAGGTTCCGAATCACCCTGTGAAGTTCTGGAAAAATTCGAATGACTTTGTGTAAGTGGAATAGCCTCCAAGAAGACAGGAATTTTTTGGGGCGTCAAGAGATCTCTACCAAACGACGAGGTGAAGCTTCTAAGTATATAAAAAGGGGTGAACGTATACAAAAAATCTTGCACTACCCAAATGCAGCCAAATGGTTAGATTTATTTTTCCCCGCATGACCTACATTTCATTGTTTCTACACTTCGTTCGTGTGTTGCAATTGTGTTCTATTTGCCGTTGTTGCAAAGCTGCCTAGTAAACCAGTAATAAAGCGGATTCATCGGCTGTCAATGTGTACAAATACGGCCTAATCGTGAGCGCTGTTCGTTTGACGCTAATTGGTTCTGGATAGATTTCCGAACGGAGGCGTGGCTGCCTCAAAGTCTTTGACCTCAATCCTCTACTCCCTATATAGGCTCTAAAGGACGAATTCAACAACTGCACTTTGAAGATGAGCTGGTTGGCGGTGCGAATCTGTCTGCTGTGGTCGATGGTCAAAGCGCAGTGGAATATTCCTGGAGCTAACGATGGATTTGGGCCAATTATGGGAGCAGGACGACAGACTGGGATTCGATTTGGTAAGTTACTTGTCTTTGAAAATTTGAGGCGAAGCATAAAGCGAGTCTGAGTCAGGGCCTTATGGAGAAACTTCGGCTTCAAACCTACCACAGAACCTCTTGGCAGCCGATTTGGGTTAGTCTAGAAACTTCAAGCAATTAAGTTACAAAATGAAGTTAATTAAGCCCCACAATTTGCTCGGTTCGGTTCCCAATATCCTGGCTATGGCACGCAAAGCATTATGGAACCAACGAGTATATTTGCAAACCCGGCAGACTTTCAAAACGTAAATCCTTTGCTACTACCCAGTCAAACCAGGCCCGTGAGACAGTTTACCCATCAACCTCCGGCTACCTTCGGCTTACCATCTTCGCCTCAAAATCCATACAGACAAATGGGAATGGATCCGTCACAGTTTGGCGGCTACAGTCCATTTCAACAAGCAGATGACGCTGATAGGAGTGTGGATAAAACAGTAAGAGCAACAGAATCGTGAGACTGAGTATAGATGAGGGCATTTAGGCCGAAATTCCTCCCTCTCAACCGATACGTGTGGTGCCACCATTCTTGAAAGATGCAAGCAAGGAAGAGCAAGATCGAGTAAGATCTCGCCTTCGCACAACTCTACTTATCTTCTGGCTAAAATCTTCCTCGATTTCCGTTTTCGCACTTAATTTGTGAAGATTCCAGTTTTATGAAATTGTGCAAAATCCGATGTGGTCCCCTTCCGAGAAGAATGCAAAGATCGACGCGCTTATTGGAACAATGAGTGCAGATACACAGGTCATACAATTTTACGTTTTTTCGTTTCAGCTTCGAAATTCTAGCTTTTGAATTTTTCTCGTTGCACTTCACAATATTGAGTATGATAATGGAATATGTCCATTTTTTGCGGAATTTCCGATGTGGGGATTTAGGTATAACTTCTCGTGGATTAGGTATGTTTTGAATCTGCGAGCGAATTATAAGCACAAATAATAATAAAACTTACGTACCTTCAGCCGTACCCGTTTCCTCATGAATTGCGGTCAAATTGAATACCTTAAGATTTGTCTCACTGATCGGGTCTTCAGATACTAGACATCGTGTTTTAGACACCTGACCTCCGGGACATTATGAGGAAAAACCGCAAATTCCGCGAACCGATCCCTCAAAAATGGACATATTCCATTGACGTGATTGTACACCTAGGATAGCTTGCAATGTTCATGTCTATCATCTGTCACCGATAATTTCGTAAAATTCCGTGGCATACATGTTTCTTATTTATCTATCCGGAAAGATTCATACAAAGTTTTTTTCAGAATATCTATGCCCAATATCAACGCGCCTCGTCAGGCGATCTTAAAGAAAAGCGTGAAAAAGTCCATGCTGCTGTGGCTGTGATGTCGCCAGAAGCTCAGCAGCAATTTCAAAAAGTATGCCATATCACTTTCGTTTGAAATCTCTCCGTTGAAGGGAGTGCAATTTTCTAGTTCGGTAGAAATCCAAGAAAGAGAGATAAATGACAGCGACTGAGTGGGAAAGTGCATTTTGAGTGCATCTTTTGCAAATTGCACACTATTTCGGTCATGATGAGTGACCGCAAACAGCCGGGAGCCGGTTGTAGATGTAGTAGGCTGTTGAACAGGTGCGAGTCAGGAACTGCTGAAAAGAGAACGTGGAAAAGTAATTTGCGTGTTCGTGCGACGAGGTCATAGAACTTGGTCATTTGAGGTTCGTCAAAACAATTTCTACGTGAAAAAATAGAAGTGAGCAGCTTTTAGCAACTTTCCCTTACTCCAAGTTTCCATTTTTGGATTTCAGTCTTGGTAGCTATGGAATTCGTTCTTTGGTATCCCATATCCTCAATTAAGGTCCCTGGAGCGTTGTCGCATTCGAGAACATTCAAAACTATACCATCAAATATCACGATTTTTTCCAGCTATAGTATCTACAGGTTTCTGCACTGATGACCAGTCCAAGAATTCCCGAGCAAGAACGACTACAGAAGATTCAGGACCTGTACTCCAAAATTCCGGATTCGATCAAGCGAGAGTTCGATTCCAAGTTTTCTGATCTATGATTTACTGGTAGCACATCTGTATCTGATCTCTACTCCATTGAACTTTCATTTATTCTGATTATTTTGTCTCACACTGTAAACATATTGTGTAATGAAATACAATACCGATCATAATTCGTCAAAAAAGTCGCCGGAGTGCGGCGCACTCCGCCACACTCCGTCGCACTCCGGCGCACTGCGCCGGACTCCGCCACACTCCGACGCACTCTAGCGCACTCCGCCGCAGTCCGGCGACTTTTTTGACGAATTATGAGCGGTATTGTAGATTAATCAGTAAAACTGCAATATTTAGCACTGTTCTTTGCTTTGTTATGCTCTGAACACGACAGTAAGTATCATATGCCTTCTGCAAGCGGGCTCACTAACTTTTCAGTGGTGTGGTGACTTTATTAGCGTAAAAGTCTGAAAAATTTAAGGTACATAGTGGTGTCCTTTACACCTCCCCGAATTTTCTCTCGAAATGGAACGGCTGATGAGAGGTGAGTAAATGTATTGACCTCAACCAGAGTGTCCATTCTTTGATGGTTACACAAATACGCGGAAGTTGGGGACGGCTACGCCTGTCAAAGGTCATTTGCCCTCCGAAGAGTCAGGCACTTCGCACACCGTCTCACTACCGAATCTAAGCATTCAATTCACTTTCTCTGAGATTCCCTACAAAAGGCCATATGGCTAGCCAAAGGCATCTGGTACTGTATATTATTACCACATATGGTATACTAGCATTTTGCTCAAAACTGAAGAGTTTCGATCTGGAAAATGTCGTTCTTGAACCCGCTCCTAAGCCGGTTTTTTTGATGAATGCCACTTACGATGCTATCAAGCAGTTCATGTCAATTTACAGAGAACCACAGATTTCGCAATTACATAAGGTATGAATTTTCTAGGATGCTTTAACCATTGTGATGTCTCTGTAGTAGCATGGACTTTATAACCATTCTGTTAACATGAGAGAACCATACATACAAAATATAATAGAATAAATAACAAACATACATGTTTTGGATTTGCTAACTGAATTTTTGCACGCATATCACTCGCAAAAGGTCATGGAAGATGAAAGAATAAGTCCTGGGATCATGACATGGTAAAAAATGGGGGTAATTTTTTTCAAAAAAAAATTGGCTGGCAGTCCTACTTAGAGAGTGCCATGTAATGAAAACTCTACATCTTTTCTTTGAGACAAATCTTCCTTTTCCTTTTATTCCCAGCTTTCATGACTTTTACTTACGCTGGTACTTTCAGGTAACAGAATTGGATGTTCTGATTGGAACATTACGACCAGAAGTACAGCAAGCATATCAAGCTTACAAAGCTGAAACACTTCTTCTCAGGCTTACTCAAGACGAAAGACTGCAAGAAATCGCAGAAAAAGTATTTTTTATATTATATGTCATATTGTATATTATATTTGTGTCCATTATTGCGCAACTTCAGGCACATTTCACCATGGTTCATCTTGCAGCACTCAAGAAAAGCAGCATCGGAGTCAATGAACATAAAAGGCGTATCGAATTGATATTCTCGGAGTTTTCGGATTTTATGGTGAGATTGTACCTTTTAGCAACGACTTACCAGGGCGGCTGGTCAGGTTGTTATTTTGCAGGTGCAAGCAGTTACTGATGAAATAGCAAATACGGTGGACTTAGTGATGCGTCAAATGTTGCGAGCGCTGTTGTTCACAGAGAAAATGACACAGAAATGAATATTTCGTCTCAAAACAAGTGGCTATCACTTTTAAACCATTATACGAGTCTTTCAATGAGGCCAGTGGTGATAAAGTGAACATTTTCAGGTGACATGCATTATTACTCTTACATAGTTAGATCAATATTCCATCGAATCCTTGCAATATTGTTTCTATTACCACTATTGTTTCTGAGACAGAATGCAATATAAACCCTTAGAAAATCTCATACCTTAACCTTACAAGTCTTGCATTTAGGAAATGTACTGTATGTAGTACCTCACAAAAATATTCTTACTCTTTTACAAGTGCGCTTGCAAACAAAAACTGAATAATGTAAAATAACAAAATAATATAATATAGATATAACAAGTTTATTTGCCGCCTAAAGAGAAACTTGAGTGATCAGCAATGTATGTTGTATAGAAAACTTTTGATACTGCCAAAATGATACTTACATAGATGTGAAATACTGCGATTTTCTACCGAGTTTCTTCTGAAATGTCGGATTAGCGTTTGGAAAGCAAATCAATGGCAGTTTGTAATATGAGTGGAGGATAATATTTTTAAAAACATACTGATTAAACAAATGCAAAGAAAATCTTCGCGAAAATCAAAAAATATTTCAAAATACAAAGCACATTCTTTATTTGTTATTTGGGATATCCAAAAAATTATATGCATTCAAAATAAAGAAATAAAGGGCTTCTGGGGAAGTAATTTTTGGGCTGGCACGTATGTATAGCAGTTCGTGCTCACCTTCCCACTCACATAGTCTGATAGCTAAAAGGGGATAAAAGTTTACCGCCTTTAAGAAGATGTGAGCTGAGAAACGGGTCTCTAAATTTTCTCACAAGTTCCTAAGTTAGAACAAGAATCCGTTCCGTCAACACATGATAAAAGGACTCCTTCGTTAATAATTCGAAAGATTTGTAGTTTCCGAGCAATGCTGCTATACTGCCCTCATTTGTGAGAACCACACTTTTTCAAAGGCAGCATCCTAGTTTGATGAATCAGCTACACGACTGCGCTATCAAAAACACTACCCGTAAAAGATGTTTGCCGTCCTGGGTGGTGTCAAAACAATAAACTTCTCGCCTTTCTTGAGAACACTCAGGTCAAAGTTTGAATTTGTCATCCAAAGCCTTGAAACCATTTGAGCATACTAGTGGATATTTGTTACAAAGCGTGTGCCTATACCCTACTGAAGAAAGATTGAATAAGTGTTGAACGGTTTCTCATTTGTCTCTTTTCTACTGGAATAGGGTAAAAAAACGAATAAACTCGTGTCTTGACTGCCCTTTGGCAATGTCAAATATGCGATTTATCATCGTAGTAAATGCACTCTACAGAATGCTGTTATATCAGGCATCTCCCTGCGATGAAGTGAAAAAAAACCTCCCTTTCCAACCTGATTAGCGACCCTGAAAATAAATTGATCAGCTGAAGCAGCTGGTCCTGGCAAGGATAAAGTGCAGACATCACGCAAATGGTTTTTTCGATTCCGCTCGTCCAAGAAAAGTACAAGTATTCTTTGAAAGCTTTATAATTGGCACACAATGCAAGAAATTATTTACAAAAAATAACTGGCCACACTCATTCAATTGGCTGATCGAAGAGAAGCTGGCGAAATCGTTCGAAACCCAGACAATTTTAGTGTCAAAATTCTCTTTTGAAAAATGGCATTTGCAAAGTTAGCACAAAACATCCAAATAGCATAAATGCAAAACAATAGAATACAATAGAGTATGGGCTAATACTGGGTGTAGGTTACGGTCAAGGTGCTTCCGAACATTGCCTTCAGTTTGAGTAGAGAACCTTGACTGCTGCCTTATTATGATTTTAAGTGACTTGAGAAAATACAGAAATGCACGGCACAACATATATCGAAGTACATGGTTAGAAATACAAACAAACGATTAGCTGTTTTGCGCTATTGCGAGTGAGAAGTACACGTGAAAGCTGTGAACTAACATCAGAGACGAGCGTTCTCTACTCTTGGAGAACGCGTGAAGAGATGCGAAGAGAAAGATCATTGTCTTCAGTAGGCTTTGTCCATATGAAAACGGCGATGACGGTGCGGATGGCGAACTCTTCGCGCACGATGACGGGGTCGGAGGAATGGCACAAATTCCATTACCAAACCGTCGTGGTCTGTCTGCAAAGAAAAGAATCAACGAGCTTAGACAGAAACTGTTAAAGTTTGACTTAACAAACACTTCTGGCTAGATTTCCTCAGAGGCTTTAAATCTTACCGAATTCTTGCTAGGCTCGCTATATCTGTTCGGACACTGATGCTCCCGTATACAGTTTCCGGCAGCATTACGAACGTATCCTTCCTTACACAGACATCTCGGGAAGTAACACTTCGGATTGGTTGCATCATGGTAGCAGTTTGGCGGACTGTAAATGTCAAGTATTTTGGCTTTCAAATCAGTCACTGAGATGCAAAATGAAAAGTGTGAAAAGCGGAGGAACCGCATAGCTTATGTACGATGTACAAAAGGCTCAGTTGGATAAACTTCTATCAGTAGAGGACCGAGAGGGGGGGGGGGGGTTGAGGGAGGCGGAGGGGGAAGAGCGGAGGAGCGGAGCGCACTTCCGTCACTGGTGGAGTGGGTCGCGCAACTTTGTAAAATTACTTACATGAATTTGTAAATATGCTAGTAACTTGTCTATATCTGTAAAGAATTGACACAATTCAAAAAAATTTTTTGAAAGTGAAATTAGCCTTGTAACCCACCACGCCCTCTTATCTAAAATTTTGGGGTAACGGAAACACGAAAGTGTCAGAAAGTATCCCGAGAAAAACTGGAAATTGTGAATATGTGTGTACCCCCCCCCCCCCCACCCACCCCGGACGGAAATCCTGGGATTGCCACGACATTCTATAAGCCGTCCGCGAAAGACGCGGAAATGTGTACTGCGCGTCACTCCTCCTTCGTCGTGCACTCTCTTCGCTTTTTTTCTCTGCCTCTCTTGCAGTCATGAATTATTTTCAACGGACGCAACGCATTGCCCTCCGAGCACAGCAAGGACAGTCTATACTTATAGCGGAAATTGTGGCTAAATTTAAGAAATAAGCAACTCAACAGATTGGAGCGGAAAAGTGATTTTTTCTACAAACTTGATTAGTGGTCGAGCTTTTAACTTGCAAACTACAATTCGGGCTTATGAGTAAACTCTATGGCCCCGGGCAGACTTCACGCGATTTGACCGTCGCGACTGAATCGCGACGAGACAACTGTTACAACATCATTCCATGCCGATCAACTTGCATTCGGTTGTGATACTTTTCCAGCCCGAAATTTTTGAATGTAAAATGAAAATGAATGGAAATCTTGGCGATTAGATCGCGACGATTAAGTCGCGTGAAGTCTGACCGGGGCCTATCGTTGCTGAATACAGGCCTTTTTGAAAGCCGATACCAAATTTGATAGGTGCAAAAAATTAGAAGTATAAACGAACATCTAAACAAACTCTTACCATCTAGAAAAGCTTAGGAATTGACAACAGCAACGCTTAAATTGGCTAAGTCGGCGCCACCAAACTTGTTTATCCTTCAATGGCATATGCCAGACTTACCTGTACATGTTGTCGCAGCTTTTGTCACAATGTCGTTCTGGCCCGCACATCACGTGGTATTCGCGAATGCTACAGTACGCCGCGTGTTTCTCGTTTCGTGCTGGATAATGCGGAATTTGCCGATGAAGCTAAAACAACCAAATTTAGGGCGCTAGAAATATCAGTTAGATCTCACATCTGCTTGAAACTATCATAAGCCTTTTCCGGCGTCTAATAGTGTATGACTCTTTCGCACGATCGCCTTACTACGGATTACGGCAGGGCAACGGTTCGCTGCAAGACCGACGCAAGCGCGCGTATGGCCGCGATTAGCGATGCCCCTGCTCTGCGCGTATGACCAGCGACGATCGTGGATGAGACAGGCTCCAGGCTTCCCTATTTGCTTAGCGGTTTTCACTTCTTTGATTGGTGAAATGATGCGACTAAAATCAGTGTTCGACCAATCAGAGAGGTTGATGAAGCGGTTAAGCGGATGAGGGCGCCTCTTAAAGGCGGTGGCTCTGGAAAATTACTGCGAGCTTTCCACACCTAAATGGCCTCCTAGATGCGCTGAGTCCAGTGTGTGCTTGAAATGTCAAAAAAGTGCTTCTAACAGCGTTCTCCTACCATGAAGATAGCTGGAGGGGATGGGCGAGGAATCCCCGCCAACATCGTGATCGGCTACCTGAGCCGATCAGATACTTACCGTCAAAATGGGTGAAGTTACAGTCCCATGCAGCCAGCTGCTATCCATGGCGGGATTCCCTCACCCATCCCCTCCAGCTATCTCCAGGGTAGAAAAACGCCGTAAAAAGGCTTTTTGACTTATCATGCACAGCAGTGGACTCAGCGCATTCAAAAGGCCATGTAGGTATGGAAAGCTCGCAGTCATGATTTTCTCGACGCCTTTAACATGCTGGCAACATGTTAGCCATGCGCGACTATAATTTGATACACAGGGCAGGGGAGGAGCGAATCGAGAACTTGAGTATGAATACGGACGAAGGTTACTGTCAATTTGTAAGAAAATCATCCATGTATACTGGATGATGGTAGGAACGCAGACGTGATCAAATCGTTTTTTGCTTTTACTCCTTGCTGTCACGTCTCTCGCAGAGATGCTATATCGTAGCTACAATGGGGCGTTTCGTGCCTCAGCTTCCGTTTAATTTTCCTTGAATTTTATTCATCATGGCCTTTCACTATGTTTCTCCGCAAGCTTTGAAGTGTTCAGCCATATATCAACTTCTTGTTCTTGATCATGCTCTAACAAAAACGCAGTGTAAAAGTCACAAATTCGAAAGCTGTTTGGTAAATGATAGTGCAAATGAAGACCAACTGTCGTGTTACTACTTTTTCAGAGAATGTTTTACAAAAGGTTGTAGGCGAACAGCAAAGAAGACGAGCGATTACATTTTGCTCATTGTCAGAAACAATCGGTTGTATGTATTGGAGTCGTAATGGGATTGATCTTTGCAAGCTGGGTTTACGGAGGTGAGGTGTCGCTCTATAAGCAAAGTCGCTCGCGGTCAAATACTTGAAGGCGGTGTCCATTCAGATATGGGCGCATGGATTTTTTAGGTGAATAACTGATGAAGGGGTCCTAACCAAGGCATTGCCCAAGACGGTAGCGCAGATTATCCATTCACGGCTGAGAAACACAAAGTCCGAACAGTTCGCGGCTGCGCCGTGACCGTAAACCTCAACTGGCTTTACTATGTTTAGCAGGGGAACGGAAATTATCTGTCTAAAGCAGTTGCTGCAGTGTAGTTATAGAGATCATGAGTTGAAAGCTAGTTAGCACCTAATCAGCACCGTTTGCAGAGTCAATTTGTGCACACAACACCCGCGTCCTCATCCGGGAACACATGAAACTGAATTTCAATAGAATTTCTAGCTCAAAGTTCAATAGCGGTATATGTCCGACTGGAGTAAAACTGTATTCAGGGGGTTTTAAAAGGCTGCTTCCGAATATGCTAGTGATTTTATCCAATACTTATGAGTATTCTCTTTTTGAGAAATAAAGCTTTTTACGATTTCACTGTTAATCCAAAAAACCGGATATCAGCTTTTCAAACTTATAGTGAACTAGCAAGAAACTTTAATTTTCAAAAAGAGAACCATTAGCATATTCGGAAGCAGCGTGTTTTGAAACCTCCCCCCCCCCCTGAATACAAGTTTTCACTTCTGTACTACCTCTTATTTACTCTTTGAGCGCTAAGCGTCAACTGCAAACCGCGCTGCAAACCCGACGTAGTGCCTGCGTCGCATTATGAAAGCTTGTCAGCAGTAAACTGATTGTTTCTGTTTGATAGATGCTTGTTCCCGAAGCGGGGTAGAAGAAAGAAATGCTCAAAAAACCCTCCTCTCATACTTCCACGCATACTTTTTGGAACATTTTTTGACAATCCTTCAGACAAAGCACGCTTATCCATAAATCATACGAGCATAAGCTCATCTATCCGTCAAAGCTCCTCATCTTCTTGCAAAGATATCGCAAGAGAGTTCTGCACGGAGAAAAAACTTTTGCTGCCAAAAACGCGCTGGCGATTAAGGTGCTGATAGTGAGCCCAAGAAAACTGATAGCGCTAGTTTCCTTTGTTATGAGACCTAGTAGATGTCATACGAATAATCCTGTGGCTTGATATGCTGAACTCATAGACTGACTTTTTCTAGACAGCTTACAAAGGTCTTTTACGGCCATATAGGGAAAGAAACATAAACATTTGTTTTACCAGGTCTTATCATACTGATAATGAGATAGGGGTGGCAAAAGTGTAGAAGTTTACTCTACTCTGTACTTTGAGGTGGCAATAGCACATCGGATTCGAAAAAGCTTATCAGGAGTAACTACCTGAATCTTTATGAGTAGTTGAACGAACGATTACCGTTTTTTGCTCCGATTCTATACTTTTAGGAATAGTTATCGAATATATAGACTAGTGTCTCAAAGAGCGGTAATGAACGAGAGGTCTAATTTATTGGTTTCGATTTCCATACTTTTTGTCAATCATATAATTAAGTAGTTCATGTTCGCGAAACATGTTGAAGACAAATGGGAACTTCTGCGATTTTAGTGAAAACTTTGATCTTCAAGCTAAATAAGTGTCCCTTTTTGTTTACCACAAGTCATCGGGGCCTTCGCAAGCACTTATGTAGAACTTTATTGCTTCACCGTTTTCCAGCAGATAACAAACTACTGAGCACAAGCATTGGTCTTGTAATATTGACCCTACGAAGGGAAAAAAACCATGCGTTTCTTTCTTTTGTGTCTCCGAAAATGTCAATATGTGAAGGCTAAAGGATTTCTACATTGCTCATTGGAGATTGATTATCACGTCCCATCATCCTCATAGATTCTCTGCAACTTTTGCAGAAGAAGATTTGCTTTTCAACTGATAACATTTTGTGCGGAAGTCCGCAAAATTTCAGGTCTTCCGCTTCTCTATTAAAATCAGGACCTGATGAGAATCGCTTGTTCTATAAAATTCTTGGATTTTGATCCAGTGATTTGCTGCACAGAAAAGCTGAAATGGCGGAAGAATTTACATTTGTTCAAAACGTTACCTTAGATTCTATGTTTTCTGAGTCGGACCCATCCTCCTATCCCTCATCAACTTTTCCAAGCTTTTAAAAATGTATGGGAACGATATGCTTCTTGTTTACCTGATCGCAAAACTCGAGTCGAGCTGCAAAGAATAGCTATGATCTTTTGCATTTGGCATTCTTTGCAGAGGATTTAACAAATTCTCTCATAAACAGAATGATGTAACTAAGAAAGCTCTCACGATGATTATACGTATAATTTACATAAGGATAAAATCATAAAAATTGTGAAGGCTGGAATGCATCAGCATTAGTTACAGATGCTTTAGCGTTTTGTGGCTCAATCGAGCTATTCTGACGCTAGAAAAGTGCACTTTAAGACTTCGAAGATTTGATGCGAGCAAAAAGTTTTCCCTGCAATAAATTTGAAGTTTAGGCCTTCAGGAGCATACTGTTTCATCCACATCTCCACAAACCCTTCCTCTCCCCTCCCCCCACATTGAGACGTATGCTTGGAATTCGCTTACGTCCGGAAGCAGTTTGCACCTTTGCTCGCGCTCGTCGCTGTGCAGGTTAAAATGTTTGCCTTTAACTGTTCACACATCGTATGAGCTGGACTACGCAAAACAAACAGCTGTAACGATGAGTAGGCAACCCCAATGAACATTTCGATGCGTGATCTCGTGCACTTCGAAAGAAAAGCGAAATGTGAAAAGTGAAGCATCTAAGCAGGCGAGCAGCCGCGTTGCTATTCCTCTCACAAAAACTCATAAACATCGCTATGATTCGAAGCAATTCATAAACCAGTCCATCTGCATATTCGAAAAAGCATCGCCATGTCCCCACCCTGTGAGAGTTGAGTCAGAGTTGAGTCACCTAAACTTCAAAGCACTTGAGAAGATTTGACGAAAAAAATCACTACGATAAATTGCTAGTAACTGCGAAGGTTTTGCTAGCCGAACAAACTTTGAAGAAGTCTTTCGGTGGTAATACGCGCACTCAAGTGCCCCTCACGTTGTCAAAATTCGTCTCAGCTACAAATTGCGAACGTAAAAGCTTGGATTTACGAGTGGTCATAGCATCGGGCCATGGATCACTCAGCTGTTCTGCCGCTACTTTATGAGCACGAAAAGTTTGAAAAAAGTTTGTTCACTTCTTTATATACAAAGGCGGGGGTTCAAATACGATGCCATTTTCCGCTTAATCACTATGACTGTTTCGATCACCTTTTGTGTAAAGGGGCGTGCTTTCCTTTATGAAATCAAACCTCGACTTTCTCAACTAATAGTATTCTACAGAAAAGGATGCATTCTGATGTATTTTTTTCTTCCAGATAAAGCTGCAGACATAAACTGGGTATAGCAAATGAAATTTAGCAATCAAGAAAATAATTTCTTCAAGCAGAGATGCCTTCCTAAATTTATAGGTGTCGGGCATACCTCACGCGATCAGGCGCGATTCGGCAATACTTCAACTGTTAGTGTTGGATTTTGTTTTTGTTTTGTTTTTCCAAATCTCGTAGAGACAGAAATCGCGTAATGTATGCCCAAAGTCTAACTAAGTCGTGCGAGGTTAATTTTTACATCGAAACTATTGGTATTCAAGCTCTAAATCATCCATGATAATCTTATAATTGCTTCTAAGAAAAATCGTATGTTTCGAGTTACAAAGTTTTCTATTTTTTTGGAATTTTTAGGATATTCTTGAACACCTGGTCACCTTTGAAAATTCAAACTCAACGTTTGAAGACCACTGCATTTCGGATTATCAAGAACAGTACTGCGCTTGCAGCTAGATGCATACAGATCTCAAATACCCAAAAAGTATTTTGGGGTTTTCAAATTTACAACCGCTCGCGATCCTACAACGATTTAAAGTTGTAGCAGATTCTATAACCACTTTTGACCCACCCTTCGTCCATGATAACGCCTAGGCATCAGTCTCTGATGGTGGCGAGGTCGTGGTGGAGCTCCGTCAAGAAGTAGGAACAGTGAAAGTAATAAGCAAATGACTAGTCCGAGCTGTCGCATGACTTCTGAAAAATGTGAATAGAGAGAACTGGACGCTCAGAATCCTTGAATTGGGAATTTCATGTGAAAAAAGGAGTGAGACTGGGAAGAAAAGGCATTCCAGATAGCAGGTCGCTGAGCAGTGAGCGCCGTGAGCAATCTCAGGAATTTGCCCGACCCTGGGTCCTATCAGACAAATTTTCCGCCTGTTCGCTTGCCATTTACCGCCACGGAGAATAGATCAGCGATAAGACATGGATAAAAGTGGCGCCAGAGCGAAAATAACCATTGAGATGAAACGACTCCCACCAAATGGCTCAAAGTGATGTGAAAGGCGAGTGAGCTCGATATCAAAAGCAGTGTCGGAAACGCCCATGGGAAAATCAAAAACTGGAGGAAATTGACGGGTGGCTTTTGCCAACGAGTTAATCCTGGTAAAATTTCGGCAACAAAAATGAAACAGTAGTAAACAATATAATAATCATAACATCTTATGATTTTTTTGCAGACTCTCGATCACATAAAGATTGAAACCATGGGTGCCGTATAGGAGGATGTTAGAAATACCTTTTTTCCTAAAAGGATCTCAATCTTGGAACACGCATAGTTGAGAGTTTTACGAATAGGAATAAAACTACAAATGTTTAGAAGAACTTCGGAAACTCTGCTCAAAATGCGAGCTCATGAAACAGCTGAACAAGGATGTTCACAGACGGTTGTAGAAAAAAATTGCTGTCGAAAAATTTATAGAATGCCACTGACAGCAATTTTATTACAGCCATTATACTAACATCACTGATAAAAATTTTGTAATTGACTGGGTGATGGAAGATTAGCGCCATACCAAACCAATTTTTGAAGAATTGAAGATGGGATTTGGCGCTGCTGTTTAGGGGTGTAATATGCTTGGGGTCAACCGCGATATCCACATTAAAAAGATGTAAACAAAGTTGCTCTACAAATAAAAAGAACAAATATGTTTTATGTCTCTCTGTGCGCTTTACATATTCCGTCAAGCTCTGATAAAAAGGAGGGCGCAATGGAGGACGGACAGCAAACACTAAGGAAGAAACAGATGGATTCTTCCCATCTTCGAAATTTTAGTGAATATTGCATGCACGTTCAAATCAAAGTTGAAAAAGCGCACAGGTATGGATTACTACGGTGACTGTGGTAAGAAAACAGTAAGTTAAGAACTGGTTCTCATCACTGTTCGTCAAAAGGGCACAGATGGCGACACCAGTTGATTGAAGACCTTGATATTTCAGGTCATCAAACGGGATGATACCACAGCGGAACAGAAGTCGGAACTGCTCGAGTTCGGGTAAACCACGGCTCCCTGCAGGAACGTTGGAGATGCTAAGCCAAGCTGCGTCAGTTCACAGGGAAGTTGGGGCCTAAGCGCTCCGGATTAACTGATAACGCACCCACAGCTGCTCTCGATTGGGCGGGTAGCCTTCGTTTTCAGCTTGCTCTTATGTAGAGAGCCAGAAAAAACATTTGAGGCACACCACACCGCACCCAGGGCTTGTTAGCACTCGAACACAGAACAAGGTGTACTTTTGCGCAAAAACGGGCCAGTTAATGAGGATTTTTCACTGACAACGATCTCTTCAACGGGGCGCAAAAAAGAGAGAAGTGGTTTTCTTAGCGTGATTGTTTGATTACGTAATGATACCTAGCTTATACCAACGCTCAAACTTACACGCTTTTACAACAACGCCACAAAAAACAGGAAAACATGCACAGATGAACATGCGTGGGCTTATATCTATTGCCGCTTTTCAAGATTCATACAAAAACTGCCAAGAATTTCCAATCCTCAAATGCGGCTGGATGCAGCGATGCAGAGTTGAGAAATGGATGGTGCAGAAGAAGCGAGGACAATATAAATCGAGAAAACCTCTCCCAATGAGGGCTATCCACTTCCTCTTCATTGAGCTCTCCAATGTGCTAATACTCTTTCTTGTTTTTCGAGTTTACTAGCTCAAAGCAGATTCACAGCCATAAAAAGCAATTCTTTAACGAGCATCAAATGAAAAAAAGCAATAGTGTGGCGCAATAATATTACACTATAATAATCAAAAGTAAGAAGATTATTCACATCAATCAAATTGTTTCATGCTTGTTTGTCATAATTAAAGCCAGTTTCGTACCCTATGTATATTGATGTAATATTAAATGCGAGATCTCTTTTCTCGAGCTTCAACGAAGAATAAGAAAGAATTTCTCAAACCGAAAGTATATTTGGCTTGTATCCTCTTTTGATTTTCAAAGCTTTTCTCCAAACTACTGCTTTCAGGAAAGAATCTCTTGAACCAAAAGTATATTTGACCTATATACTCATTCGATTTTCAAAGCTTCTCTCCAAACTACTGCTTTCATCTCGAAATGGTTTCTGAGAAATTTGTTTCATAAAAACTTAAGCAAAAGTGGTGACATATCAGTCGGCGGAACAAGGGAGGGGGGGGGGGGAACCTCCTCGAGAATGGGTCGCGGAATTTTGAAAGTTACTGATTTATAAAAATGTGCAAATGACTTCTTTCTACTTCTAAAAAATCATAATGATTTTCAGGATATTTTGTAAATTCGTCAACCTTGTAAAAAAAATTTTTGCGAGAAGGCCGCAGAATTGAAATTTTTGCTTTTTCTAACCTTTTTCTGGATTAAGCTCACTATCAGATCACAAGTGAACACAGATTGATTTATTGCTATCATTATTATCAGAATAAGCGCCTCATAACAGGGTCTTTCTAGGATGCTCCAGTGAAAGAGGATCATTCCACAAACAGCAACAAGATAAAGAAGAACGCAAAGAATAATTAAGCCGTAACTTCTGTTCTGATTCACTGATCCGAATGGCAGACGGGAATCATTGTAGAAAGTTTTATAGCGCGATAACGTGCTTATTTTGAGGATGTTTTACAAGCAGCATGACTTCATTACTCGCTCAAAAATCAATTTTATGATGTGCCACTGGGTGAAAATGAATTTCACAGATTAGTATTCAGGCCTCAAAAAGTGTAAACCGCATAGAGGTCAAAAAGCAATCAATGTGAATACGAAAAATCGAAGCTAACATAAAGCTTCCAAGTTCGAAGAACTGCTGAGGCCCTATCTAGAGGTTTGAGGCTTGAGGTCATAACGGGTACGATATGGCTAAGCAATAATAAATAGTAAAACATTCTGAATTGGAGCTTTTCAATGGATTTTTAACATTTCTAGCAAACTTCTGGGCGAAGATAGTACGCAAGGACGCCAATTTCTAATTTTAAGCAACCGAACTGATTATTCATTACATCGATGTTTATACAAGGATAATAATAGCAATGAAAAAAGAGATATAATGATGAGAATAATAAAAATAACCGACTACATGGAATGACAATATTGACCGGAGCTTAACCCTCAACTATTTATTTTTCCATTCTTGTTTTTGTTTGAAAAATGATGATGGAACGTTCGTCACAGTTTGAAAGCCGCGTTTCTTTGCACACTGTCGGTGAAAAAATATTCTTAAACCTTCATAACAAAATCATTCATCTTCGTTTTGATTTTGTTACGTTGGGAGATCTGTGATGTGTAGCTGGCTAACTGAAGAAGTTCTAGTCATGCTTATATGCAGAGAACTCATTGGAGTCATCAATCTTTAAACAATGAGAAATTTCTGCTTTCTTTCCCAGCTAAAGAGGACACAGCAATAATTTTTATTTCTCAGTCGTCCTGCATAAGTTTCCATAGGAGTGGCTTACCATAAATATCAGGCTTTCAAGCTTTTCGATCTGAAGTTATATCATTATAATTTTTGGGCACTCCATATATCTGCGCCGATAAAAAAGTAAACTTCAAGCTCTATTGGAAATTGTCCTAATACTTCCTTATTGGCTGCGGCATACAAAAACATGCTCAACATTCCTTTTTACGAAGGTTTCTGCTCCTTATTGCAGTCTAACGAATGTAACCAAACACTCGAGCAGGTAAAAAACCCTCTTCTTTCTATGACAAATGACTACCAGGCGGAGAGACAACACGTGTAAGATAATTGGTATGATAGTATCATTCATCACTAACACGCTCGGTCACAGTTTTTTGAGCCTAGGTTTTTCAGTCTTGACGGACATTACCACTGGTTCGCCTTGAAGAATGATGTACAACATATTTATTGAATTTTTGGGGGGCGTTGGTAAAAAAATCATGTCGAGAGATAATGCGAATAACAGAACGCTAGAGAAATGTTACTTGATGGCTATTAGTAATAAAAGGTTTAGATTTACAAAAGGAGAAAAAGTTGACGTGTGTTTCGACAATAACTTGTAAGGGAGGTCCGTTGAGTCGAAGTGGCCTTTCCAAATGAGTCCTACTCCATTTTGAAGAGCACTGAACGCTGATCCTAAATCTGATTTCACTAACTGGCAAGCGCCTCTGCATGCCGAGTTATGAATGTTTTTGGGGCGAAAAATGAACGCATAGGTAAACTTGAATGTTACGGTTTTTGAGTGTCAAATAGAGCAGTTCTATAATAGGTATGAGTGTTTTGTACAGAAGATATTCTTTGAATATATGTCCTCTTATCTTTGAACCTTGGCATGTTCATGATAATAACGGTGATATAATAATGATAATAATAATAATAACTTGATGACAATAATAACCTAAAGGGCATAAAATAACAATTGAAATTCTTTGAATAATTGTTTTGATAATTGACATTGGACCATTCGAGCCATTCTGACGGATTTTGTAATAATTGAGCAGTTTTTCAACCGAAAAAACGCTCATAACTCAGCGTCCAGAGGCGCTTGGCAGAAAATGATAACAGACTTGAAATCAGCATTCGAAGCTTTTCGAAGTGGTAATAGTTCCATGTGGGAAGGCACTTCGACCAAAAGGAAATCCCTAGTTAGTAAGATTTTGGTGTTGCTATTAAATTCTATTCCGTATATCTTGACTAACTTTGGACTCCTCGGTAGCGGAGGAGGCCGCACACTGTACTAGCGCTAAATTATTAATTCAAAACGACATAAAATTATTTTCTTTGTTTATGCTGTATGTTTTGAAATAACCACCAATCATCCTAATGACCCAAAATAATGATTATAAATAAATAATAAATAATTATTCCATGAGCACACTGAAATTATATCAATGCTGCTGTAATACTATAAAAATGACATTTGATGATTTAGCTCTAACTAGAGCAAAATTAAGAGTCAAAATTATATGGCATGTATTTTCATACTAACAAAACACTAATGTTATGAATTATAGACGCAAATGAAACAAAACCTTGGTAATCAGTAATCACGATTAAGGGCATTGTCTGCGTCGCTGGACCACCACAGATGCTTTGATCCATCTTTTTGAGGAACAACTCTAAGGACTAATATTGTGAAGTTACGAAAACTACCAAAATATATCTAGCATCAGACTCTACATGCATTTCTCAATTCCTCTTTCTGGTCAGTTTGCTTGACTTCTAATAGTTTGGGAGCTTACGTTTCCTTGCGGACTTCAACTTTGTCCCTCTTGGGTCTCTATAAGAAGCTGGGCTATATTATGCACCCTTTCCAAAGAACTGAGATCAACAGGAAGTTAAAAAATCTATGACAGGGGGTGTCTAGAATAGACGTAGCTGCTTCATGAACTCCAAGATAAGCTTACAATCAGAAAGCAGCGAGAGAGATTGATGCGATGCGTAGATCGTAAAATTCTGGGTGCGGTCTCTTGAACGAATTACTTTTGGCTATTCTGGGTTCATAAAAAAGACATAGAATGATAGAAACGCGGAAATGTCAATGAATGTGTTACGACATATATACTTCGAAACTTGATCATCAAGAGTGGGAAGAAGTTGAGGAGATTGCATCTCATGGAAAATTACAATGTGCCCAAATGCGTCTTAGTAATTACAGCAAATTTGGGAGATATTCAGAATAAGGCTTATGAGTGTAAGATACGGAATGAAAATCAAGTTTATTGCAGGTCAGAAATGAAATAAGCACTATGCTTCACAAACCGGTTGGTTACCATTTCTTCGCTAAATCAACAAGCCAGTTTTCAATATATTTGCCACCTGCGAGCTAAACCTTCTTTGTTTATAATACGACTCATTGGTGGATCGTATGTCCAGAGTGCATCCATAGTTGGCTTGAAATGACTGGAGTCCACCGCATGTGACATTACTAACTTACGTTTAGGAGGTTACTCGTAAGCATGCTAAGATAGAGGCCTACATAACGTAATGCGATCCACTGGTGAGTCGTAATATTTTGAATGTGTCAAGATAAGAACCAGGTACGAATAGCTTTGCTTTCGAGTTTCGACGCCTGGGACCACAATAGGCTAGAAAGACTTTTTATAAGCCAAAAATTCGAAGCCTTTGCACATTCGACGCTAGCGCAATTTTTTTTCACATGGCGGTTGACAGAATAATCCAGCCGACGAACAGTAAAAAGTTTCCCGCTATTACGGGACTTTTCCTCTTGATGGATACTTGCACTTACACGAGAAAGGCAAAATCTCCGTCTCGAAATCTTCTAGCAGAAGAGCTTATAGCTGCAAGGGAAAGGGAAAGGAAGAGAAAATTCTTTGAATGTAGCAAGCGTTCAAAGACTATAGCGAGAAGTTTAGTTATAAGTGGAACATTTTATGAGAAGAGATGAAAGGACTCATATTCCAACGATGAAGTCAAGATTTTCTAAAACTTGGCATAAATAATGCCAAGAAAGCTCTTTTGAGCTCCGAAATTAGAAATAAATTTGAGAAGTGAAAAAATAGTTCGCGTGTTCGGCTGATTGGGTCGAGATAAACACAAGAGCGGTTGCTCTTCACGGTAGTCTCACTCAGCGTGAAGACCGACAAGCACTCGGTAACAGGAGACACACAGCATGTTGACATAGTTAGCTGGATTTTCTTGTCTGAAGAGATTCAGCGGTAAAAAACAAAGCTCTTGACTACTTCTGAGGGTACATGGTCACTTGTTGAATATTTGATAGAGAGGTTATTTTGAAGAGCTGAGTTCATTCGCAGCTAGCCTTCAAAGAGGAGATTGTCTGCGAGTTGATCTTGTCATCGCTCTGCTTTTGTCTTTTTCTAGGTCTCAATAAATAAGTAAGCAAGATGGTTCGAAAGCCTTGGCAAGAATAATTCACATTCTTTCGGAATACCAAGCATGAATAAACCACGAAACAGCAACTTCAAGCAAATCTCCCTGGCAAAGGAAAATAGGTTTGAACATAGTTGCCTAAGTAGCCGATGTAACCGATTTGCCTCGCTTGGGCCTGATCGTCTGCTTTTCACTTGAAGGGGAGGAGCTATCAACGCCCCGCCCATTGAGAGCGTGCATAGTTTGACGTCTGCCACAAATAAAATTTCTCTCCTGCCGAAAATGAGATAATCAACTAGGATATTGCACACGAACTGTAATGCTCCTAGACGCTCCGTTCATGCTTACATTTCAAACAAATTTCTATAGAGGTCGAAAAAGATATTTGCAGCCAGCCATTTTTGAGTGCCGATGGGTAAAGATTATAAGCGCACTGGCGTTTGCCTAAACACAAGAAATGCGTACATAACCTTTCCATCATCTTTATTTCGCAGAGAAAAGTTATTGCACGGATGATGAGGAATTGCTCGACTTTGCTTGAGTTTCAACGAATAATCTTAGCTAGGCTGCAGAGAAATTACATCAGAATTTACACCGCCAAGATGAAATGCGTCCAATTATGCTCAAGTTAGCAAGTCGAACGATCTGCTTCGATGTGTGATTGCCAAAAAAACTGGACTATCCAAATTAGCCCCGAATTTCTACGTGGACTAGTTATTGGCAATTGAATTTAAGACCATGTTTTTTTCCGAAAAACTAGTTGACTCCAAAATTATTATTTAAACTGGGGAGTTTAATTGAGCAAATAGCTTTGTCGAAAAGAAAGAGCTCTAGCAATTATACAATTCAAAATGGAACTCAAACATAAAACAAGGAAGAGATGACGAAAAATAAAGTTTATTCCTGAGAAAAATGCTTTGTGGTCAATTAAGGCCAGAATAAAGAGCAGTTTTTAAGATCTCATACAAAACTTTTTGAAGAAGTTTAGTTGAGCGTAAATGTTTGTTGTAAAACTACTGCGCTTTTCCAAACTAGTCTGAACCTGACTGATGTAGTCTTTTTTGCAAACTTGGAGAACTACTAAGAATTTCCATCTTGGGCGAAACTTTGGAAAAGAAGTGGAGTTGATAGCAAATCCATTTTGTTTCAAGGTTGTTCAGTTTATTCAAAATCACATTTCTAAACTCTTATAGATGTTCAAGAAGAAATATAGCAAAAAGCGGAGAAAATGTCGTACAATTCTGCTCGACATGATTTTGAATGATTTCCCATAAACGCTACGCGATTTTTAGCGTTTACGATGGTACGTTCAGCACACAAGCCCGCATGATTTTTTTGATGATACTTAGACATATGACCTATTTCCGGGTGACCACCACTTCTACATGCATTCCTATACTTTTATGGGAGAATCCACTCGAATGATTCACCTCGCACTCTTTTTATGTTGCTGACAAGTGTAGAGTAAATGTCTCAAAGCTGTGGACATGCTAAGTGTCAACTAAGCAAATAGTATGTGAAGAAGAAACTCGAAAGCATAAAAATTATTTTCATTTAAGTGAAGTGCTCGAAATCAGAGCTGTATTCAACAGCTATGACCACTAGACTGTGTTTTTAGAGCTGACCGTTGTGAAGAAAAAGACGAGCACATTTCGAATCGTTTCTCATGGTTGAATCGAGTCATAAAACGTTAAAAAGAGACTGTACATCATGCAGAACACACTTGCCGAACCACTCATGACTCAGCTAAATTTATGACTTCACAGTAAACGAGTGAGTTATGACGAAATTTACCTGCCATGAAGAATATTTGCCTTCGAAGGTCACAAACTAAAGAGACTAGTTCATCTGCCTATACAGCAATTTAACGTCTAAAAATCGTAATTATATTTTGTAATTCTGTGCATAAATTAGAATCTTGCCTAATCCATACGAATGCGAATTCTGAGTTTTGGGAAAGAAAACAAATACAATGTCAAAATGGCTTTCTCGTTTCTCACTTGAGATTTAGAAAAGTTCCAGACTAGCATTATGAGTAACCTGAAAATTAAGAGCACAGTGGCGGTGACAAAATTATTCAGTAGATTCAACAAGCGATTAGTCGGTGAATTTTTTATTTTGTAACATGTCAGAATGAGTGATAAGGAGAGCACAACCGCGCTTGAAGATAAGTTCAACGTATTCAAAAAACAAAACATACATGAGCGCCACTACTTACGTGAAAATTTGATGCGGGAAGCAGAAGCAGGAGTTTCTTTCTAGAAAAACAAAACAAAATCATATTTCTGCATAGACATGGTACTAGCTTCTCGCATGGTCAAAACTATACGGTGGAACTTCATAGACTGCTAATATACATAGATCTTTCCCTTCTTTACGTTGCCTACCCAAATGACTCCCACAGTTGAGATATGAAAGCCTAGAAGCTCGTGCTCGCATTTCTCTTGACTATGTACTAAAAAGACTTTTTCATTTGTACGTTTTGTTCCCTTAACGAACATAACCTTGATATTATGTCAACATAGTTTTTATATAATTCTATTCCCCCTCCTTCGACACATGCGTATGCCGAAGGGAAGTGCAAAAAAAACAGCAAAAGAAGAAGAGCGAAAGGAAAAGCAGGTGTTTTAGTCCCAGTGGCAATGACAAGTTCGTGCTGTTTAAAAAACTAATAAATATTTTGCTACAAAAAGTACAGAATATTTTACGGTAATCTCTTGCTAGATTCAGCCTTTGCAAATCCTAAAGGTGCCCAAATAAGAACTTTTACATAACAACAACTATCTACTAGTCTTGCAGTTTCTCACAATTGTTCATAACTAAATTCAAATCTCCTAGATGAGTCATCGGTACCGAGTCAGTTGTGCTCTGTATCGATAAATGCTTTGTATTATTTCTACCCAACGATAGACTTTGAAAAAATGTTGCCAAAAAACGTTTTAGCAAAATTCCATGAATAGTTTACGCTTAGCCCACACATAAAGAATTCACCTCACTATCAAGAAAAAAAAAAGCAGCTAATGCGCAATAAAAAAGCTATGAAATTGTCGTAGTGAATCGACGAACGTTACGAGGTGAGTTTTATGGCTTTGATGTCTTGAGAGCAGTCGAAGTGATAGCGAACACGGAGAACTTCGCTGTCTTTTAACGATGTCCGTACCACCTCATGATTTCGGCTGTTGCGAAAGCCGGTACACAAATGCGGCTCGCATGGTACCCCTGTTAGCAAGGCTTCCTCAACGATTAGTCCCCATTAAAAAGGTCTGGAATGTGTCCTTAATATCGAAAATGGCACGAGACTCCACCAGTATCTTAATCTGCTTCTTTTGTACCGCCTAGTTCTTACATTTTCTCTTTATCAGATTAGTTGTAAATAAGAAGCTCAAGCGGATGACTACCATGCGTAAACGTAGTCATGAGGTGTTTCAGCGAACTGATAGGACAGTTTTCAAGCATAATATGCGGCGCAAAAAATTAAGCCACTGAGAACTGATAACCTCTTCGTCACGATGCCTCTTTGGCTTTTTGAGCCAACTGCTGGTTGAGGCTCACATTTCTGCAAAGAATGAGAAAACTAGAGCAGAGTGAAAAGCAAACAAACTATACTCGATGCTGTGTTAGCATAAAAAACCCAAGAATATTCTTGTGGTTTTCAAAAATGTTTCACAAAGTTCAGAGAATATCGAAAAGCTTCATCAAAATGTGATAAGTTTATCGCAACCGTATTCTAATACACAGTGTGATTAACCCGCATACCGTGTATAGCACCCAAAATTATCCTACTATAATAACGCGCTAATGTAAGATTGTTTACGTATTTTTGTGTGTCTGTCTGTCTGGATGTCTGTCTGTCACGAAATTCATAAAGCGAGTTCTAGCAAAGGTCTTGAGCTGGAATTTTGGTAGTAGACAACACAACCAATCAATCCAATTCTTAAAATTGCATAAACCATTCCCAAAGAACCGAATACTTCTCTTTTACCTTGTAAAAATTTAAACTTCATTTTGTTTTTAATTATAATTTTGAGTCGAAATTTAAAAAATCATAGGTTAAATTTTGATTTTTGGAAATATT